CCGAACCAAGCAACGATTACTAAAAATTATTATTAATATACTTAGTTAATAAATTAAGGAAAAAAACTATTAATAATAAAAGTATTATTAGCTTAAATTTATTAATAATTATTATTTAAATTATAATATAACTTATTAAGTTAAAATAATAGCTTTTATTATAATTAGTAATAATATAATTAATAATATATTACTTAGCTTTATAACTAGTTTAAGTTTTAATATAATTATAATAATTAAGTAAAAAGCTTTATAAATTCTAGTTAATAAGCTTTATATAATAGTTTTTATTATTTATATAAAAGGTATAAAAAATATAAAAGTTATAAAAGTAATTAAAGTAAAAAAACTATTTTTTATAAAGTTATATAAGCTTTAAAATATTTCTTTATTATTTATTTAGTTAATTAAGCTATATATAAAGCTATATATATAGCTATATAAAAACACTAGTATTATATAGTATTATATAGTATTTTTATTATTTTTATTATTTTTTAAAATTATTAAAAGCCTAGCTTATAATTTTAATAAAGTAATAAATTTTTTTTTAAACTTTTATAAGTTATAAGTTATATTTATTTTAATATATTTATTTTTATATTTTATTTTATATATAATTTTTTTAATAATACTTTTTATATTATATTAAGTTATTTTATAAACTTTATAAATTTATAAATAATTAAATATTAGCTTTTTTAAATAAGTTAAAAAGTTTAATAATTAGTTTTTTTAAATAAATTTAATAATATTATAAAGTTTTCTATTTTAATTATTATATTATTAATAATTAAATAAAATATTTTTAAATACTATTTTAACTTAATTAAACTATTATAAAAAATTCTTTATTAAAAAATTATTAAATTTATTATAAGTAAATAAATTAAAGTATTATTTTATTTTATTAAAATAAAGCTATTTTAACTTAATTTAGTAATTTAAAAGCTTATATTTTAATAATTAATTTACTTAAGTTATTATTTAAATAAGAAAATATTTTATTTATATATTATTATTAAGTTTTTAGCTTAATTAGCTTTATTATCTTTTATTAACTATTACTTTATTAATTATATTTTTTTACTTAAGAATAATATATTAATTTATTATTACTTTATTTAATTTTATATTATTTTATATTTTTATACTAGTTTTAATAATAACTAATTAATTAAAACTAGTAATTAATTTTATAATATATTACTTATATTACTTAAATAGCTTTAATTAAGCTTTAAAAATAAAATTTAAAACTTTTCCCTTACTATATTAAATATAGTTCTTTAAAGTCTTATATATATATATTTAAGAAATTATTTTTATTTTCTTTAATTAAACTTTTAATATTATAATATATTATATAATAATAATTATATTATAATAAATAATTAAATTTAAAAAAAAGTCTAATTATAATTTAAAATAATTAAAGTATTTTATTAATTTATAAAATATTTTTAAATAATTTATAATTTATTCTTTATATTTTATTAATTTAAATACTTTTATATAAATTATTTTTTATAAAATAATACTTAAATTAAAATACTTATAAATTAACTTTTTAAAATTAATTAGAATTAATATAAAATTATTATTAAATTATTTATTTATTTTATATTTTAAAATATATAAATTATTAAATTATAAAATATATTTTATAATATATAAAAAATTATATATTATATAAAATATATATTAAATATTAATAAATATAAATATAAATATAAAAAGCTATTTAAATTAACTTTTAATTTAAAAATTAACTTAAAATATATTAAATTAATTTATTTTATATATTTATATAAATAAAATAAGTATTATAAGTTAATTATTTTAAAAAAATATAAAAAGTAATAACCCTTATAAACTATATTCCTATAATATATTTTTAAAAGAAGTAATTATTATTTTATAACTTAGTTTATATTATTATAAAATTTAAAAATAGCTAAAGTAAAAAACCTAGTTAATATTATTTTTAAGTTTTTTAAAGCTATATATTTATTTTAAAATATTATAAATTTATTTTTCTCTACTAGTTATTATAAACTTGCCTGTCTCTACTTGGAATTTCCACCCATCCCGTTTTAGAGCCGCTGCTACAGCTTTCCGCAGTGGTGATACCCCTCCACTGCTATGGTGGCCTACTCCTGTAATGATAGTAAGGCTGTGCTCTGGAAGTTGCTGTTCTCGTGCCTTGCGTCGCGCTTGCCACCAATCAATAGTACGCTGGCGAGCGATTCGAACTCCATCAAGAACAGAAACACCGTGCAGATCAACTACCGAATCGGTACTTTGCTGATTCACACGTATGTCTGCTGCGGCTGATGCTACTTCCTGAGCACGCCTGGCATGCTCGCGAGCTTCTTGTGCATAATAGCCCGCTGCCTGCCGATACAGTGGGTTTGACGACCCCCGTCGATAGAGACTTGCCGCGGATGCCATGGCGTCTTGCCTTTGCCTCTGTAGAGAGCTTGAGGTCTGTACCATCTGGGTGAGATTATCATTCGTCTTTGCCATTGGGCCAGAACGTTGGTAGGCGCCTCCTCCAACCGCTGGCTTATTAACAGTCATGCTTGTCAGGCCTTCGATATCCTCATGAGGTAGCGGTGTTAGTCGATAACCTAAATCAAGTCTCCGGTTCATTGTTCTTTTGGTGAAGTAGGCGTTTGTCAACGACGCAAGCTCCAAAGAATGTGCAGACATCGGCCCGGTTATTTGAACGATAACCGCCAGGTAGTCTTCTGGAACATAGCGATACTTCTGCTTGAGGTCACCCACTGCCGTCTTCTCCTCACTCGTTAGAGGCTTGGGGTTTTGCATGAGGTACTGATCTAGAATTCCAATCAAGGTTGCACTTTTGGAATTCCTATTCTCAGCATACATGATGGAGACCTCTTCAGAGGACATGTGCAACCGCTCTGCTATGTAGGAAACAGCGGGTGGAGCTGTAGTGCATCAGTACCATGATGTTTTGAACGAGATGTGCCGAGAACTTACTTCTTGCCCCCTTTGCATCGCGCAAGCCAGTCTCAGTCTTTTGCCCATCATACCCGCCCATATAACCCGCATTGCTGCCAGGCTGTGCTCCAGGTTCGTCTATATCGAGCCGACCTTTTGACGAGGTAGGCTGTTGATGAGTAGCCTGAAGGTATTGCACACTGAGTAAAGTGTCTAATGCAACAGCAACGACACCATTTGCGTCAACGAGGGCGTTTCGAATATCGAGACTCTTGATTTCGGGGAATAGAGCCTGAAGTTGTACCACGTCGCTTTCCATTAACTCGGCTTTTGACAATTCTCTGTCCGCGGTACCATTGTTGTTGTTGTTGTTGTTGTTGTTGTTGTTGTTGTTGTCAAGAAGGGCCCGAGCCGCCGCTCCACCATGATCCGATCTCACGCCTTTAGATTCATGAATGTCCTGGATGCATCCTGATGTAGGGGTTGTATCAGATACCAGGAATGGATCACCATGCTCCGTATATTGAAATACGCCTTCCGGATCCAAACTGCTGGCTTCTTCAATAGCTGCATGTTGCGCGAGGCTGTTCAAAGTGGAACAGGCTCCCTCGTAGCCGGTGTCAGTGGAAAGGTCATAGTCACCCGCGATTGCAACGATAAGAGTATCATCTAGTGAAGAGCGGAATGAATCCTAGCAAGATAAGTGTCAGCCTTGGAGACCCGAGTCTATCGCACAGTTAGATGTTACTATAACAAGCGTAGCAGGGAAGGAGAGAGGGAAGAGGGGATAGAGAAAAAGGGAGGGAGCAAGAAGCGTACCAGGAGTTGTTGGAGTTGTGAAGATCCAGTGGTATAGCTCATTGGGGACCAGACAAGACATGAGGTAATTCGGGATTGAATGGGTAAGACTGAGTAAGCCTACTTGCTTTGTATAACACTTCTGTGACTGTAAATACCTATGCAAGGTTATGTTTAAGTGCTATTACTTTAATACTTAGGGATTTAACTAGCTTTATTTATATAAGCTTTTTAATAAAATGGATAATTAGTAAATAAATAAATAAATAAATAAATAAATAAATAAATAAATAAATAAATAAATAAATAAATAAATAAATAAATAAATAAATAAATAAATAAATAAATAAATAAATAAATAAATAAATAAATAAATAAATAAATAAATAAATAAATAAATAAATAAATAAATAAATAAATAAATAAATAAATAAATAAATAAATAAATAAATAAATAAATAAATAAATAAATAAATAAATAAATAAATAAATAAATAAATAAATAAATAAATAAATAAATAAATAAATAAATAAATAAATAAATAAATAAATAAATAAATAAATAAATAAATAAATAAATAAATAAATAAATAAATAAATAAATAAATAAATAAATAAATAAATAAATAAATAAATAAATAAATAAATAAATAAATAAATAAATAAAAACTTATTTATATAAATTTTCTTTATAATTAATATATTATTTATTAATTTAAAGATTATAAATAAATATTATATTAATATTATATTATATTCTTACTATAAGTTTTATTTATAATTATAACTAGAAATATAAATAATTTACTACTATAAGTTATTAATATTATTAATAATATAGGAAGTATAGGGTAAGTATAGGGTGGGTACTGATTTTTCTACTGTGTTAAGCACTGTGTCTGGTTGCATTACTCACGATTCCTTGTGGTTCCTAGTTCGGTTCTAGCTTAGATTTAATCTCCGTCATACATTTTTGCCGGCCTAAACACACTCTTGACATCTTCACATCACATTCTGTCAAGCACGTAACAGGGCCATACCTATCTCTCCATCACTTCTCAAGATCAATTCTTCTTCTGTCTTGCAAGTCAAAATGTCTCGCGGCGGCACTACTTTATATGTCACAGGCTTCAGCCACGGCACCCGCGCCCGCGACCTCGCCTACGAATTCGAACGGTATGTCAACCACGCCACGCTCACGCCTTCGTCCTCGTCCTCGTCCTCGTCCTCGTCTTCGTCTTCGTCCTCGCCCTCGCCCGCGCCTCGTCTTGTACCGCAATGGGAGATCCCTTTCGATCGACAGATTTGATACCACGTCGATGTCGATACCCTCGCAGCCCTTAACCCCCCCGCTGACGCCTGAACCCACCTCTCCCTTTTTCCTGCCGCGTCGGCCAATGCGTTTCATCCATCATCTCGAGGTTGTTCTCTGTTCGGACGGGCTCTATCGCACCGATTTTCGCATGTGCAAATTGTCAATGCAAATCACCCGAGAAATGGCTACCCTAGCCACCGCGCTTTCCACGCCTGCACTGCGATTGATTGGCTAACAATGATATTATATAGATATGGGCGTCTGGTTCGCTGCGACATTCCTGCGCCGCGATCAACCTCCAGCCGACTGTAAGTTCTGCTGGGACTCCCCTTCCCTCCAATGCACACCACTGACGCTTGTTAGGTTCGCTTTCGTTGAGTACGAAGATCGGCGTGATGCCGACGATGCGTATCATGAAATGCATAACAAACGCATCGGCCGAGATGACTTGTTGAAGATCGAGGTATGTGCCTGCAGTCATCATTTTGGGTTGCCACTAACGGGTATAGTGGGCTCGAACGCCTCCGTCAGCTTCGTGGCGATTTGAATCTGGACGTGACCGTGATCGTCGCGGACCTCGATCTCCTCGTCGTGGACGATCACCCTCTCCTCGACGTAGTACTCGTGACTATTCCCCGAGGAAAGAAGAGCGTCGCGACCGCGACCGAGACTACGATCGCGACAGCCGAAGAGATCGCGACCGCTCTCGGAGTCCCGAGCATCGGTAGGTTGCCCGAACCATTCCCGAACCTTCCGATACTGACATTCTTACGTCTGCTGCAGTGACCGTGACCGCGATATGAAAGACGAGCGTGATGATCGTGACCGTAAGGAGAATGGAGCCAACGGTGATGAAAGGAAAGGTACTGTAAACCCCTTTCTTCACATTAGGATGAGCACTGGAACCAATTGGCTAACACATGGGCAGCTGAAAGTCCTCTCCCCGCCCATGACGATTTAGATGTTGCTGAGTAGTAGAGGTCATCATTGTCGAAGCGCATGACGGCAGTGGACTGATGAGTCTCATTTTTGTCCCTGTCCTTTCCGCCGGCGCCCTTTTCTCGCTTCAATAATTACTCCCAGTGCCCAGATCATCAGTGTTCGTCGATCTAGGTACCAGTACGCATGCGTTTCTTGTGGGATAATGGGAGACTCGGTGTCGCCGGATCAGAGCCTATGCTAGTTATAAGGTGTTTGAAGATGTGCCAGAATGAGATGTAATATTTTGGCGTTGTAACTAATAGCTTCTTAGTAATTAAAAGAAATTGTATCTGAGTATAAGTATTAAACAGAAATAAGTTACATAATATAAAATTAAGAATTTAATTAAAAAAATTCTTAAATTTTAATATTAATTAAGTTTATTTTTATAAATAAAAAATAAAAAGTAGCTTATAAATTAAAAATAAAACTAGCTATAGTTACTTAGAATATATTAGTACTAATATAGGGCTTGGCAATATCTAGTAAAATGTTTCTCTGTATAGAAGGGTAAGGTATGTAATGCCTCCGGCATGGTTATTGCATGGCTAATATTGTGGCTATGTGGGGCGTGGAAGACTCGGCGCTGCGTCAGCTCTCTTTAAACCCCTCCTTACCTACCTTAGCTTGTCCGCGGTTACCTAGAGCTACGTAACTACCTACCGTATTGCAATCGCCGGGCGACGCGCGGTTACTTGAGTTCCTTACACAAGCATCAACCATCCCAAGCAGGCACATCGCCGGTATTTCCCAGCATGAACGTCCTCAAGCTACAGAGGTGCGTGAAGGACCCCCCTTGACGTCAGACTTTTCTCTAACGGACTCGCAGGAAGTATCCTCAGTTCCAGCAGAACGAGATCTTTCAGCTCTCCGACGCCTTCCAGCGGCTAGACGTTGAGGACCGAGGCTACCTCGACGAAGCAACTGCAATCAAGGCCACCCAGCAGAGTGAAAATCAGCCATATGATGTTGTTCGACAAGCCCTCAAGGAGGTTGACCTGGATTCGTCGCGGCGAGTGGAGTTGGAGGACTATGTCGGCGTGAGTTGTGTCATACCAGACTCTTTGCGCGCTTTCTAACGTTGGGTAGCTCATCGCCAAGCTGCGCGCCGGGTCAGTCGCCCAAAAGCGCCTCTCTACAGGCCCTGGCCCGGCACAGCCCGGGCCTGGACCTGTCCAAGGCCATGCATCCAAGGGCAGCGTGAGTGGCAAGATTCAAGTGCAAGGATCCAATGCGAACACCACACATACAATCAACGAAGATGAGAGAACCGAATTCACACGCCATATCAACGCGGTATTGGCTGGTGACCCGGACATTGGAAGCCGGCTCCCGTTCCCGACAGACACATTTGAGATGTTTGACGAGTGTAAAGACGGATTGGTCCTTGCAAAGCTCATCAACGATAGTGTTCCCGACACGATCGATGAGCGAGTGTTGAACATGCCTGGACGAAAAACCAAAACCCTCAACGCCTTCCAGATGAGCGAGAACAACAACATCGTCATTGAGTCATGCAAGGGTATTGGCTGCTCTGTTGTCAACATTGGAGCTGGGGACATCATCGAAGTTCGCGAGCACTTGATCCTGGGTCTCATTTGGCAAATCATTCGACGAGGTCTGTTGGGCAAAATTGATATCAAGCTGCACCCTGAGCTCTACCGGCTGCTTGAAGACGACGAAACTCTGGAACAGTTCTTGCGATTGCCCCCTGAACAGATCCTGCTACGCTGGTTCAACTACCACCTGAAAGCCGCTAATTGGCCCCGAAGGTTCGTATGCACCGGTTACCTTCTACGGCAAAGCATTGACTAAAGCTCACTCTCAACTTAGGGTCACAAACTTCTCTAGCGACGTGAAGGACAGCGAGAACTATGCTGTCCTGCTCGCGCAGATAGGAGCAGAATACGGCTGCACGCGGGCTCCTTTACAAACCAGAGATCTTTTGCAGAGAGCTGAGGAGGTCTTGCAAGAAGCGGATAAGCTGGGCTGCCGCAAGTTCCTGACACCCTCATCGTTGGTTGCGGGAAACCCGAAGCTCAACCTGGCCTTTGTCGCCAACCTATTCAACAACCACCCCGCACTTGATCCTATCACGGAAGAGGAGAAGCTGCAGGTTGAAGATTTCGATGCAGAGGGAGAACGCGAGGCAAGAGTCTTTACCCTGTGGCTTAACAGCTTGGATGTGCAGCCAGCTGTCGTGTCTTTCTTTGATGACCTCAGAGACGGCTCAATCCTTCTACAAGCCTACGACAAGGTTATAAAGGGGTCTGTGAACTGGCGCCACGTCAACAAGGCTCCCGCACATGGAGGCGAAATGCTCAGGTTTAAGGCCGTCGAGAATACGAACTATGCCATAGAGCTCGGCAAACAGAATGGCTTCTCCCTTGTGGGCATCCAGGGTGCAGACATCACTGACGGCCAGAGGACTCTGACGCTTGGACTGGTATGGCAACTCATGCGAAAGGACATCACTCTGACGTTGTCCTCGTTGGCTCAGAACCTCGGGAAGAGAGAGATTACCGACGCCGAAATGGTCAGGTGGGCGAACGAAATGTCAAAGAAGGGCGGCCGCAATTCTTCCATCCGATCCTTCAAGGATCCGGCGATTGGTTCCGGCATCTTCCTGTTGGATGTTTTGAATGGCATGAAGAGCAGCTACGTGGATTATGACCTCGTGACGCCAGGTCGGACAGAAGAAGAGGCATATATGAATGCGAAACTGAGCATCAGCATCGCCCGCAAGCTTGGCGCCACCATATGGCTTGTCCCGGAGGACATTTGCCAAGTTCGCAGTCGCTTGGTCACTACTTTCATCGGTAAGTTTATATTCTTTCGGGGGCTGGGGCCTGCTAGTATCTATTCGTTAATTGCTGATGCACGTAACAGGATCTCTGATGGCGGCTCATGGCAAGGCGTAGCTTCATTTGCTTGTCCCGTGGAGGTGCTTAATGAACATTGTTGTCAATTACTACTAAATATTAATCCAAAAATACAATGATATCATCCTCAAGAAGACAGCTTCACGTCCGTGATCGAATTAAGGAGTCTGGGCGGGTAAAACAGTCAGCACGGGTTCGACACGCCTCGGTAAAGGTAGATTTGGGGGGGTGTTGTTGTTGTTGGGGCTCCCTTACTGTAGATTGCGGTCTCTCATCTCTCGGTCGAGCGTATCAACCTGCTTGGCAGTCAACCTCACCTTGCTGAGCTATTCCAAACGACAGTTAGCCAGACAGAAACCCCCAACGCGCGTGCGAAATAGAAGAAGGATGGGATAGGCTGTTGTTTGCAAGGGGCTCTCGCACCAAAGCTAGTGCCGTGGAAGAGTGGTCGTTCTCCTCCTCACCTTCGGCTGCGCCACCTGCCGCACTGGCGTTGACTGCGCTGTTCGATTTGTACAAAGCGGCCTGAGCCTTGTCACGCGTGATGTTAGTCTGAGGGAAGGGGCAACAATGGAGGAATGGAGAGGAAATGGCGTGGTCTAGGGGGGGGGCCTTACCTCGGCCTCGACCAGCTCGGCATCCTTGATCTTCAATTGAGCCAGCAGCTGCTCGTATCTGTCGTCTGCGTCCTCGAGCTTCTTCAGGAGTTGCTCGGCACTCATCTCTGATTCCTTCACCTTCCTATTGGCCTCCTCCAACAGAGACGTCATGCTGTCATTCAAGTCGTTGTAGTCCGCCTGAGCCGTCTTTTCCTTGATCTGCGCCTGCATCTTCAGGTCCTCCAACTCCTTGGACGTGATTTCAAAGGTTTCCCTTGCGGCAGTGTACTTTTGCTCCATGCGGTAGAAGTCGTCTCTGGCCGTCTTCAACTCGGCCTGGCACGCCTGCAGATCTGCCTTGGCAGCGGCCAGCGAGTCCTGGAATGTCTTGGTGGTTGTGGCAAGTTCAGCCCTCAGGTTGTTGACGGCTGCTGCATCGGGCCTCTTGACGGCATCCAGCTCGGCCAGTGCGGTCATTCGTTCCACCTTTTCCAGAGCAAGTTGTTGGCCGACGTCGTCCGCTTCTGCTTGAACAGCAACCATCTGCTCTTGCGCCGCCTTCAGAGAAGCCTCGAGGGCTGCGTTGGTGTCAGCTTGCAGCGACAACTGCTCTTCCAGGCTCGCGTTCTTGGCCTTGGAATCCTCCAGGGCGGCCTCCAGTTGCTTGTGCGCGGCCGTCAGGTCCTCCAATTGCTGCTGCACCCGGAGTCCAGCTTCCTTCAGCGTGTTCGTAGCCTCCGCATGCGCAGCGGCGAGTCGCTCAATCTCGGCCGCATGTGTCGCCTGCAGTTCTCTCTTGAGAGTTTCAAGTTCCTCTCGGCTGGCGGATTTTGTGCCCTCCAGCTGCGTTGCCGCGTCGTCGAGTTCCTTCCGTAGCTCGGCCAACTCCGACGCATGCTGGTTGGCGATTGCTGCCGCATGTGCTTCGTGAGTGGCAAGTAGTTGTTGTCTTTCCTCTTCGTGAACTCTCTTGAGGTCTTCCATCAACTTTTCGTGCGAAGCTTGGAGAGTCTTGGAATATTCGGCAGACGAAGCTTCACCATCTGCCAGCGCAAGGCGCAGTTTCTCGTCGTACTGAGACTTGATGGCGTCGAGCTCCTTGGCATGGACATCCAAGGCTTCCGACTTGGCGGCTGTCAACTCTTGGGCATGAAGGCTTCTGATGTTGGCCAGCTGCTCCTCGTGTTCCGCTTCCTTGGCCTTGAGCGCGTTGAGAGCCTGTAGGCGGCCCTCTTCGGACTCTGCCAAGGCCTGTGTATGCTTCTCCGAGTCTTGGGCCACAGAAGTCTGCAGTTCGTTGTGCTGCTGTTCCAGTTCCTCGAAACGGCGTTTGAAGAACGCATCCCCGCGGAGGCTTTCGATCTCGTTTTCGTAGTCTTGCGAAACCTGCTTCAAGCGCTCGTCGTGCATCGCCTTCAGACCAGAAACCTCCTCATCCTTGGCAGACAAGGTGGCCTTCAAGTCGGCGACTGTGCCCTGCAGCTCAGTCTCCGCTTTGCGAGCCGATTCCAGCTCTGCATCTCGCTGAGCCAGGTCGCCCTGAATCTTGGTCGCCAAAGCCTTGTCACTCTCCGCATTGGCCTCAGCAACTTTGACGGCTTCTTCCGATGCTGCAAGCCGAGTTTTGAAGTCGAGGACCTCGTTCTCGAGATCGGAGATCTTGCTCGTCAGCGCATCACGCTCAGACGTGACTGACTGGATGATTGATTCCAGTTCATTCTTGGAAGCAGTCAGTTCATCGACCTGCTGTTGGAGGCTTTGAACGGTAGCCTCCAAGGTCGACCGGAGATCCGCAGCTGCTGTATCTGACTCTGATTGATCGGAAACAGAGGCTTGAAGCTTCTCCACCTGGGCGGCATAATCACGAATGGTCTGCTCGTACTGTTCCTCCGTGGCCTTGAGCTTTTCCTGGCTTTCAAGCCTCAAGCTCTCAAGCTCTTTCTGCAATGAATCGAGAGCCTCTCCGCCTTGATCTTTGCCTCGGACGGCCTCGGCGAGCTCCGCGTCCACGGCGCGAAGTTTCTCAGCCTTCTCCAGCAGCTGAGCTTCTAGATCACGAATGACGGCGTCGTAATCAGTCTTCGGGCCCTCTGGCGCATCCTGCTGCTCAGATTTGGACTCGTCGTCGGCTTGCTGGCTATCGCCTTCCAATTTCTGCCGAAGTTCAGCCACCGTGGTTTCAACAGAAGTCAGTTCGACTTTGAGAGATTCAATCTCCTTGTCTTTGTCGGCGAGCTTGGACGTCAATTCGTCGAGGAGCTTGGGGCTGTCGATGTGCGCCTCGGATCGAACAGAGGTTCGAGTGGACGGACGTGAGGCCGAAGTCACTATGCTTGGTGCGGATGGTCTCTTTCGCGCATCGGCGGCGGCATTGGACGAGACAGTCCCTCGAGTCAAGCCTGCTGCCCTAGTCGCGGACGGCGAGTCGGAGGTCCCCGGTTTGGCCCGCTGGGCGAGTGGCTTCGGGCTGGCCGCACCGACACCCACTGTAGACCGACGGCCCGTCACAGCGCTGGCTGAGGCCCCGGTCTTCTTGTCCCCCCCTACTCCCGCAGACCCTGTGACTATGGCACTCTCCCTCCGCGCCGATCTTGCAGAAGGTTTCTGGTCATCCTCCGCCGCACCGACGCTGGGCGCGCTTCGATGTCCGATATTGGACGTCGAGGCGGTGGATCGATGTACAGAGGTAGACGAGCGTGTGGGTTTGTTTAGGCTGGCGGAAGTTTTGGCGCCAGGCCCCTGAGACGTCCGGGCCACGGTCGAAGTAGCGGTCGCGCTGGCATAGCGAGGGGTCGCCCTTCCAGCCGAAGCCTGGGTAGAGCCAGAGGTTTTTTCGGCGGCTTGCGACTCAGGCGCTTCAGCAGCTCGTTCTTTGGCGGGGGCGGCGCCGCCGTCGGCGGGTAGAGCGACGCTTGCCATCTCGCTCTCAGGCATCGCGGTATGAGTTATGGATTGCTGCGCAACTGGTCAGCACAGCTCGGGCAGAACACGACCGGCGGCACACAGACCTACCTCGGGAACGAGCGCCTTTCTGTCGGTATGTTGAGTCGTCTATACAGTCATAACATGCGTGATCGTGGTCGCGTCAAAGTAACTCGAAACGAGCCTGTCCTCGGCGTTGGGGCTACAGCAAAGAGCGCGCTCGCGTGTTCAGGGTCTTTCAGGTCGCGAGAAAAAAGGAGAAGGCGACGAAGAAGAAGATGAAGGAGAAGGAGAAGAAAGAGAAAAAACCCCACGACCCGGCAACGTCGAATCAGCGCCTACATGCATGCAGATACCGATATTATATACTCGTACGTGAACTTGGGAGAGCAGTAAAAGGGGCATGAGCTAGCCCCACCGTCTCCCCGCCAGCCCCCCCTCCAGGATAAATCTGCAGAGAGCGCGTGCTCACCGATAGATATCACAGGAGCTAAGGCACGAGATGCCCACATGCAGTACGGAGTACTCCGTACCTACTAGGTACCCAGGGACCTCGAGCTGTTCCTGGACTGCTGTGGTCGACACTTGCTGCTGGGGACGCGAAACGTTTGCTACCCAAGGGTCACTCTCGGTCGTCGAGATACCTTACCTTACCTACCTACTACTAGTAGGTACCTACCTTATACAGTAATTTGTTGCAACTAGGTACTAGTAGGTAGGTACCTACTAAGGTACGGTATTTGCCTTTCGTAGGTACTCCGAGGGCACCTCGAATACTGACTGTTAATACTCCATTGAGGAAGGTGTCTGGTGGTAGAATAGTGCCCAGCAAGTACCTTGCATACCTAGAGTCAGATACCGCCTTTTGCGATGTGATAGTAGGTACCTAGGTAGGTTGGTTCCTAAGGTACCGTATGTAGGTAGTTGACTGCCCCCAAAGCAATAAGGTAACGAACCCTTCGAACTACTAATGTCTTTAAGTAGACTGGCATTACCGGGATCACGATATATAGGTTAGTAGTCGGTCTAGTAGTTATACGCCATCCACGTCCACAAGGTCCTCCAAAGTCCTACCCCTCTACGTTGTTCCTTGCTTCAAAGTACCGTACCTATAAGGCACCTTCTTGGACTCACCCTCTACCGGGTAGTAGCTATAGTAGCTACTACCTCTAGTAGGTACCTATTGCGGTATGTTGGGTAGCCGATCTAGAACATGAGCTTCTGTGATTGTTCATGGAGGCAAGCAAGCCGTCTTGAAAAGGACGGAGACCGCAGCCGGGCGATTAAATGCACACAGGAAGGTAGTACGAGCACTACTACCTAGTACTGCAAAGCTGCTCGTCACCCCGTCTTGCTTCAAGTGCGCGTCTTGCACACTTGGGGGGGCGTATATTCCAACAACCTGGATGAGTAAGGCTACCCGGTTGCCCATCGCTCATCATGACTAATTGCCCCACCAGCTGACTGTTGCGCGCAGGCAAACTCCAACAATTGTCCGTTCTGCTGGGGGCGGATGCCTGCCTACACTGGCTCAAACTCCCCTCGGCCATGCTCCAATACCAAGCGGCAGGCAATCTCCAAACGCCTCTGGTTTCCTTTCTGGCCCCTCTGGTTAGCCAGTCTGCATTTGTTCCGCGTCTCAGATGAGGAGCAGCCGGGCGCATCGCCAACAAGCGGCGCAAGACACGACGTGCGTCTGCTCGGCTGGGCTCGACTATCGCTTAGGCCCGTCCGTTATACTCTGCACCTGTGCTCTCTGATTCGTACAACGACCGCCTACCTACTTCTCGTCCTCGCAAACCACCACGCCCTTATACCTCCATACCTCCATACCTGACATACCTTACCTCTGTGCCCTGCCAAGGTGCCCCCCGTCCCTGGCATCCTCATACCCATCTCCCACTCCACGAATCCTCACCGAGGCCATCCATTCGACGCTTCTCGACCTCTTGCCTCGTCCGAGTTCCTTATCCTCTTATCTCGTGCTTCTGCCTAGCTCGCTCGTGCTTGCCCTCCTGATGGCGTAGTTTGGGCATGGCAGAACAAAGCACGGCAACCGACCACGAAGTGCGACTTCCCGCGGCATCTCCCTCGCCCACTGCCTCGACTGCTGTATCCGCCGCTGCGAGGCCTGTAACGGCCACTGCCCAAAGGTATGAATCAACCTGAACCTGAACCTGAACCTCAACCTCAACCTCAACCTCAACCTCCCGTCCGCTGCTGGAGCCTGAAGCCTGAAGCTCAGTTGCCCGGCCAGTGCAGCCACTCGGACTGCTCGACCTCGCACTGATCAAATGACATCAAAGTCGGATCGAATTTGACGCAGGCCCTCCTCTGCCCTCCCAACAGCACTTGATATTCGTCCTGCAAAGCTCTGCCTAGCCTTACCGAACCCCTCTACTCTCTACTCTCTGCCTCTGCCCGCTGCCACTGTACAATCCAACCCGGCCCAGTGCTGCCATACCTTGCGTCCATACCTTATTGCCTTGCCTGCCCTGGGTAGTGTCGTGGTGGACGAGGTGCTTCCCCTGCAAGCCGCAGCCTCTATCCCCAAACCTCACCACGCCTTGTCACCTTGCCCTCGCATACCCAGACCGGCCGCCGGTGCCTCTCATTCACTCACAGGCCGCGGCCCCTTCACGCACGACAAGCGCTGCTTCCACGGATCCTGGGCACCTGACAGTGCTGCCGGCATCGCTGCCATCTTCTGTTTGGAGCACCATTTTCCGACTCGTCCCCTCCCCCGCAACCCCTTCCACCCCCCATCCTCTCCCTGCCTGCATCTCGGGCACGAGCAAGCAGTCTTGTCGGCAAGTTTCTCATGTCTCCCAGAATAACTAGATCTTCTGCCCGCCAAGCAGCGAGCCAGGCGGCTCGAGCTCCTGGTGCATCACCTGCCTCTGCCGCAGCCTTGCCAGAGCCCTCGCCTCCAACTGCTCCCCCAACGTCGCTGTCCCGGAAGCGAAAAGTTTCGAGCGCCGAGAAGAGCCTTGCGACTGAACCACAGCCTACCTCTTCAGTTCGACGGTCCAAGAGACAGAAGATTCCTGAAGCTGCTGCACCATCAGAACCCATAGAGAACCCCTCCCACTCGTCCGTGCCGCGAAATCGGAGGCTTCCAGTGGATATGGATGGCACTGAGTTAGTCAGGAATTCATCTTCCTCGGGGCCGGCGCTAACGTACGAGAGCAGGGTACCTGCTATACCTACCGCTATGGAGACGTCCCCCAGTCACGCTGCTGGCAGCCGAAGATCAGCTCGAAGCAAGCGAGCCCCTACGCAGTCTCAAGGTCCGTATCTTCGCCTCAGCCCACACACCAGCGTTGTCTTTTCCGAAGCGGGAAAGAGAGTTCTTGCTGACTGATTGATTGCCTCACAAAAGCTACCGCCACCTCAATGCCGCCTGGTCGAGATCCGCAGCCAATCACAGGTCAACTTTCAGATGAAGATGCTACTATGAGCGGCATGGGCGAGAACAAGGAGGAGGACACCCCACTGCCGCCGCGGAAGGAAGATGCTGGGCCTAAGAAGGGCAAAGTTGACGGCCATGCAGAAGAAGATGATGTTAGCAGAGGCGGTCGCACAACCTCCATCGAGCGCTCTTCATTCAACGACGACGATGAGGAAGACGACAATGAGCACGATGACGACGAAGTGGACGAGAACGAAGACGAAGACGAAGACGAAGAAGAAGACGAAGAAGAAGAAGAGGACGAAGACGAAGACGACGAAGACGAGAATGACGACGATCCATTTGGGGCATACGGGGGCCCAGGAGACCACGATTCCAGCCTTTCTAGTACCCTGCGAGCCTTGACCGGCATGATGACTGGGCTGTCAAGTCGACTTCGGGAACTCCTGGGCAATCTGCGTAGTGATGACCCGTCAATCCAGGTGGTAGCCTTGCAAGAGCTGTCCGAGATTTTCTTAGTGTCCAATGAAGATAATCTGTCGGGCCACTTTTCCCCTGACGCGTTCGTCAAGGAGCTCGTTCAGCTCATGATCAAGGAAGAGAGCCCAGAGATCATGCTCCTGGCCTGTCGCTGCCTTGCAAATCTCATGGAGGCTCTGCCGGCGAGCATTGCAAACGTTGTTTACGGGAACGCCGTCCCAGTCCTCTGCCAGAAGCTGCTAGAGATATCCTTTATAGACCTGGCCGAGCAAGCTCTGAGCACGCTTGAGAAGATCTCAACCGAGTACCCTTCCAGCATTGTCCGCGAGGGCGGACTTACGGCCTGTTTATCCTACCTCGACTTCTTTGCGACTAGCACTCAACGAACAGCTGTGACGACTGCAGCCAACTGCTGCCGGAACATCCCCGACGACTCGTTCCCCGTCGTAAGGGATGTTATGCCAACCCTCCTCAATGTGCTGAACAGTAACGATCAGCGAGTCGTCGAACAGGCCTCCCTGTGCGTTTCGGGCATCGTCGAAAGTTTCAAATACCATCCCTCGAAGCTCGAGGAGCTGATCAGCGTCGGCCTGCTGCGAGCCATATTGCGTCTGCTCGTGCCCGGGACTACCAATCTCATTGGCCCCAACATCCACACTCAATTTCTCCGAGTGCTTGCCTTTACCGCTAGGGCGAGCCCCAGACTGTCCTCTGAGCTTTTCAAGCTGAACGTCGTCGAAACGCTTTATCAAATCTTGACGGGCGTCTCCCCCCCGACAGGCACGGAAGACGTGGCGTCCAAGCTGGACAGCGTGGTTGTGATGCAGGCACTCATTCACCGACCCCGCGAGCAGATCGTGGAAGCCCTCAATGTTATATGCGAGCTACTGCCTGGCTTACCTCGCAATGTGGGAATCGCAGGGGGGGACTTTATGGAGTTGCACGATGCCATTGAGCCGACTACACCGTCCTCTTTGGGCGGCAGATGCCATCCGACTCACAACGACCGTCGACTTGAACTTCTGGAAGATTGCAAGGACCAAGTCCGCCGCTTTGTCCTCATCATCTTCCCTACTTTGACCGATGCCTTCTCCAGCACGATCAACCTCAACGTTCGCCAGAAAGTCTTGACCGCTCAGATCAAGATGCTCTCCAATCTGGACGAAGGTCTGCTCGCGGAAGCACTGGCGCCAGTGCCCTATGCATCCTTTCTGGCGTCCATTTTGTCACAGGAGGACCACCCTTCCCTGGTAATATTGGGCCTCCAAGCGACGGAGTTGCTCCTTACACGCCTCGGCAACGTCTATCGGTATCAGCTCTATCGCGAGGGCGTGATACTCGAGATTCAGAAACTCGCAAAGGGCGATGGCCAGCCTAGCACAAAAGAGGACCCCTCCAAGCCGAAGAATGCGCCTCAGAGATCGAGCTTGCACGATATTGGTGGTAGCAGCACACCATCACCAGGACGCGATTTCGACGACCATGAGAATGAGGACGAAGAGGTCGAGGATGAAGCCGATGCCACCGCCGCTCATGGGCACCACTCCTCCGGCGGTAATGACGATGAAGACGTTGATAATGACCTCAATGCTAGTGACGCATCCCCTGCCAGTTCCCGCGGCTCATCAATGTCCTTGGATGCCACATCTTTGCCCTATGTTTCTAATATCCTATCAATGAAGTCTCGCATTGTCACCATTGCCAGAAGGTTCTTGAATGTCCACGAGCAGGACGGCCGCAGTCAGGACATGAGGATGAGGGCCACCCAGATACTCGACACTTTATCCCACCTGGCAGAGGAGCTTGAGTCTTTCTATTTGACACGGACGCCGAGATTCTACCCTCCTGAAACGGGACGGATGCTCTTCTCCAAGCTGTCGTCCTACTTCGACATCGACATTCTGGAAAGCATCACCAGCGCAGAGCTTCTGGCCTCTGGCCTAGTAAGAGTTCTGCTCGCAGTCTTCAGCAACCCAGACGAAGCGCTGGCGCATTCTGCCCAAGCAAGCTTTCTAGAGGTGTTTATGAGTCCTGCGGTCAAGCCGAGACCCCGAACAGGCGCGGTCGAGCCCCAAGCAACGCCGTTCAGCGTTTTGATTCACAAGTTGCAAGATCTGCTCAGTAGGTCAGAGCATTTCGAGGTCATTACCGTTCATCAAAACAGCTTTGAGGGGAATCGCAGCAGCCCGGCGTCCATGCTTGGCAAGCAGCTCAAACTTCGGCTCGTCGCGGACGATGAAGCATCGATTCCGCGGCCATACCGAAATATCATGGTTTCCATTCACGCAATTGCCACCTTCAAGTCCCTTGATGACTACCTGCGCCCTCGGATCAGCTTAGCAGAACGACCCAGGATATCTCGGCGGGATGGGCTTTCCAGGACTCTTGCGGCTATAGCTAGCTCCGGTCTGTCTCAAAACGCTGCAACAGGTGCCGGCTCAACTGGGCCTTCCGTTATGCTTGGTTCCGCGCAACAATCGCCGTTCTCCCCAGCAGCTGCGTCTTCCGGTCCTCGATATTCCGGGAGTATCAATGATAAACCGTCTCCGCTTGCTGGGCCTTCGCATGAAAAGGGATCTTTACGACGCTCCTCCAGGCTCTTGAGATCGCCGTCCGATGCCCCAACCCCCCCGACTCGCCCTCCTGACGACGACAGTGCACTACAGCGCACCCTGGAGTGTGCCGACGAGAAACAGCTCACCGATGACGAAGACGACGTTGCTGGTGATGGCGGTGCCTTGGATGCGATTGTCGGTGAGCTCGACGAGGACATAGAAGGGAAAACAGAGGCGGATACGTCCGCTGTTAACCTGGAAGTCGCTGCCGAGAATTCTCCTGCGAGCCGGAGAGAGGGCGAATCCAGAGTCGCTGCCCCAACAGGGTCCAATCTCCTACAGAGCCATGATCGAGTGCTGTATAGAGGCAATGCCTCGGCAACACCTCACTCCTCCACGCGGCAGCCCTCTTACTCTTCCATACTTCAGACTGTTCCTCAAGATTGGCACATTGAGTTCACTCTAGACGACAAGGTTATTCCTAACGAGACAACCATTTATCGCGCTGTCCACATGTCGACGTCTTCTGCGAATGACCATAGCAATAAAAACATATGGTCCTCCACGCATCCCATCAAATTCCGAAGGGTGCCTGGGCAGCCTCCTGCAGAGACCAAGACAACGAACCTCACTGTCGAGACAGATAGGGAAGCGGGAAAGGGAATCCCGGCTTCTCTGGCGAAGCATCCAGTAACTGCGTCCATTCTGCAGCTTCTCAACATCCTTCACGATCTCAACGCGAACATCGAAGATGTTTTGGTTGAGAATAGAAACAGCATCGTTGGCCTGCGCGTGGAGCCGTTGTCACAGTTTGTGAATACAAAGCTCACAGCCAAGCTCAACCGCCAACTGGAGGAGCCGCTGATTGTGGCAAGCAGCTGCTTGCCAAGCTGGTCCGAAGACTTGGCACGCCTTTACCCCTTCTTGTTCCCCTTCGAGACCCGTCACCTCTTTCTGCAGTCGACATCGTTTGGATATGCTCGATCGATGGCTCGTTGGCAGAATGCGCATTCGACGGATGACAACCGGCGGGATCGTTCGAATGAACGGCCGTTCTTGGGTCGGCTTCAACGGCAAAAGGTTCGCATTTCTCGACTCAAGATTCTGGAGTCGGCCTTGAAAGTCATGGATCTCTATGGCGCGTCTCAAAGTATACTGGAGGTGGAGTACTTTGAGGAAGTTGGTACCGGCTTGGGTCCGACGCTCGAATTCTACTCTACAGTTTCAAAAGAATTTTCTAAGAAGAAGCTCAAGCTCTGGCGTGAGGTCGACTCTGCTGGATCGGACGAGTTTGTGACGGGACAGACGGGACTATTCCCCCGCCCCCTGAGCCCCGAGGAGACGACAACGCCGAATGGAGAGCGTATTCTTCACCTGTTCAAAGCGCTGGGCAAGTTCGTGGCTCGGTCGATGATTGACTCACGGATCATCGACATCCATTTTAATCCCATATTTTTCAGGATTGGAGATGCTTCTTTGACCGGCGTCAAGCCGTCCCTGGGAGCGGTCAAGGTTGTTGACCCCGGTCTTGCTCGCTCTCTCATCACAATCAAGAAGTTCGTGCTGGCCAAGAAGGAAATTGACGAGGATCCAGCCCGCACGCCGGCACAGAAAGTGGCCGATACCGAGAGAATCATGATTGACAATATGAGGCTGGAGGATCTCTGTCTCGACTTCACCTTGCCCGGCTATCCCGAGATCGAGCTCGTTGAACATGGCTCTCTGAAGCGGGTGACCATGGAGAATGTTGACGTATATCTGGAAAAGGTCATTGACATGACCCTTGGAAGTGGCGTCAAACGTCAGATTGATGCGTTCCGTGCCGGTTTCTCACAGGTTTTCCCTTACACGGCATTGAGAGCTTTCACTCCAGACGAGCTGGTTTCCTTGTTTGGCCGAGTAGAAGAGGACTGGAGTCTCGAGAGTGAGTATTCACCCATGGCGAAGATTGCGTAATCGGACGGAATGGAAGGGCTGACTTGACATTGTTATAGCTCTTATGGATTCAATCAAGGCCGATCACGGCTACAACATGGACAGCCGAAGTGTGAAGAACTTGCTGCAGACCATGAGCGAACTGGACGCCAAGCAACGACGGGACTTTCTACAGTTTACTACCGGCAGCCCAAAGCTTCCCATTGGCGGCAAGTATCTCCGCGTCATCTCAGTCTACCGAACATGAGCTAACTCTTATACTAGGTTTCAAAAGTCTAACTCCAATGTTTACCGTTGTCTGCAAACCTAGCGAGCCTCCGTACACCTCCGACGCCTACCTTCCGAGCGTCATGACTTGCGTGAACTATCTGAAGCTTCCGGATTATAGTACCATGGAAGTCCTTAAAAGGCAGCTTTATACTGCGATCAGGGAAGGGCAGGGAGCCTTTCACCTGTCTTGAGCTGCTGAAGGAGTCTGAAGCTGGGACCTGACGAGGCCTGATGCAGTGAACATGTATCGGGGAACTCAATTACATACTGTTAGTAGTAGTGGTGGACGCATGACTCTTATCATTATCCGTGTATAAAATTCCAAGTGAAAGGTGTTGAGACATGTAGAAAGAAGAGAGCCTACATACATACGGAAGACTACAAGCAAATACCTACTCGTTCGCGTAGATGGTCTGATAGGTGCACCGTGGGTTCGCGTAGATGGTCTGATAGGTGCACCGTGGTGCGATTACTATCACATACGACCATAGGTAGTGGAAAACTCGGGGTCCCGTCTGCTCCCCCATAGATAAGCCACTAACCGGCAGATTAGTAGTTGGGTGGGTGACCACCAGCGAACACCGGCTGTTGTATGTTTCTTGTTTCTTTTTCGTTTTTCTTTTTCTTTTTGATATGTACTTCAGGGGCCTCATTTAGCGTCCCGCCTGCGTGAGAGAGGAGACTTCTGCATTTTGACATGTACCTTTCTATTCACACCGAATACTGTTCATGTTGTATGTACTTCGGGGGGCTACACGCCCAAAGAGCAACCCGATCTGGTGACTAGGATATTACTCATTAATCGACATCAACCGAGTGAGAAGACAATCGAGTCTCTCGTACGAGTGATGCTATATTCAATTTAGTTGCTCTCCCTCCTACGTCGTCACGAGGGGGCGGGCGGGCGGCTAGTGCGAAGAAGACGAAGAAGACGAAGAAAAAGGGGGAAGGGGGCCAGACAATGAAATCTGCATTTATCTGGGTAGGACAACTTGATGGGGGACGACCATCGTTCTGTCCATCGAGCCCCAGGGATCCTCTAGGAATCATGGCAGATCATCGCTGATGAGACTGTCAGGAAGCATCTGACTCTTGGTCAAGAGGGGAGATGAACCCAGGGCGGCGACATCATTTAGTGTGATGGTCGTTGTAGAGCTGCCGTAGTCTTCAAAGGTCAAGCTGCTCGGCGGGTCGGTAGCTCGAGGACTCGTGCGGTGCTCGCAATAAATCGCCGGTTGTGAGGAGATTGCAGCAGGAATACGAGCGCCGTGCTTGCTGTCAAGGAATTTAGGCGCATGACTGTCCTGTGTATCTGCATTGTTGCTGCTGCTTTGTCTGACTCCGTCCTCAGGGCCGTCATCTTCACCTGGTTGTGATGCACCATGGGTAAGAGTTGCGCATCTAAGATTCCACAGAAGCTGTCCCACGATCGCCGGGGGCAAGTAGATATATCGGCGGACCTGTCCAGTTACCCATCCCTCTTCTTGCATGTCGTGTTCCTCGATTGGGTTATTGAGCTCATACACCTGATCGACGCTGTATTCCCAGTCCAGAAAGCCACGAGGCGTGCCAGGCTGCACGCAGGCCATGTAGCGCAGAATGTCATGGTCGAACAGCCAAAAGCGGCGGACCTCTTCAGGCACTCGATAGGTCAGACGGAGGGTTGTCTCGGAGCCATCAACGATGGACATGAGTACACTGGGAGGCGTGGGGAGGAGTATATCCGTGCGCGCAGATACTGGCGTAAAAGATTGGAGGACGTGAAGAGGCACGCGCTGAGATTCAAAGGCCTGATCGGGCCACACTTGGCTTCGGTTAGGCTCAGCCTGAGCCGGTGATGGACATGCGGCCTTTGCAAATGGCGGAGTCGATGGGAGCTGCGAGGCGGTTTCCGCTGGTGTTGGTAGACCCTCGGTGGCCTCTATGGGCGGTAGTGCCGGTTTGCTGATAGCGGTACCTGCGGATGAAGCAAGTGCCGAGGATTGTGATATTGATGTCGGCAGCTGATCATTTGCCGCCTCCTGCCCATCCAGCTGCGGAGAATCGAGCGAAGCAAGCTCCTCTAGAACGAGCTGAGTTTCGTAACCCGTCGCAAACGTATCTTGTTGTACCACTGGTCCATCGTCCTGCAGCTCGAGATCCTCATCCTCTTCGTCAGAATCTGGAATCTCCCTGTCGTCGGCATAATCCCCCGATGGCGGTGTGTCTTCTGCTTGGGAAGACTCCTCTGGCGACCTTGGGCCCCTTGAATATCGACTCCAGTGAGCTCGACGCCGCGGTGACGCTCTGACTACGTCTGACGGCCCTCTCCTTCCTCTGCGGCGGGGAGACACTGCAGCATCCCGTCCTTGTGAGGGTCGAAGTTGTGGTGGGGAAGCTTCAACCAGTACGTCGTCGGGGAAGCTGCCGTCTTGAGTCCCGTAAGAATCCCGAATGACGGGCGATGTGCCTCTCCCAGACCCTCGCGTAGACCGTCTGATGGGATCTCGAGGCTGCTTTCTCAGATCTGCTTCGGAGCTTCTCTGAGGCGGAGCTGGCTTGTTGTCATCACAGGCCGTCCTGGCAGACGCATCATCCTCCTCCTCGTCGTCGTCGTCGTCGTCGTCGTTGTCATCATCATCATCATCCATGAACGGAGCCTCGTCACTGAACGACGAGACAAATGCCATCTGTGTGAGAGTCTGCTGCTTCAGCGACGCCCGTTCTCGCTTCTGCACCCCGTTGCCTTGGCCCCGGACTCTGCTGCGTCTGGCAGGGAATCGGACCTGCTTGGCCGAGGCAGTCGAGCGGTATGTTCGGCCTTGCCAAGCAGCATCGCTTGATTCTCGTTTTGAGGGCATTATGATAGCCGCAATATCAAGCGTGGGCCCCAGCCAGCCATTCACCGGCTGTTTATAGCAGCCAGAGAGGGAGATGAAGAAGGGGATAACAAGAACAGAGAACCGGTAGAAGCCCAGGCGTGGAGGTCAACCAACAGGTGCTTCCTGGCTGGTTGCTGTGAGGAGCGTATCTGGGCAAAAGGCAAGGATGGGCTTTGGATGCCTTGTGGAAGTGAGCACAGGCATTAGATATGGCAGAGGAATAGGCTTGCTTTGGCAGAGGAGAGCGGCTGATGAACGAGGGTTCGTAGCTATGCTGCCATGAACTGAAGAAGTTGATTGTTTCCAATGGGACTGAAGGGGGGGAAAAAAGGAAAGACTTCGGGGTATTACCCAGCCAAGAAAAGAGAGGATGGAGTCGGAATGATGAAAAGAAGGAAGAGATCCGTCCAGGGAAGAGACGGTTACGGCATCATCGTCAGGATAAGAGCAGGCAAGGCGTACCTGATCTACCTTACCTTATTACTATTGCTTTAAGTACCTGCTATTACTAGTCGGTGTCTCAGTACCCGCCGCGCCACGGTTCGACCGTGCATGCGACAAGTCTCCTGGACTCTGTTCCAACTCGCATCTAGACCCACTCGAAGAACGCGTGATGCCGAGCTGCTCATCTAGTACCTAGTACCTTAGTAGGTAGTAGTAGTATCACGAATTCAACCTCCATGCATTCTCTATATAAGACCGGCAATGGCCATGACTTTCATTTTCCACCGCCCGAGACCGCCATCTACCGCTGAGTCGCCCGAATGACGTGTGCTTCAAGGTAGCGTGAGCTTTTACTATTTAGGCTATCTATACGACCTGTTTTTGCTCCCTCTATATATACCCATTTTGCTTGATATTTACAAGACATTTTACATGCTACAAACAAGGCAAAAGAAATTAAAACCATACAAGGCAATAAAAGTAGATGCAGAGGGTAGAAGCGTAAGCGAAGAGGACGGAACCAATGGACGGCAGTGTGCCCGCATCAATCAAGTCCAATATACTCTCTCTTTCTCCTTATAAGCTTCGGTTCTCCTCAGTCGGTTTCAAGTCTGTCAGGAAATCGCGCGTGACTTCAAAACTCAACCAGCTCGACGCCATGCTGGGAGCCACTTTGAGGAGGTTGGGGACAATGCCCTTGTATAGCCCTCTGACGCCTTCTTGGAGGACGATGACACGAACTGCATCCGAGATGGACTTGTACTGGTAGCCCATGCCTGACATGGTGTTGATCTGGAATCGCCGTCGTAGTACGTCACTGAGCGGACAATGCCAGGTTAGCCCCGACATCAGGTATATAGTTGGACATGCAAGGAGTAAAGGGGGCCCGGGGGGGCAAACAAGAGGAGGCAACAGGAGAAGGCAACAGGAGGGCTGAACGCTCTACTCACAATGGATAAGTGCAGGTCTGAGCAACTGCGCCCGAAATGGCGCCCGCCAACAGCTTGCGAAGAGCACTAGGGTTCTTGTCGCCTTCGGGCGTGAATGCCTGGCGGATTGATTCATAGACCATAAAGTTGAGTCCGACCTGCCAACAAGTCAGTCAGCGCGCTCTTGCGTGCATGCCGATGCTGGGGGAATGAGAAGTGAGCGACACATACATAGGGGGCCACACCGGCTACAGTTGGGACGATGCCGCGGTATAGAGCCGACCAACCACCTTCTGTCCTGTACATCGACACAAGAGTTGCCCACATGCCTGGCAGCTTGTCTGGCCTCGCGCCGAGCTCTGCAAAACTGGCAGATTGGATAGACAGGCGTGTTCGGACAATGTCGAGTGGGTAGGTAAAGACGACGGATGTGATTCCCGCGAGCCCACCGCACACGAGGCGGGAAAAGGGCGACAAATCAGTTCCTAGATATGGCTCAAAGATGTTCTGGCCATCAAGTTAGCCCGGCTGCAGAGAGACGCGCTTTGGTTGCCGCGCAAAGGCACCACATACCCTCTTGTAAAAGTTGTAGCTGCTAAACTGTACAGCAGAATAGGGGACAATGCGGATGCAGTTTGTCCCGTTTCCTCGCATGAAGCCTCTCCAGCCTTCTTCCTTCCACATCTTGGCCAGGGCGTGGCCGACAGACATCTTGTATGCATCTCGCCCAGCGCTCTGAATCTGCATCAGGATCTTGAGTCTTTCCAGCGGCGATACCACTGTCCGGGAGACAGCGCCAGCTACTCCTCCACCGCAGAAGGCCGCGACCACTGGCTGAGATAATGTTTCCCGTATCTGGAGAGACCAATTGCCGCTGGGAGAGGGCTTCAACGCGTCTGGTATTGTCTAGAAGAGTCAATTAGCGGGCGAAGGCCTGTGTAGCGGCGGTGGTTGGCCGCGAAAGGGGGAAGGGGGTACTGCGTACGGTTGACATAATGGCGGGAGACTCAGCCGAGTCTTGTGTGTGTCGATTCGATCTCTATTCTAGGTAGCTCTCAACTTTCAAGGTACGGAGGCCGCTGTTGAATTGCGAAAGCGACAGAAAGCATTGGTTGATGACCGCTCGGTGCCCAGGGGGAGAAGCTGTGTCAAGCTATCCTTCCCGAGTATGCAATCGATGCCGGCGAGGATGGTAAATGAGCGACTCGGGTATCGAAGGAGCAGGTAGCATGCTCGAGAGGGTCAAGTGTCGGAACTGCTGCGGCTTCTAATGACGATGCATTGAGGAAGCAAGCAGGATGGCCGTCTTGGTCGCAGAAGGTGTCGTCGTTCTGGGGCTCGCTTCTTCCTCTTCTTCTTCTTCTTCTTCTTCTTCTTCTTCTTTCTCTTCTTCTTTCGGTTGCGTAAAGACGGATGGCGCCGGTGCAATTGGAACGGCGCAGCAGGAGGGCGAGAAAGGAGAAACGGGAAACGAGAAAGCGGCAGAAACGGCCCTTTTCCAAGCCCTCGCGTGCGTAAAGGTAAACTCTGAACGGAAGCAAACAAGTTATGGCAAAAGGAGGAATCACAAGAGTCGGACTATTCTTCTGTCGGCGCTTGTGGTGCCTTGACTTCGGGTTATCGTCGGCGCTTGGTCTTTTGCCTTTGCTTATGGGTAATCCGTCTCTGACGGCATCCAATTCGATCCTCAGCAGGGCTCCCAAGAAATGTATAGCGGGATTTGCCAATTTTGGCACAGATCACGAGATATAATACTACTACCTAGTAGTACCCATTCCATCAATATTGCTGTCAGTTGTCGACTGCTCTACAGCGGCAATGATGAGCTGGAGGCATGTCCCCGCCAATCAGATAGTGGTTGGCAGCAAAGCCGCATCCCGTCATGTTGGATCATAACCCTCGGGTCAATTAGGCTTAGGGACACCCGAAGCAATATCTGCTCCTGGAACAATAGCTTAACGTCTCAATACCTTTCACAATAAGTGCGCATTGTCGAAATAGTAGTAGTAGTAATGTCTGCTAAATGGGTATACCTAGGTAAGGTAGCTAGCTTCCTGAGGCCCCTACCTAAGGTACCTTACCTTATAGCCCAGGCGATGCAGGTATCCGCGTAGTATCACCCTTCGTAATACTACCGGCATCCTCAGTATTCAGCTTTTCGAGAATACAACGACAAATGGGGCTAGGTAGGTAGGTACCCATCGTGAATGCTTATCGATAGTGTCGCTGAACTGCGTGCTAATCAGGTACCGCGTATCTACACACTACCTAACATACGGCAATACGCCTACCGGTACAAAGCAAACATCCAAGCACCTTCGTACAGCTACAACCTCACCGTGATATCGCAATCTGTGCCACTGCGCGACCGGCTCAGCCTCTTCTCACAGACAATTCCCTGCACTCCTCCTCGCCCTTTCCGCCTCACCCAACTCTTGGAACTTCCGCCCTCTGCCAGCGATCCAAGCCGACATCTCAGACGCCATGTCGCTGAAGCGCAGTGTCTCCGCCGACACCTCAGACACGGATTCGAAGAGACCGAAATTCGCGTCGCGACAAGGCCAAGATTCGGGCGAGCAGCAGGCCGGAACGACTCACGCTCGGACAGAGGAGGATGTTTTCCCAGACTTGGTAGACGAAGCGGTGCCTTCTCTCACCCCAACAGTGCACCATTTTGCCCGCTCCGGCATCCAGCGGTCCATTGCTTTGGTGCTGGCGCATGATGGATTTCAATCCGCAACTCCAGAGGCGCTCGAAAGCTTCACGGGGCTGGTCGAGCAATGTACGTCTCCATCGCTTTCTATTGCGGACTGACTGTCCCTCTCCCAGCTAAACTCGCCCGATCTCCTTAGACATGAGCTCCATCATGGGAGAAGTCAAACGGCTCGCAATAGCCTCTCGTCGCGAGCATCCGATACCGACAGATTACGAAACAATGTTGAAATACCACAATATTTCAGTATCGTCACTCAAACCGCACGTCAAGAACCGGCTCTACAATCAAGATGTGACGGACCGCAGCCTTGTGGCCACAACAGCCGACGACACCTTCACCTCCCTTCCTCTTCTCGGTCCCGAGCTCAGCGGCCAGCCAGACAAGGAGAGCAAGCCGTACATACCGGCCTCCTTCCCCGGCTTTCCGAGCACGCACACGTACAAGTTCACGCCGCAAGAAGATAGGAGGACGAGAGAGGCCAAGCAGATCAGAGAGGAAGCGGCCAAAAGCGCGCAGCTGGGCGAGGACGCGTTGCGAAGACTGGTGCGCGCTTCCAAGATGCGCAAGCAAAAGGAGGTCAAGTCGCTGGTCGAACGCGACAGCCATGGCAAAGAGCGCTTCCGGCTGTGGGAATCGACCATGAAGCGCTTCATGGGCGGAGACCGCTTCCGAGAGCACGCCGACAAGGTGGACATTGCGGACCACAGCATGATTGTCAACGCCGATGCCCGATTTGCCCGGAGAGAAGTATCTCGGCTGGGGAAGAAGTCCAGCGCTTCATAGTAAGACCTGGCCTTTGACAAATGCCAGGGGAAAAAAAAAAAAGAGAGAAGGGGGGGTTAACAAAGCGCGAAAAAGAAGCTTCGGAAACAGTTATCAAAGAGCAAAGAAGAAGCTTCCGCATAGGTTATCCCTACTACTAGCCATTTCGTTATATGATACCCGCAGTGCTTACCGAGGTAGTACCTGGGCACTTCAGCTTCATGTTCCTATCAAGTCGTGAAAATCGCGTGACATTCTACATGGAGGAGGCATTTCAGAAGATGCGTTCACTCTCAAACTCTATGGCGGGCCAGCAGCATTGAACAGTATGAAATTTTGATATTCCCTTTCCCTTTATGCTTGGTAGAAACAGGAGCAAAGAACCTTCTTCTCCATTAGAAGTGAATTGTGTCCAGTACCCTTTTTTTTTCGGTAGTATCTCTGTAGCCAGCAATTCTTAAACCCTCTGCCAGGCTAACGTTCACAAGCACAGTTGCCCCCCGTCTCAAAGTTGCACAACTCGAGCAAGAGGCTAACTAAATGTGACGCCCTGTTTTTCCTACCCCGTCCCAAGCCATGCAACCCCTTTCCCTTCCATCTCCCGACCTAACATGCAACAAGCTTATGCTCGGGACATGACACCCCAGGCGCGGATAATGTTGTCAGTGTAGCCGGCGAACAGGGTCTGGCCATCGGCGGACCAGGCCAAGCTGACACACTCGGGCTCCCGGCTCTTCTTGCCAACGGAGGTGAACTCGGGCTTGAGCTCATCAACCTTGCTCTTCTTCTCGAGATCGAAGATGATGATGCTGCTGGCGGTGGCAGCGCAGAGCCAGTATCGGTTGGGAGAGAAGACGAGGGCGTGGATCTCGTCGTTGGCGTTGAGAGAGTACAGGTGCTTGGATTCGTTCAGGTCCCAGAGCATGGTGGTGCCGTCCTTGCCACCGGAGGCGCAGAGAGAGCCATCGGGGGAGATGGTGACGGTGTTGATGTAGCCGGTGTGGCCGATGTGGTCGGTCTGCAGCTTGCAGGTGGAGAGCTCCCAAACCTATGGCATTGTTAGAAATCGAGCCTGTACACATCATTGGGTGATGATCATGGTGTTTGGAGCGGGCTTTTCCCTCTCTTCTCTTCTGTTTCATCTGTCCTCCTCTCCTCTCGTTTTTGAACGAGGGAAGAGGATGAAGAACAAAAGAAAAGAAGATCAAGAAAAGTAAGATCAGGGCAAATGGTTTTATGTTTGTCTCATTGCCATTGCTGGCTCTGAAGTAGCAAATACTTGAGAAATTGCAGTACATCATAAGATGGGGTTGAATCGTAGCAAGGGCACAGAGCGAATAGAACCAGAGACATACCTTGACCAGCTTGTCCCAGCCGCTGGAGACAATGACGGGGTTCTGGGGGTTGGGGCTGAATCGGACGCAGGAAACCCACTCAGTGTGGCCCTTGTCGGTGATGGTGTACTTGCAGTCACCGAGGGTGTTCCACAGCTTGATGGTTCGGTCACGAGAGCCGGAGACGATCTGTCGGTTGTCGGCGGAGAAGGAGACGGAGAGAACGTCGTTGGTGTGGCCGACGAATCTTCGGGTGGTGGTGCCAGTGGCGAGCTCCCACAGGCGGAGGGTCTTGTCCCAGGAGGCAGACAGAGCGTAGGCGCCGTCGGAGGAGATCACCTGTAGAAAAACAAACCGCTGTCAGTCTACGAGAAGTCGGTTCGCAAGGACCAAGCGGTATGTAGATGGCAACGTACGCAGTCGGACACAATGTGGGAGTGGCCCTTGAGCGATCGCTTGGGGTAGCCGTACTGAGTCTCGTCGCGGGTGAGGTTCCAGATGATCAGGGTCTTGTCTCGGCTACCAGACAGGAGCATGTTGGGGCTGTTTTCCTGTTAGTTTGACGAACGGAAACGGATCGAGTGCATTTGGTGAGGAGCCAAAGGGGCAATCGTACTTCTCCATGGAGGTGGCCAAGCTGGTGACCCAGCCATTCTGTAGTCAAAATGTCAGTTCCAACTCTCGAATCTCGACAAGAGGCAGCGGCAGCGGCCGGGGGGGAGGAGGAGAAGTCGTACGTGGCCCTCGAGGGTACCTTTGAGGATCAGTTGTTCAGCCATTGGGTACAGCCTCGCCTCTGCGCAAAGAGTTTCGAGATGGGTGAGGAAAGAGAAATTTAGCTGTGAAGACCACTTCTCTTCTGCAAAAGGTCAGCACCAGGATGTAAAGCTCTCGAGGTTGGGGCTGGTTGAAATTGTGAATTTTTTGTGTGGGCGCAAAAATTAGGGCCGAGCGATGCGATTGGCCAGTGCGGCTGACTAAGGGTGGAAATCTTGGCAATCAACCCGTTATCTGCTAGAGGACTTTGATGACCTTCCAGTGGTGCAATTGGGTGGGCTTGAAGAAGAGCGGAAGTCTTCAACTTGAGATATGTACTTGGAACTTACCTACATAGTACTATTAGAAGAGAGATGCAGCTTGAGTCCGTGAAGATGTAGTATTTACTAGATATTGCTGGTGTTTAGTCTCTCTCATATCAAACTAATCAAGAAGATTCTACGTGGCGGGAAAGAGAAGGCGGACAAGTCATTCTATGTACTTTCTGGACGCTGAAGCCTTCAACCGCCGGGCTATCAGCGTGATGCCGCGTTGGACGCCGCAATGCTGAGGTGCCAGTCGATAGACTCGCTGAAAGTGACTTACCTTTGTTTACCTGGCCATGTAGGGCACTATCAGAGTCCATCAGCTTACCTGCATTACTTGTCGGGGGGGGATATGTGGCAGTGTAGTCTAAGCGAGCAGCAGGTGTCAAGCAGGCATTGCATTTCATACCACCTAACGCTCTATATCCCTCTAACCTTGAGACCTACTATAGGTAGGCAATGAAATAATTACACAGAAGAATCACAGTACCAAGGCTGATGTTCCCGAAAAGACGCCTGAGCTACACACAGCTCCTACTGTGGATGATGCGAAGCGGAGGTTACCAGACACTTGAGGTGTCGAAATGCTTCGTCAAGCTAGAAAGCTTGCATTGACCCCCCGCCTATGTCGTTTCAATGGCGAAAAGGGCTTGCCCATACTCTGCGAGCTGAAAGCACTTGTCTCTGAAGATTTGAACTTCCTAGTCCGGCCAGGTTGGGCTTCCAAGGAATGGGCACCTTCTTCGGTCTCGTCTTCCTCTAGGATGGTGTTAGTCTTGTTCAAGAGTTTCCTTCTCCTCTTTCTGTGCTCAGCTTCAGGAGGAGGAGGTGGTTCGGCGACGACAGGCTCATGCAGCTTTATCCTCTTGGATGGAGCCGTCTCCTTTGGGCGTATTGCCTTCGGCGCCGCCTCGTCCTTTTTGTCTTCGGGATTCGCCTGTCCTATGTCCCCTTCCTCGGCTACTGGCTTGTTCTTTGCTTTCGGATTCAGTTTCTCTCGAGGCCTCAAAGGTGTCGTTGTTTCGTCCTCGACATTGAGTGTTGCTGTTGCGGGGGCTTCAGATTTGTTTGCCATCCGCAATGGTGATGGATCATTTTCGGCTGATGCAAGTACATCATCTAGCGGCAGCTTAAGGACAGTGCTCTCCGTCGTTTTGTTGAGGAGCGGTGTGATTGAAAAGGTAGATTTTTCCCCCACCATGGCTTGTTCCGTTGCACGCTTCCTCGCTGTGTGCTTGCGAGGCAGCCTTTCCTTCTCAGTCGCCGCAGACTGTCCCCTTGTACGGGATCCCGCTCTCGCTCCTTGGGCGTTGCTGGTTGTGTCATCCTCCGGACCATCTTCTTTGCCGCTTGATCGAGATGCCTCAAGATCTTTCCGCAGGTTCTGAAGCTCCTTCTGAGATTCTTTCAGCTTCTCCTCCAAGGTCGAGATCTTTCCTTCCAGCCTGTGTTTCTGACGTTCCGATTTGTCCATTTCCCCCTGGTGGTTCGATTCCATGGTTTTCCGGTGTCTCTTCTCCTCGTTTAATTCTTCTGTCGCCTTCTTCAACGCTGCTCGAAGCGCCGCGAGATCCTCGCCCTTTTCATTCGACCCTTCAGATTTCGATTGCCTCTTATTCGCGGGTTCCTTTTCAGATTGCTCTTGTTGAAGCTGGGTTTCGCGTTGTTCGGCTATCATCCTCTCATACTTTTTCACTTGTTGCCGTAACAGCTCAATCTCTGGTCGCAGCTGCTGGAGTTCTTTCGTCAGGGCGAGATTCTCATCCAAAGCCTTGCTGAGATCTTGCATGCAGGTTTCAGGGGACTTGGTCTGCGTCTTCGTCGCATTAGCAAGCAGGGGGGTGATGTAAAGGGCTTTGGGTGTGACATACAGCCAGACCAGTCATCTCGGTCGCAGTGCCGTTCACCTGCGCGTCTTTGGAGGAATCCCCAGCCTTGATCCTATTCAGCTCGACGCGCAACTGTTCGCCATCCTGCGACAGAGCTTTGATCTCTGCGTCCTTCGCGGCGCATTCCTCTTGTAGCTGGACCTTCTCATCCTTGAGAAGCAGCAGTCGGAGCTCCAGCCGGCGAGCGGCCTCATCTCGGCTGATGAGATCGGTTTTGTGGCGGTTTTGTTGATGCTGCAGGTCGAGCTCATGGAGACGCGTCGTGCGCTGGAAATCAACATACGGTAAGCACAATGTCAAGCAGCCGGCAACAGTTAAGGGTATCGGTACCTACCTCAATCGAGTTGGCGCTCATGGCTGGGTTTCATCCAATCGCGCGAGGGAAATTGGCCTTAGGGTGAGGAACGGTTGTAATGGCAGGATAAAATTGCAGTGTAAGTCTGATGATCGAAGAGAGCGTTCCTTTTACTCTGTCGCGTCCGGCCTGTCCGATGCGCCCATTGAATGCAAACAAAGCATGCAGGTTCTCAGAGGCTTCGAGGTACAACGGAGCACTAACATCAGCAGCTGTTCCATCGACATATCGGAGCAACTGCAGTGGCTCTCAGCCGGAGCTCTGGGAGAGTACTGAGCACTCTTGCGGCACCTTGAGCCCAGTTATTCCTACGCACTTTAGTACTGTACCCGCTGAGTAGAGAGTACCTGAGCTGATCCATATGCGCTAGCCGCATACGGTTAAGAGGCATCGCGTGGCATGCAACTGGAAGGCTAGCTTAGGTTACATAAGCCGCAGACGGGCCAGCTTTGATGACAGCACAGGAACACTTGGCAGCTTCAGGACCTAAGGTACGGTAGAGGTAGTTGGCGACAACACCAGCAGGCGAGCGGCGGTACGTTTTGATACAACAGCTGCGAAACAACCGCAACGATGCACTTCTTGTCGTCACTTGCGCCTCTGCTTCTGCTCTTCAGCGGGAGCCTCGCAAAGAAGGCGCCGGCGGACAATTATGAGGACTTCTACCGGCTGTCTCAGCGTTCAACGCCGTTGAAGCTGAATGATGCCACATACACCTCTTTGACGGCTGCCCCGAGAAATCATAGCGTGGCCGTTCTTCTCACGGCCCTGGAAACCAGATTCGGTTGCCAGCTTTGTCAGGAGTTCCAGCCCGAATGGGACCTTCTCGGACGCAGCTGGATTCGTGGTGACAAGGCCGGCGAATCTCGATTGCTCTTTGGCACCTTGGATTTCGCCGACGGCCGGGACGTCTTCATTTCGGTGTGTAGTGAAGCTACAATCCATCAACTCTGAGCTTCTTCGTGCTAATGCACCAATTCGTACTACAGCTTGGCCTGCAAACAGCCCCGGTGCTCCTCCTCTTCCAACCAACAGTAGGACCTCATGCCGTTGGCTCTCCAGAGCCCGTTCGATACGACTTCACGACAGGGTGAGAGATCATGCCAAGCCCTCCAACACACCTTGCATTGCAATCGATCCTAATCAGAGACCAGGCCTCCATCTGCTGAACAGGTCCATACCTGGCTGTCCCGGCAACTACCCAACAGGCCGCATCCCCCGGTGAAGCGGCCGATCAACTGGTTCCGATGGGCTTCTACTATCACGATCATCCTCGGCGTCGGCACGGCGGTGGTCAGCGCCTCTTCGTATGTACTGCCCATCATCCAGAACCGCAACATTTGGGCCTCGATCAGCTTGATATCGATCCTTCTCTTCACCAGTGGACACATGTTCAACCATATCCGGAAGGTGCCGTACATTGTCGGGGATGGCAAGGGTGGCGTCAGCTACATTGCAGGAGGGTTCCAAAGCCAGCTCGGATTGGAAACGCAGATTGTGGCCGCCATCTGTAAGAGTACCCCCTTTCATACCACCATGTTCACCAGACTGACGCATCCCTAATAGATGGTGTGCTCTCATTCTGCGCTATCACGTTGGCCGTCAAGGTCCCGCGCATGGCCGACTCCAAGACCCAGCAAGTCGCAGTGATCATTTGGAGTTTGATCTTGTTCCTGGTATACAGCTTCCTCTTGAGCGTCTTCCGCGTCAAGAATGGCGGTTATCCATTCTCTTTGCCTCCTTTCATGTAGTAAATGAATGAAGGAGCTGGAAGAAATCGAAATCAAGATGCGATACCTCGCGCATGATTTCAGCAGCAGAGAACTGGTATACAAGCTGCAGCCGTCAATCGATGATCAAATCGATCGGTACAGTAATAGGTAGCCAAGGGGAAGCATCGCCTGGAGTAGGACTGCCTACATCTGCAGTGTCCGAAATCCGTTTCAAACGTGTGTTGTAGTGCAATTTTGTCAGAGCATATCAATGCATGTCGGTGCAGAGCGCCCAAGCCTTATCAGCTACTGTAGATAAAAAGTAGAAGCTCAGTACTAAGGACCTACTAGGGAGAAATAAACATCAAGTCCAAGCCAATGCCGGAGCAATGATCTCGTACACCTATAACTCGCGGGTTGACTAATGGGCAAGCATCATCTGCTCCATCAATTCGAGCAGAGCTACATACAATATGTACACAAAGTGATTGCATACAACTTCAAGTTGTTCTTGCCTTCAATCGGCCTAGCTTGCAATCCACAGGCAATTCAAGTCGCTAGCCTGTTATCGATACGCCGGATCTTGGCGAAACGGGCTGGCTCGTTAGGGCGCTCGCCTTAGTCATTCGCACATACCCTAATTGCCCTCGTTGACCGCTCTGACACTAGTGTCACGGCGGACCAATCAGAGCCCTGATTGAAGATCCGAGCCCTGAAACTTCTGGGAAAAGTTCACCTCTGTATTCACGGCCTTCTTCGACTTTGACAATCAAGCCCATCATCAAGCTTTTCAGCACCAGTCGTCGCCATGGGTACGTGAAAGAACTGACATCGCCTGCGTATGCGAGTGGTGATGATACCTTGCGTATCATCTCTGCGATCTGGACGCCATCTTGCCTGCAAGATGCGCGGCCATATTTGAGCATGAACCATCTGGCTGACGGCGGTTTTTCAAAATTCCAGGTATCGATCTCGACCGCCACCACGTCAAGGGCACTCACCGCAAGGCCCCCAAGAGCGACAATGTCTACCTGAAGCTCTTGGTCAAGCTTTACCGCTTCCTGGCTCGTAAGTCTCAAAATCCGCGATCCTGGGAAACCCAAAGGAAAAAAAAAAACATTGTATCGAAGTGAGCCGCCTTGCGGAATTCTAACGAAGGGGATGACAGGCCGAACCGATGCCGCTTTCAACAAGGTGGTCCTCCGACGACTGTTCATGTCCAAGATCAACCGCCCCCCGGTCTCTCTGTCCCGCATTGTTGCCAACATCAACAAGGAGGGCGAGAAGCGCACCGTCGTCGTTGTCGGCACCGTCACCGATGACAACCGTCTCCTGTCTTTCCCCAAGACGACCGTTGCCGCCCTTCGGTTCACCGCCACTGCCCGTGCCCGCATTCTTGCTGCCGGTGGTGAGGCCATCACCCTCGACCAGCTGGCTCTCCGTGCTCCCACTGGCAGCAACACCCTGATCCTCCGTGGACCCAAGAACAGCCGAGAGGCTGTCAAGCACTTCGGATTCGGCCCCCACAAGCACAAGGTCAGCTATCGCGAGGATTGTCGGTGGTCTAAGCATGTACTAATATTTTGCCGCAGAAACCTTTCGTCGAGTCCAAGGGCCGCAAGTTCGAGCGTGCTCGTGGCCGAAGACGCTCTCGTGGCTTCAAGGTCTAAATGGTGGTTGAAAAAATGGGCAAGCATCAGGATGGAGGTACTTTTTATCTCCAATTTTTCGCTTTATGTATGGGACCAAATGGGATGGCGTGACTTGATATCATTCGTACCTCAAAATTTCGTGCCTGGACATGGCCAAATTGATGATCAGCTTGACCAACTCGTCGTAGCACTGGATTGTGATTGTAGTAACTTGGTTATATCTTATTGATTATGGCTATCTGCAGCTGTGCTATCAATGGTCTCCGTGCCATCAATGGTAGCCTTGGCCTTTCTGAAAAGAGCCACAAAGTATGCCTCTTTGCTTTCCTGAAATGGCTCGTTAGTACGATATTTATCATCACATGATTGTTGAGACATCTTACTGCTCTGGATGCATCTGGTTTCTCCCTGTAAACCTTTGAAAAGAGAAGCTTGAGCTTCTTCTCCAGTTCTTTGTCCTCCGACCCTGTGTAGAATTTGCAGACAAAATGACCACCAGGTTTGAGCGTGTCGCTGGCGAACCGAAGTGCAGCCTCGCAGAGGTCCTAAAGTCACCGTGATCAACATTGCTGCCCTATTTTTCTTACTTCCTAAACTGGTGCCAAGTGTTAAAATTCGTCCTTACCATGCTGCCGGCGTGATCTCGAGACCGATTACCGCTCGTATTCATCAGCCTGTCATAAGGGTTACTTAAAGTGCTTGAACTGGATCTAGACACTTGGTCCCATGGTTCTGACATATCACTTAACACAACCTATACTGGCGTCAGCATAGGCACAAAATTGTCATGGACATCAGAGCACGGCTTAGTAGAACGAACATCTACGGAATATTTCGAGTCTGAATCCGTTGTGCTGCCGGCTCTTGGTCCCGCGCTCCCCGCGGAGTGTCTCTCTCGATCGATGTAGCTCGGCTGATCGATGATGGTGTCCTCGGAGAGCAAGTCCTCGTCCTCATCAACATCATCCTTCTTGTTGGCATGGCGTGGTCGGTCGCTGTGGCTTTGGGCAATGAAGTCTTTGAGCAGTTTCTGAACCGACGGAGACAGAAAGTCGCCTTGGAATGTTGCGACACCCTGAGGAGGATGGGCGGGTATAAGGTCGATACCAATCACACGACCATACGGCCGGGTGCGATCGACGGCTACCTACAGCACGGACATGTAAATTTCCTGATTGTTTGCTGGACTACGCACGAGGGCCGAACAAAGGCCATGAAAACGATACGACGTACTTGTGACCAACTGCCCGGCGCATAGCCCTGGTAGAAGAGTGTCAGGCCCAAGATGCTCGCGATTCTTGTTGTCACCTGTTTCCATGCCGTGCCGGGCAAACTTACCAGATCAACCACAGTTTGACCTTTCTTGAAGAGCTTGTATTTAGAATCAATCTTTCAATGACGCGTATTAATACCAAGTGTGCACGAATGAAAGAATGACAGGGCCAATCTTGCCTCCAGCAGTTTAAAGGCCGCTCTACTCTTTAGATTCTGAACCTTGGAATAGCGGACGTATGGGTCGTGTCCTTGGCGGTTCTTCCACTGATTGCCAGAGGAAGCGAGCCTGACGGACGTCAACCAAGGAGCTCTGCTGAGAGGAGCGGCATGTATTGATGAGAGAGCCCAAGAGTGCCGTATCAGTGGAAGAGCCCGTGGGAAGGCTATCCGTGAAAAGGCTGGATATCGAAGCAGCATGGTCCCATTCGAGGAGAATTCATGCCGTAGCTGTAAGGGCCGATCAGGAGCTCATGATGAAGAGGCTTGTCTCAAGAGAAGCTCTGAGAGTAGGTATAAACGGACTGGGCACTAATAAGTGCAAACCCCCGTTTTCTTCTTATAAGCTCTCTAACTACATAACGATGTCCTTCTACAGGGAAAAGGTGAACAATGTTCAGACCATAGTACAAAGTCAACTTTCCACCTTGGAAGTCTTGGAAAACAAAACACATATTATTAAACCTGAGTAGCAAGAGATGGAACTGTAAGTATCTCGAAGAGAGAGAAGAAAGAGAGAGGGAGAGAGAGAAAGTGCCAGTACAAGGTCACCACCACCTTACCTTATTCTTCTTGGAAGGAATCATATGCATATAAGCATATTAGTCTGCTTCTGAATCCCACCCCTCTAAGCCAGCCTGGCCCAAGCCCAACTGCCTTGGCGAGGCTGCCAATCAGCACAGCAGGCAGCCCACTCAATTACCCGCCCAACCTGATGGAGCAGCAGTAACTCTGAGCAATAGTAACTCTCGCCCGCCGAGCAGCCAAATTCACCTTCATCTGCGGCTCGCGTCCCTCGACTGGTCTTATATCTGATACCCCGTCATATTCTTCTCCGAGAGCATCTTCTCTTCTACGAAAACATCCCACCGGGCGAAACTTGAAGCCTTCGATTCCGCTGCACGCTGCTGGTTGACAGAATGGCCGTCGTAAGTGCACACTGTTCTCTTTCTGGTCTCGTTTGGTCAACCCTTGCTCTCGTGGCAGATATGGGAGCTGCCAGTTCGGGGTTCTCCCTCGATGCTTACACCCCAGGAGGCGATCCCCCGGGTCTTGTCTCTCTCCCTCTGCTTCTCCCTCTCCTCCCTCGACAGGATCCATTCCAAGGACTGGCGCTGTGGACTGAGGGGCTGAACTGGCTGCCATCATCACCGCATCCATCTGGCCGTGTTTGCTGAGATCCCTTGCTTCTTGCTCTGCATCTGTGGCATGCTTCATCTTTGGCTAACGAGTGCAGCCGCGAGCATATGCCCCTGGCTACATACAGAATGGTGCGACCGGCCTGCCATCACCTGGAGCAGCGCCTCTGCTGCCCAACCAGGGTCGTATCATCCAGACGGGGCCCATCCGGATTCTTTGCATCGCGGACGTTCGAGGTATATTGTGGATATGGCTATATAATCTTTGACAGTCACTGACGCCTCGCCCAGGAAACTTGCGATCGCTCAACGAGCTTGCTAAGCAAGCCCAAGCCGACCACATCATCCACACTGGCGACTTCGGATTCTACGACCATACCTCCCTGGACAGAATCGTGGAGAAGACGCTGAAGCATGTGGCACAGTATTCACCACTCATCTCCGAACCGGTCAAGAAGGCTATTCAGCAGGGCGGACCTGGCTCTGTTAAGTCCAGATTCTCTGCGAGCGAGCTGCCCCTTTCCGAACTTCCCCTTCTCCTCAGCGGAGAGCTGAAACTCGACGTTCCCGTCTATACCGTCTGGGGTGCCTGCGAGGATGTTCGGGTTCTTGAGAAGTTCAGGTCATCCGAATACAAAGTTCCCAACCTCCATATTATTGACGAAGCTCGCTCCATGCTGCTGGAAGTGGGTGGTGTGAAGCTCCGACTTCTTGGTCTCGGTGGTGCCGTGGTTATGCATAAGCTATTCGACAACGGAGAGGGCCGCACCACCATTGCAGGAGGTCAAGGTACAATGTGGACGACCCTGCTGCAGATGGGAGAGCTTGTGGACACTGCTCATCGCGTCTACGACCCTACCGAGACCCGAGTCTTCATCACGCACGCTTCTCCTGCTCGCGAGGGTATCTTGAACCAGCTCTCCGTCACTCTGAAAGCCGACTTTTCCATCTCAGCCGGACTCCACTTCCGGTACGGAAGCTCCTACAACGAGTTCAGCGTAAATCCTACGCTTGATCATTACCGTGGGAAGCTCGCCGCCTCGAAAGCCTCTTTCAACGACGTTTGGGAAACTGTTCGGGGAGAGGTTGAGCCTGCAATTCAGCAGAATGAGGCTCAGCAGAACCTGCTGAAGAACGCTCTGCAAATAGTGGAAAAGATGCCCTCGACGGCTGCTGGAGGGAATCCCTTTGGGGGCCCCGGCCAAGGTGTTGGCGCAGTTGACGAGAGCGCTTTCAAGAATATGTGGAACTTCAACCTCGCCGATGCCGCCTTTGGCTATCTGGTTCTGGAAATCCAAGACGGGAGAATTGGCACCGAGATGCGTGCTCAGGGATTCAACTTCTCCCACCGGGGAGCCAAGCAGCAGCCATCAGCTGCTCCCACATCCACAGCCGCTGGCGCTCCAGCAAGCGCGGCGGCTTCTGCTGCGCCCACGGCACCTGCTCCCAAACAATCTCCATCGACTCAGCCCCTGAAGGCTGTTCCCACCGCACCCGTTCCCGCTACAGCGAACCGACAAACCCCCCAACCCACCACGGGCAGCGGCTCGGCTACTAAGGACGCTGACAAGGCAGCTACTTCGACGAACGGGTCGGCAAACGCCCCTGAACCGGCCACCTCGCCGGCCCCAAAGACATCGGCATCTGATATCATTGGCCTTTTCATTATGAATGTTAACACAGAGGAGCAATGCCGTGACCTGTTTGACGAGGCAGACAAGGCCAAGATTCTCAAGATTGAGAAATGGGGTGGCTCAAACAAGGTTGTTCAGTTCCGAACCATTGAAGACCGCGATGCAGCTATGGGCAGGTTACCGGAGTCTGTGAAGACGCGAACTCAGGAGGATCGGTCAAAACCCCTAGTCAAGATCTTCCACCACCGAGAAGGCAAGCCCTTCAACAGCCGCGGCAATGCCGGGACCTGGGGTGGCAGCGGGCGAGGCGGAACTGCCACAAGCGGATATCGCAGCGCCGGCGGCACTAGCGACTCTGAGAGCAACCGGCGAGGTGGTCGCGGAGGTCGTGGATCTCGGGGTGGCGAGCGAGGACGCGGATCTCGTGGCCGAGGAGGCCTAAAGGGAGACGCGGGCCCATCACCTGCAGCGGTACCCTCTACCCCTTCTGCCGATTGAATCCGGCCAGCGAGCATCGCGTTCCCTGATCGTCTCAGCCCGCTGTAGTGGGCATCCTCCTTCCGTCTTTCTTCATAAAACTTTTTTTCTTCTTCAGGCGCGCCCAGCCTTGAGAAATCTATCTCGTTCACGTGGTTTTCCTATGGGACAAACTGGCGTTAGGCTCTGGAAGGTAGGAGAGCAAGGTCCAGGACTATTCATGCAGTACAGAACGTATCTCATGAGCTTCCGGGAGGACTAAGTGTTGGCTTGGGATTTTTTTATTAGCCTTCCTTTTCCATTGGCACCTCCAATAGTTGAGTTATCAAAAGAGAGAGAGAAAAAAAAAAGAGAGAAATTGAAGCAATAAGTTCTGATCAAAGCACGCTACCTAGGTCGCTTGAACCAGGCAGTCATGTTGTTCTTCTCGATAGTATGTAAAGTGACGGCGGTTTTAGGCGATTATCCTCCAGTTGATCTTGGGCTTATGATGCGTTCTATCTTTACTACACTAATATACAAGACAAGGCTGCAAAGATTAGGGGCAACACTCATAGGGGCTTGATACCCTTATGAATGGCTGCGACGCCACCGGTGAGGTCCTCGTATCCCTTGCCCACAATGGCGAAACCCGCATCAGCAATCATGTCTCGGAACTCTGTTTGAGAGGGAAACCTCTCGATGCTCTCCACCAGGTACTGGTAGCTATCGCGGTCGCCCGCAACGAGCTGGCCGATGAGGGGGATGGCGCTGAAGGACCACTGCTTGTAGATGGCATTGAACAGGGGGTACTTGTCGACCTTTGAGAACTCCATGCACGCGAAGACGCCGCCGGGCTTGAGGACTCTGTAGGCCTCCTTGAGGGCGGCGGGCATGTTGGAGAAGTTGCGGATGCCAAAGGCGACCGTGTAGAGGTCGAGCGAGTTGTCCTCGAGGGACGAGGGCAGGACCTCGGCGTTTGCCTCGAGGAAGGACAGGGAGGACTGGTGGGATGCTGGGAGGGCGAGGGAGCGCTGCCTGCCGACGGCGAGCATGGCCGGGTTGATGTCTGAGATGGTGACGTGGACGTTTGGGTTGCCGTTGTTGACGTGGGCGTGCTGCAGCATGCGGAAGGCGATGTCGCCGGTGCCTCCGGCGACGTCGAGGATGCGCTGGGGCATGCCGGGGGGGTTTGTGGCTCCTGGGTTGAGTGAGGAGACAAAGTAGTCCCTGAGTGAGTGGTGGTGAGTTGCTGGTTAGCCACAGGTACACAAGATATGTGTTGAGACGGCGAGCGCAGAGGCGGAGATAGATAGGAATAAGACATGAGAGAGAGGAGGATAGAGAGAGATGAGAGTGAGAGATGAGACTCACTTCCACAGACGATGAACTCCTAGTGACATCAAGTCGTTCATCTTGTCGTACGACTCAGCAACGCTGGTAAAGACCTCGGCAACCCGCTCCCGCTTGACGGATTCCGTGACCGTCTCGAATCCAAAGTGAGTCTGGCGATCTGAGGTGGACGATGGCTCTGATGACCGCGGCTGGCGTGTGGTGGAAAGGAGGCGCTGGTTCATGCGGGAGATGCAAGCCGTGGGCCGCAAGAGGCCTGCGCGGCTTCTTAAGAGTGAAGGAGCAGACATTGTGCTGTGTATCTTTGGTTGTGTTTTTGTTGTTTTGTTTGATCCCTCGGTACTAGTCTAGAGAGGAAATGCAATAATTTTAATGGTGAGAATTCGTGGTTGAACGAGCCGTAGAGGGAGATTTCCGGGTCTGTCCTGTGCTGTGGCGTCTCACTCGTGCAGAGAATTGTGAGATATATCTTTTTGTTGTCTTTTTTTTTCCTGCAAGAGATTATGCTGCAATCAGGCACAGGTCCGTCAAACTAAGTGGTATCAAGTCAGCAACGGCAATACAGCATCCAATTGATGGGTTTCAAGTCGTACCAGTGAGGTTCTACTGTCTCTCTGCCGCCTCACTGTCGCTGGAAGTGGACTGAGGTTGGATGTTTTGATGGCGATAGACGGCGAGGGCCTGGATAAAGCGGTGGATACTCTTTTGGAAGAGCCAGCCAATCAGAGCGACGAAGACGAAGAGGCTGAGGATGAGCATCACCAGGTTAATCGCAGGAGTGGCCATTCCGAGAGGAAGGAAGTAATTGAGTGTCAAGGAAATAATGTCCGTTTAATGAAATGAAGAGGCTCCTTTTCCTTCTTCTAATTTTTAATCTCTGAGGTGTCGCGCGTTGGAGTCAAGAGTCGCTGCAGCTGTGTGCTGATGTTGAGATGCTGTGGGATTGGAAGACTGGTGATGGCCTCAACTGAAGATGATCAGAGTAATGTGTTCGTGATGAATATTCAAATCCTACCGAAAAAAGAAAAAAAAAGAGAAGAAGACACAAGCACTCAGCTCAAGCGACTGAATTTGTAGAGAAGCCATGTTTGCCAGCTGATGCAGTGAATTCGTACGTTCTGCCTGCCACCTGGCTGCCACTCGTCTGTCTGTTCACCAACGGTGGACCAAGTACAGACGATTCAACATCCATCTTCAAATTTAGGAGTACAATAACACGAGAGGCTAGAAGAGCTCGAAAACTGCGTTCAGGCATTGACGAGAAACCTTCGCAACGAAGTGCTGTTTCGGTGCAAGTGAAGACGATGTACTATCATCCTAAGGTAAAGCAATAAACAGTATATGCTGATAACATCCCTACACTGCAACGAAATCACAGCACTGCCAATTCGATTCATCGGTAGCAGGACAATGACCGGTTCCAACACAGCCTGGACCAAGACGCGTTTCCTCATCATAGAGCTTCCAAGGCGAGCGGCTTACATAAAGAAACCTCGGGAAGTCCCCCCCCTTGTTAGCGTGCTGACGGATTGTGTCGGCTCAATTGTGACCGCTCACCATCGGCAGACTCGCGCCTTATCCCGAGCATAAAGACGACGACATCCAGAGCCATCCCCGGATTGCTAATAATAATAACATTGGCCCAGGAGAGCTCTGCTTCTTACACGTCTCCTTCCTGCTGCTGCTGTGAATTTGAGAAACAGGATTGTGCATTTTGCAGCAGGCGCAATGATGAACCCGCTCAAGATGAACCCTCGCCTCCTCCAGAGGGCCTCAATACGGAGACTGGCAAAGCCGTCCGTCTCCGTCATCTCGAACCCGGTCCGGAGTGCTGGCAGCCTCTCTCAGCGCCCCAACTCCAACTTCGTCTCTTTCCCCGGCGCCCTCAAGAGCTCCTTCACCAGCACCCTCAAGTTCGAGACGCCCGACTCATACACAGCGTTGCCGACGTACCGAGTCGTGGACCAGAACGGCCAAGTGGTCGACCCCTCCTTCAGCCCCGACATCAGCGATGAGGCCGTCATCAAGCTCTACAAGGACATGCTGTTCATATCCATCATGGATCTCATCATGTTCGACGCCCAGAGACAGGGCCGCCTGAGCTTCTACATGGTAAGCGCGGGCGAGGAAGCCGTGAGCGTCGGCACCTCCAGCGTGCTGGACAGAGACGACGTCGTCTTCTGCCAGTACCGAGAGCAGGGCTTCTTCAAGGAGCGGGGGTTTACGACCGAGCAGTTCATGTCGCAGCTCTTTGCCAACAAGAAGGACAATGGCCGGGGGAGGAACATGCCCATTCACTACGGATCCAAGGAGCTAAATATCGTGAGTACACGCCCCCCGGACGTTACGCCCTACAACTCGCTTGCTAACCACATGCTTTGGCAAACAGCACACCGTCTCTTCACCATTGGCAACGCAGCTTCCGCAGGCTTCGGGGGCGGCCTATGCGCTGAAGCTACAGAGGTTGCAGGATCCCAGCGTAAAGCCGCGGGTAGCGGCCGTCTTCTTTGGCGAGGGAGCCGCCAGTGAGGGTGATTTCCATGCAGCGCTCAACATTGCCGCCACGCGCTCGTGTCCCGTTGTCTTCATCTGCCGTAACAATGGCTTCGCCATTTCTACACCTACCCTTGACCAGTACAGGGGAGACGGCATCGCAAGCAGAGGAATCGGATATGGAATCGACACCATCCGGATCGACGGAAACGACATCTGGGCAGTTCGGGAGGCGACGAAGAAGGCACGGGAAATGGCCCTGCAAGACGGTGGCAAGCCAGTTCTGATTGAAGCAATGACGTACCGTGTCTCTCATCACAGCACTTCCGACGACTCATTCGCATACCGGGCTCGTGTCGAAGTCGAGGACTGGAAGCGGCGAGACAACCCCATTACCCGGCTGAGGAAGTGGATGGAGGCCAAGGGCTGCTGGGACGAGACCAAGGAGAAGGAGGCCAGGGACAGCCTGAGGAAGGAGATCCTGAAGGCCTTTAGCGAAGCAGAGAGGGAGAAGAAGCCGCCCATTCGATCCATGTTTGAGGACGTATATGAGAATCTGACTCCAGACCTGAAGGAGCAGATGGGCCAGCTCAAGGCGATGCTGGAAACATACCCTGAGGAATACGATATCGGGACTTATGAGGGTGGACTGGACAGCTTGGTTGTTGAGAAGGACAATTAGACGGCTGTAGATGAGCGTATGTTCTGTAAATAAACTGATCTTGTATAAGTATCGAATGGAATCGAATGAAAAAAATTGCGCATCCGATGCACATTTTAATAATTTTAAAGCCATCGTGACTCTTTTGAGTGGGAAGAAGAAGACATACAAGATGAAGGAAAGAAAAGTATTGAAAAGCGCCATCAATAGAGCAGAGTTACCTTATCTCAACTGTTACCTCATCGGTGCTAGTACACCAGGCTCGATTGCCCAGCACATGGCTGACACTAGTGCGCCACAGGCCTAGCGCAATACCCCATTGTTCACTGATTGGAGGATGCTTAGGTACAGGAACAACGCCAGTTCCCCAGCACAGAGCTCTCTCTGCACCAAGCTTAGAAGCTACCTACCTTACTTTTGACATCACTCTCTCTCTCTCTCTGTGTGTGTCTGTGTCTCTCACATCGTCACCTTTTGCATCATCGCATCCATGTCAAGCAAGAGGCACTCCATCCTCCCGGCCGTCGACCGCAGCGGCCCGAAGCCGCCCGTCAACTTCTCCACGTCGCTCACCATCTCGGACAATGCGGTCCTGCTGGGCAGCCACTCGATCACGATGCAGGCAGAGACGGTGATTCATCCCCGGTCCCGCATCGAGTCCAGCGTCGGTAGCGTCCTCGTTGGGCGGCGCTGCATCGTCCAGGAGCGAGTCCATCTCGGAGCGCCTCCAGACAATACCGGAAAGGCCGCAGGAGGCGTCAGCCTTGGGGACTACGTTCTCATCGAGGCAGGTTCGGTCATCGAAGCCGGGGGCACCGAAATTGGCGAGGGCAGCGTTATCCAGGTTGGAAGCAGAATTGGAAGCGGTGCCAGAATTGGAAAGGTAAGGGCAGCCGTCCAGAGAATTACTCGAGGGACTACAGGGCAAAAGAGGGAATTGAGCGGAAACTAACACAGCTGCTTTAGAATTGCACCGTGTCACACTTGTCAATAATAGCCAGCGGCGAGGTGCTTCCCGACAACACGGTCGTTTATTCAAACGGCACATGGCGAACCGACAAACGCGGAACCCCAGAGCTTCGAAAGCTGAGTATAGTGAAACAGATTGCTATGCTGAGGAAAATGATACCGAGCAACCCAGACAAGTTCCGATAGACCAACTACGGCATGCTGCATCAATAGCTCATAGCATTCTCGAAAAGCGCACGCAATTGCTCCTTCTCAGTCTGCAGTTCGGTAGAGAGGCTGGGAGCAAGCTTTAGCACTCGGGCCTGAGGAATGGTGCCTTCGACGAGCGCGTCAATGTGTTCGCTGCCGAAGCCCAGGTCCTTCAAGCCGTTTGGCTGGTCACCCAGATCCTGCAAAAACTTGATCAGTGCCTCTGCCAGAATCTCACCAGCACTCTCCGCCTTGGCGTTGGAAATGTCCACGCCGAATGCCTCAGCCGCGATGAGATGTCTTTCCGGGTTAGAAGGCGCCGTGAACCGGAAGACGGCGGGGGCAGAAACCGCCACCGAAACGCCGTGTGGAATGAGCGGGTTCGGAATGTCATAGCCAGCGTGCTTGTACCCCGGGTTTTGGCCCGAGATAGGATACGACATGCCTAGGTTCACAACTGGTGTCAACAAGCCGCTCGCGAAACAATGTGACAAGGGTCACATACCGTGGCACAAGTGGACGCCCGCGTTTCCAAAGCCAACTCCGGCAAGCGTTGCCGCCAATAGCATCTCGCTCTGCGCTTCAAAATCCTCGGGATCCTTAACAGCGCGTGGGAGATACTTGATTGTGCTCTTCAGTGCGTTGAGGGAGAAGATGTCTGAAATGGGGTTGGCACCCTGATAGGCTGGACGGAGGATAGGGTTCGTCGGCCGGGGTGTACGCTCGGTATACGGGATCGCCGTCCACGATTCGAGAGAGTGGCACAAGACGTCGAGGCCGGAGCTGGCCTTGACAGCAGCAGGCATGGTGCGCGTGTTGAGCGGATCGCATATTCCAAGCGTAGGCTTGAGGTTCCGATGAGCGACGCCCGTCTTGGCTCTCTTGGAAACGAGATCGAAAATGGCTGTTCCCGTGGTCTCGCTGCCAGTGCCCGCAGTGGTTGGGACGGCAATCAATGGCCTCAGGGGCTTGTCAATTGGGCGCCCCTTGCCCAGTGGTGCGTTGACAAAGTCAAGGAAGTCGGCATCGGGGTACGACGAGTAGAGGTTCATCAGCTTGGCCGTGTCCATGACGGATCCTCCACCGACGGCGAGGAAGGCATCTGGTTCGTACGGCCGGGCCCACGCAATGGCGTCCTTGATGCTAATGGTTGTGTAAGTTCCAGACGTTAGTCAAGTGAGGGGTGCCGTGCAAGGCTGAACATGTAAGGGCGGATGGGCAATTACGAGCTGTCTTTTGGTTCTATCCTCACGTCGGAGTAGACTTTGTAGTTGATGCCTTCGCGATCGAGGCTCTCCCGGACCTGTCTCATGGCGTCGAGTTGGTTGACGGTCTGGTCAGTGACAACACAGACCCTTTTCGAGCCGAGGTTCTGGAGATCCATGCCGACTTCCTGCGTGGCACCAGCACCGAACCGGATGGAGGAAGCCGCCATTTCAAAGGCATACTCCTTCAGGTCCGCATTCGAGGGCGTAGCATAGCGGCGCCCTCCTCTGTTCTGAGTGTGAGAGAGGGGTGTGGGCGCACGCCGGTGGTAGCCCGGATTGGAGTGGCATGGACACGACGGCGGATGGGTGTACTGGATGGTTCTAAGGAGGCTCGAAGCTCGCTTGGCGGCCTAGAAAGCAGGGTTGTGGTTGGTTACCTATACATGCCAAGTGATGCCAAGTGAAGCATCAGTTCAGAGGGGAGGCAAAGGAAAGGGTGCGGTCATACATTTGGCATCACTCGAACGGAGGCTGCCATTGTTGCTGTTGTCGTGTGTAGATAGCTTTGGTGAGCTCTCTCGACCGAAGTCGGCAATCCAAGGTATTAATCTAAATGTTGGAGGATGCGGGGTTGGGGTTAAAGAAGCCAGAACCGACTACTGCCGGAATTGAGTAGCGGTTCATGTCAACATTATGGGGTAAACCGGCAATTGGCCCTGCGACCCCGTTTGAACTTTCAACCGCTTGTATGTATAAGGGAATGTATAATATATGTATGTACTAGTATGGCGCAGTCGCATTAAGGTAAAGGTAATAAGGTAGAGAGGCTTCGGGGGATGGAGTTGCGGGTTGCGTTAAGGCTGCCGATTAGGGTTAGGAAGCTCCAGTGATGGACTTAGAATATGGGGAAAGCCGAGGTCATCAGGATGGGGATATGATACAATGATTACATACACAGGACACCCACTATTACTGTAGGTAGCACGAGTATTGTACTTTCCAGGTTAGTACTAAGTAAATACCTAACAAGCACCCAGTATCCCGGCTTGCTATCGTTACTATTGACGATCTTCTAGAAGGCTTCGCCAACCAAGAACCGCCCGCGTGTTCGTATACCTACCTAGTAATACCTTAAGCTCGTTGTTTATTTCTTAGGGCTGTTCAGTACGTACCTACCTGTGACATTCGCCCAGTAAGATAAGGTGATGTCGTACGTTACCTGTTAGCTGGTGGTGCCTTTAATTGCGCCGTACGGAGCGTCTGTTATGCCATCGGCTCAGCCGGATCGTTGTCCAGCGCTGCTGCTGTTTGCTGCCATCGGCGCTCGCTCTCGGACAACGTCATCGCACCGTCCCTCTGGATCGAATCCCGCTGTCGCTGTCCGTTGCCCGACGCTGCGCTGCCACGCTCTTGCCCTGCTTGACAACCCTGTTTGTCCTTGTTTTTTTCCTCTTTCTTGTCTTGTCTCGATACCACCTCACCCGAGTTCTTAATAAGGGAGATGGCGCCTGCGCGACGTCGTCCAGCCTAACAAACAAGATAGCCTGATTTTTTTCTTTCTATTTTCCCCGAACCCTTCCATCTTTGATTCATTGATACCCGAACTCTGTTTTCTTATCTTATTTCGACTTCCATTCAAGCTTGGTCCGTCTCTTGTTGGTTTTTTTCTGTAATCTGCTCTTCTCTTCTCTTCCTCTTTTCTCGTCGCATCGCCAGACCCGCTGCATCATCATGCCCGGCGCAGGCCAGGATTCAGCACCCGTGCGATCGCTGTCGGATACGCCCAACAATGCACCAGCGTCAGCCGCAGCCGGGGGACGAGCTGCCGATGCTTCCATCAACGGCGGCATCACCTCGTCCCAGCAGGGCACCACCTCTCTGCCCAACATCGTGACGTTCGTCTCCAGCAACCGCACAAACACAGGACGAAGCCTCGAAGCGACTCGCTCGGGCACAGGACGAAGCTTGGAAGCGACACGCTCAGATGGCGCCCCTCGACGCAGCCTCTCATACGCCCTGCGCCCACATGCAGAGGTCTACTACGACTCGCGGGCCGGAACGCGCAGGGAGTGGAAGCGACGAGACCGCACGCTGATGGACTACTACGGCAACAACCCCCAGCTGCTGCCCCAGCTGCCGTTTACGTGGCATCACGGCTGGAAGCGCTGGCGGCTGTTCCTCTTCGCCATCATGGTCTTCATCGACGGCTCCATAGTGCCGATCCTGCTCTACTACACGATGCGATACGCCGGCCATGTCGCGGGCTGGATCATCTTTGCCGTCGTCACGACCATCTGGGGCGGGCCGACATATGTCGAGTTCGCCATCCGAACGCTGCGCCTCATGAAGAAGGAGAGGTTCTATCGTCCTCTAGGCACAGACAGCCGCTGGTGTTTTGACATTCTGAACTGGACGTCGGTGCTCACCATCACGGCCGTCACGGCCCTCTTCATCGTCGGCAGTGCGCCGCACGAGGTCTGGCTGCGCGTGCTCTGCATGCCAGCTCCGGCCATCTTATACTGCATCGGCGGCGTGCTGGCTCTGATTACGCTGTTCCACCTGATGAATTGGCCTGCTCCCTTCCGACTGAGCTCCACCGGCAAAGGCGAAAAGGTACGAACGGCGTCTATCCCGTGTCTTGATCGAGTTGACACAATGCTAACGCTGCCTCTCTCGTTGAAAAGGTTCTCCCAGGGGTGTACTATTTCATCGAGGACGTTGTCGCAGTCAATGCCGGCGCAGGTCGCCCGTTTCGAGAAGCTCTTGCGGCACGTTACCACGCCAGTCCCCGCTTCCGGACGATGCTGCTCGTTCAGTCATTGTTTTGGTCCATTCCCGCTCTTGTCCTGGCAGCCGCCCTGACTGTCGTAGCTCTCCTGCATCCCATTCCAGCAACCGTTGCGTACGGAATATGCTGGGCCGTGCCATTTATATGGTGTGCGATCTGGGGCGCCATCACCGTTGTGTGGTGCAAGCGGAGCATGGTCCGGGAGAGACTGGAGTGGGAACAAGAGCATCCTACCGAGAAACTCGAGGCAACGAGCAGCGAGCCTTTGGCGGCGGTATAATCGTCAATTGTATCTATCAAGCTTGCTACTATGCTATTCGGTTCTGGTTCCCGCCATTTGATGCCAAAGATGCTTCTATCGACGATACATTTCCTTGCCGCACCTGGCCCACACATCATTGGCGGTGATTACCGTGCTGATGATCATGGCTGTTGCAATGGCCGCGGATTCCAGTTCGACCAGCCCAACAGCAGTCGCCGGGAGGAGCAGGTCCAGAGCGTCGGCCAGGATTTTCACCAACAACGAAGAGATAGCACCTCCCGATTCTGTTGCTCCGCTCTTTGCTTCCATGCGATGCGCGGATGATCCCTTCTCCTGAATCTCTTCCGGCGCCTTTGGTGCAGCTACAACACCATGTTTCAATGATACCTCGCCTCCATTTTCATGCTCGCTTTCAGTTTGCGAGCTCTCCTTTTCTCCTACGTTGTGGCTAGACGAGGGGCTGGAGATGGCTTTGCGATTGCCCAGCAAGTGCAACAGCCTGGTGCCCGAGCGAAAGAGGGAGATGCATAGACCGATGAGCCAAAAATACTGGGCTTGGTAGTTCAAGTTCGCAGTCTGCTCGGCACCGAATATCTGCAGCTGGTCAATTTCCAGCAGGTCCAGCAGAGTGACGGACTCGAGCATGCCAAAGATGCCCAGGCACGTCTTGCCGACCACGTCGAGCCAGGTGTCGAAGTCGAGCACACCAGAGGCATAAAAGTCCCAACCCAGCTTGAACTGCTCCAGGAAGCGGAAGAGGCGCAGGAGGCGCCTGGTCAGGTTGGTCTTGGACGACAGCTCCAAGAATGACGCTGGGGGCGGGATGTTTGCGCTGATCGACGTCAGACGGAGCAGGGCTGCGAGTTGGGCGGTTGGATAAGTGGCGATGAGGGTGACTAGGGCCTGGAGGAAGCGTAATGAGCGCTCGAGGCCGGCTTGGCAGGCGTCAGAGTTAGCCTGTGCACTTCCACCCGATTCTTTTTGTTCTTTTCGATCGATTCATATGAGAGCCATGAGATAGAAATAACATGCAGTGCTACTGTATTACAAGCAGCGTGGTGAATTTCTTTGTTTGGGCATTGCCCTGGAGGAAAATGGAACCCACCACTGTCTGTCCCGAAGACGATGAATTGCCGCAGGAGAGCCATAGCACTCAAGTATATCTGCAGTCAATCTGACTGCGTTTAATTTTGGCGTTGGGTGTGTGTGTCAGCTTCAGTCAAGTTGATGTGTGGTGATAAGAGGGCAGTAAGTCGTTTGAAACAGCCAACTTGATCAAGACGAGGACAGGAGGAGATTTTGATTGCATTTGCATGAATGACCTGGAGTTGATTGCTGCATGTATTGAGGTGGGTACGTATGGCGGTTGCCTTTTAGTGGTCTTTTTACGGGGCATGGCATGAATTCTTTAGCTGCCCAACTTACCTACCTTATGTGGATTCTACTGCTAGATTTGAAGCTACGGAACAACACCAGCTGCAGCTCTCGCCAGCTTAGCGAATTCCACCTAATAAACTCGACGCTCACCATGCAAACATCCGTCTAACCCAGCCATCTAAGGACATGTGAATTAAGGATAAAGACTCTAATGAGTAGCTTCGTCTGACTAGAGGCTTACGCTTCAGCTGTGTCAACCCGTGCACCATCCCCGAGACACAGCGAAACAACGACACCACCAAAGACAAAAATTTGTCGACTGCAGGGTAACAGCCCATAGGCAAATGCGACGCCTCTCCAGCACATCACCGGTACTCGGTACGCATGGGCGCGTTGGTTGACGCCCCCCCGGAGTCTCGTTCACCATGTTTTCATCGGTCTGCCGCCGATGCTTCAGCGTGCTGAGATCAGCTCACCCTCCCATCCGGAGGAGCGTCGCGGTAACGTGCGGCTCGGGGGGCTCTGTAGAGGTCGAGTCTGTAAACTCACGACGAATCCCACCGTTGAACCACTCCCTTCACTTTACTAACCTCTGCAGATAGCCTGTACAACGTTGATGAGTTTTCGCCTACAAAGGCTCTCATCCTGCATCTGCCTTCGCAGCCGGACAGCGCCAATGGCGTGAGGCAACTGCCCGACTTTCTGTACGACTGGCCCGTTGCCAGCATCAACTACCGGTGGGCGACTGAGCGCTCCCGCGCCGCAAGCCAGGACGATGAGCATCTCGACGACTCGGTCGACTGGCCGGTGCCGATGCACGACGTGGCATTTGCCTACCAATGGATAGTCGATGCCCTAAAGCCCCCGGGCATCGGCCGCGGCAACATCTACGTCTACGGCTCCCATCTCGGCGCCGGCCTGGCCATGTCGCTCGCCCTCACAGAGGCCCATCCGCACAAGCGCTTCGCCGTCCGTGGCGTCGCGGCCTACAACGGCGTCTACAACTGGACCATGTTCCTGCCGGGCCAAAAGGAGGTCCGCGGTTCAAAGTCCGCGAAGGACGGGCGACGCGAACACGGCAATCTCAGGATCAAGGACCTGCACGACAGACTGGTGGCCCTGTTCCAAGAGCCGCACAACCTCTTTGACCCGTTTGCGAGCCCGAGCCTCTTCTTCCACAACCCGGGCCTGGCCATACCCGAGTCGTTCTACCGCTCCCCCGCGTTTGACAGCCTGGTGAGCGCCATGAAGGGACAGTATGACGTGTCGGGAGAGGGGGGCACGCTGGGTGCGTCTAGGAGAAGCCACCTTGCGTTTCCCCCAAGAGCATCGACTCTCAAAATCCCCGAAACGCTGCTCATGCACGACGCACCCTCCTCGAGGTCACTGTTGCATCATCAGCCGGATGAGCACGGCAATCAAGTGCAAGCGAAAAAGCAGTCAACAAGGCAATCAAGGTCTAGAGCCACAGATACGCGACACACATTCAGGGCGCAGGCAGCGGAAATTGCCAGCTTCATGCGGCGAAGCATCAAAATGGTCGAGCTGAAGGAGCGAAGTCGTTGGGATCTAGAGGCAGAAGACATGATGGAAAAGATACCGGAGCGCAGAGTGCGGATTGTCGAGGTGGGACAAGAAGGCGAGGACCTTGGCTTGAATGACGCTGGCCAGCAGGCTGTATTGGATTGGCTAGGGAGTCTCAAGATACGATGAAATCAGTTTGGAGCATACTAGTACCTATGCTCATCGAGTGTTTAGGTACACAGCAGAGGTGCGGAAGCCTAAAGGCGTGAGAGAAGCTCGTTGGAGTGACATGGCCAGTGACGTCAATGAGCCGCGTGTTGGTGTACCCTGATTGACCCTGAATGACCCTGATTCCCAAACAATGGACACCGCCTCCTCGTAAGTTGATAAGTACTACTCGTATCTGGTAGGTAAGGTGCCTTAAGAATGCATGGAGCCCTGTGTCAAACCCTGGAACCGAACCTCTTTTGTGACAGCTTCAAGTGAGCTGTCAAGCTGCTGCTGTCTCAACCCTTAACAGCCACCAGGTACACAAGGCACCAACCACGCCGCCGCCCGGTACCTTTGCCCGATATAGCAGGAGGCGGCCCCCTCTACTCTAGGTAGGTACCTTAGGTACCTTAGCCCGAAGGGTACGTACCGCGCTACTGTTCCCCGTGCTTATATCAACCAACCCGCTGCATTTACCGCTATCTGACGCCCCGTCAACTCTCCATCCGTGACGCAATCATACACACTCACAGCAACCCGAAGCCATCGCCATCTTCTCTATACTGAACCGCCCAGCCCATAGTAATCTCCTCTATTATCGCAGGCGAGGCGCTGTGAAAACACGTCTCAGCAGTCGGTTTGATGGCCATTCGGCCAGGAGGCGCCATGCGTCGGGCGGTGCTGCTTTCAGGGCTTGCCGCCTTGTTCGTCGGCTCGAGCGCCGCCGCGGAATCATATACACCAAAGCACGAGCTGGGCCGCTGTGCGTTTCGGGGCCAGTGTGGCAAGCAGAGTCTCTTCGGCAAGGAGCTGCCATGCGTCGACAATGGCCTCGCGCACGATCCAGACGATGACCTTCGAAAGGAGCTGGTTGAGCTCTGCGGCGCCGAATGGAGCGAAGGAGCCGTTTGCTGCAACATGGAGCAGGTATGTCTTCGTGTCTCCTCTTCATCCGCCCCCCTCTGCCTTCGAGGAACGATGTTAACACTCAATAAAACAGGTACAAGCCTTGAAGAAGGAAATGGGTACTCCGAAGACCCTCATCGGGTCTTGCCCGGCCTGCAAGCACAACTTCTTCAACATGTTTTGCAAGTTCACGTGCTCTCCCGATCAATCGACCTTTATCAACGTCACCGATGCCGCGTCGAAGAACGGAAAGCTGCTCGTCACGGAGCTCGACCAGTTGATTTCTGAAGAGTACGGCTCGGGCCTCTACAACAGCTGCAAGGAGGTCAAGTTCGGAGGCGCCAACAGCAGGGCCATGGACCTGATTGGTGGTGGAGCCAAGAATTACCACGACATGCTCAAATTCCTCGGCGACAAGAAGCCCTTTGTTGGCTCGCCCTTCCAGATCAACTTTCCGGAAGAATACGACCAGCCTGGGATGCAACCGCTGGAGATGAAGCCCAAGAAATGCAACGACGAGGACCCGGCCTATAGATGCGTTTGCGTTGACTGTCCCGAGGTGTGCCCGACGTTGCCTGATGTCAAGGAGGCTGGATCCTGTAGGGTGGGAAAGCTGCCGTGCCTGTCATTCGCGTCCATATTCACGTATAGCGTTCTGCTCGTGGCCCTCCTAACCGCTGTTTTTGGCCACATCTTCTGGTTCAGATATCTGAAGCGCCGCGTTGAAAGGACTCGCCTGCTTCACGAAGCATCTCACAGTGACGATGAAGACGAGGGAGGCCCTATCCTTACTGACGCCATGCGGGATCAACCAACGAAGCGATACTGGCTCAACGACAAGTGCGACAAGGCCTTTCGTCACTTGGGAAACACTGCCGCAAGGTTCCCCGCTCTAACCATAGGCATCAGCCTGGTGGTTGTTGCTGTACTGAGTGCCGGCTGGATTCGGTTCGATATAGAGCAGGACCCTGCCCGACTCTGGGTCAGCCCGTCTTCGGCTGCCGCGCAAGAAAAGGAGTACTTTGACTCCAACTTTGGCCCATTCTTCCGAGCCGAAAAGATCTTCCTGGTCAACGATACCGATTCTTCTGATTCTAGCCCCGTTCTTAGCTACGAGACCTTGAAATGGTGGAAGGATGTCGAGAAGAGCGTTGAGAGTCTCAAGGGCCCTACATATGCAAGCTCGCTCGACGACGTTTGCTTCAAGCCCACTGGAGATGCCTGTGTCGTACAATCTGTTACGCAATACTGGTACTCAAAGGGAGGAGACATCGACCCCAAGTACTGGAAGGATGACCTGCGCAGCTGCGCAAAGTCTCCCGTGGACTGCCGACCTGCATTTGGACAGCCTATTGAACCTACCATGATCCTGGGCGGCTACGACGATGACGTTGCCGACTCTCAAGCGATGACTGTCACCTGGGTAGTCAACAATGCCCCCGAAAAATCCGATGAGCTTCTTCGCGCCATTGACTGGGAAAACGCACTACGCGATCGACTCCTTGAGGTTCAGGAAGAAGCCAAGAGTCGCGGCCTCCGGCTGTCCTTTACCACCGAGATTAGTCTGGAGCAGGAGCTCAACAAGTCGACAAACACGGATGCCAAGATCGTCGTTGTAAGCTACATTGTCATGTTCATCTACGCGTGCTTGGCCCTCGGCACACCTCTGAAGCACCTGTTTGGAAACCCTGCGCTGCTGCTCGTCGAGTCGAAAGTCACCCTGGGCCTTGCCGGCATCCTCATTGTCCTCATGTCCATCTCGGCGTCGATTGGTTTCTTTTCCTGGGTTGGACTCAAGGCGACTCTCATCATCGTCGAGGTGATTCCTTTCATCGTCTTGGCTGTGGGCGTGGACAACATTTTCCTCATTGTTCACGAACTCGAAAGAGTCAACGTCAACTTCCCGGATCAGATGGTGGAGGAGAGAGTGGCTCGGGCTCTGGGCCGCATGGGACCCTCCATCCTCTTCTCGGCTTTGACCGAGACCTTTGCGTTTGCTCTTGGATCTGCTGTCGGCATGCCTGCTGTCCGCAACTTTGCTGCGTACGCTGCTGGAGCGGTTCTTATCAACGCGGTTCTTCAGATGACCATGTTTGTATCCTTCCTGGCACTGAACCAAATGCGAGTGGAGGACCACCGATGCGAACTCTGGCCGTGGTGGCAGGTCAAGAAGGCAAGGATCAGTCTCAACGGCAGCAATGGCTTTGCCCCCGCAACCGGAAGAGTGTCCGATGCCGACGAAGAAAGCTACCTGCAGATTTTCATCAGAAACACATATGCGCCTGGCCTTTTGCGAAGGCAGACCAAAGTCGCCGTCGTCGCCATCTTCCTAGGCCTCCTATCGGCCGCCATCGCTTTGCTACCGGGCATCCAGCTAGGGCTAGACCAGCGCGTCGCCATTCCCGACGGCTCCTACTTGATCCCGTATTTCAATGACCTCTACGACTATCTCGAGACCGGGCCTCCAGTGTACTTTGTCACCCGTGGGGTCGATGCGTCTCAACGCCCACAGCAGCAGGCACTCTGCTCGAGGTTCACCACGTGCCAGCCCTTCTCGCTGACCAACACGCTGGAGCTCGAGAGGCAGCGCTCTGACATTTCGTACATCATGTCTCCGACGGCAAGCTGGATCGACGACTTCTTCCTGTGGCTGAATCCCATCTATGACCAGTGTTGCATTGAGCATGGCTCAACCTGCTTTGCCGACCGCCAGCCGGCCTGGAACACGTCGCTGTATGGAATGCCTGAGAATGACGAGTTCGTCCACTACCTCAACAAGTTCCTCGCCGCAAAGACGGATGACGTCTGCCCGCTGGGCGGCCAAGCCTCCTACGGAGACGCAGTCGTCTTGGACAAGGAATCTGCCCACGTCAAGGCCAGCCACTTCAGGACCGCGCATACTCGGCTTCGCAGCCAAGACGACTTTATCAAGGCCTATTCCTCTGCGCGCCGCATAGCCTCTGATATAACAAAGGCAACCGGGGCGGATGTTTTCCCCTACAGCGTGTTCTACATCTTCTTTGACCAATACCTGAGCATCATCCAACTGACGGCTGGCCTCTTGGGCGCTGCCGTCGGCGCCATCTTCATCATTGCATCGTTTCTCCTGGGCTCCGTTCGCACGTCAGCTATTGTGACTCTGACGGTCGTGATGAGCGTCATTGACATCATGGGCGCGATGGTGGTGTTCAACGTGTCCTTGAACGCCGTTTCCCTAGTGAATCTCATCATCTGCGTTGGCATCTCGGTTGAGTTTTGTGCGCACATCGCCCGAGCCTTCATGTTTCCCTCACGAACGGTCATGGAGAACAGCTTCAACGTCAACGGGCGAGATGCCCGTGCTTGGACAGCACTGGTTAACGTCGGCGGATCCGTATTTTCGGGCATCACAGTTACCAAGCTGCTGGGTGTCAGCGTTCTTGCCTTTACGCGGTCCAAGATTTTCGAGATCTACTACTTCCGCGTGTGGCTGGCCCTCGTCGTCTTTGCTGCCCTCCATGCCCTGGTATTCCTGCCAGTTGCACTGAGCCTCGGCGGCGGCGAAGGCTACGTCGACCCCGAAAGCGAGGGCACGGCAGCACAGGACCTGACCGACAGACGATGGCGAGCGATTCGAATCCACGACAACAGCGACTCTGACGATGATTACTAGTCACGAGGCCGTTGAGGAAAGTCGAGACTGAGCGTCTATTCACATTGGCTTGCTCGAGAGGGAATCCAGCTTTCAACGCTGTGCCATGCTGCGCTCCGGTGGTGCCTGCTAATTGCCCACTCTTAGTCGAACCATGCTAGAAACACGACAAGATGGTTCATTTGTTTTTTCTTTCTTTTGCTTTTTAACCTTTCAGCGGAATACTGGTGTTTGGTGCTTGGAATTTGCGTCATGAATTGCCGGGATGTAATATTGGGAGCATGTATGGGGTAATAACACAGCGGGTTGAAAATGCGGTTCAAGCTTTGCATGCCGAGACTGATTGAAGCATCTTGCAAGCTGTTTTCCATTTTCTGGTGGGTTTTTATCTTTGTGAAATAGCGGCTGCCATTGGTTATTGTATAGTTATCTCAAGTTTACTCGATAGAAACACGGTCAGTATACGTTAGGGCACCCTGATATAAAAACCAGCTTTAACAATCAGAATTTGAACATAAGAAGGTAGTAAAGGTGCATTTCCCACCGGCTGTAAGACGGCCTCAATGTCGTTCATTTCTGCTCGCCACATCTTCATGTAGTCCCAGGACCCTTAAGAGTGCAATTGTCAATACTCGAGCAACAGCAAGTCTTCTGCTGTACTCGCCGAGCCAACATCGGCATTCTCCGACATGAGGTTGAGCCCCCAAGCCGATGGCTCGTCATCCTCGACCCGGCCGCCATCTCCCTCCATCTCGCCGTCATCACGACCAGCCCGCCTCTGTTTCCACGAAGCACCACGCCCAGCACGCCTCTCCCTCTCCTTCTCCCTCGTGCCTCGGTCCACCCGATCGAGTATGCGAATCATTGTGCGGCCGCACGCCTCGGGATACTCCTGGCCGTCGCGGCCGACAAAGACGGGCTTACCGTCGTTGAGCGGGTTCTTGAGGTCGCCGAGCTTCCAGAACTCGGTGCGGCGGGTGTTGAGCCATTCGATGCGGAAGGGGTCGCTGGCTTCCCAGGTGATGTTGTTCATCCACTTCGCGGGCGATATGTTTGCGTCTGGGGCCGAGGTCATGCGGGCCTGGTATTTGATGTGAGATTTGTTTTAATGGTGATGAGCACTTGAATGAATGTTGTGGTCACGTAGATATATCATGGGTTGCTTGGGATATAGCGTGGATGTGTTGAAGCGTACAGGGATGTAGAGAGAGAGAGAGAGAGAGAGAGACACTTACGTAGCCCTGGAAAGCCTTTGACTTGTTGATGGAAAAGAGAAGGTAGACGTTCTGGTGCTGCTTGAAGGCGCTTGCAAAGAGGGAGCCGTTCTTGGCCTTTGTGATCCACAAGCCCTGTCCTCAATGATGAGTCTTGGGAAGGAAATCATGCCACAACTGTTTGGCGAATACTTACGTCTCGCTGAGACATTTCCACGTTTGACTCGTTAAAGGACTTGACCAGAAAGTATCTCGATTCTGGCCACCTTTGTTAGAGTGGTAATCGAGATATGGAAGTTGGACCATGATATCTGATTACCTTGCTTAGGAACCGATGACAAGGACTGGGCCAGAGGGTATCTGTTCGCGGGCTTGCCCTTGCTGAGGCGAGGTGGTACGGAGTCGAGCGATGCACCCCAGCCCGATCCAAGCGGCGAGGGCATCCTCTCCTTTTCGAACCATGCCGACACGGGCGGCGACTTAGCTTCCTGGCAGTCCTCGTCGGGATCAACAGGCGGCGGCGTGGCTTCGACAGCCGGTTGAGGGTTCTGCATGGAAGCAATGGAGGGAGGAGCGGCATCAACAACCTCTTGACGAGATACCGGCCTTTGTCCAAAAGCCATGGACCCATTGTCGGAACCAGCACCTCTGGTCAGTGACGAGATCTCAGAGCCGCAACGCTCGCTGGATACCGCAAAGACGGCTGAGCGCGAATCGCTGCAATCATAAACGGCTGCCGACTGGCGCGGCTTCTGCGCCGCCAGGGACAAGGAAGACGAGGGGCTCGCCAAAGTAGTCGAGCTCTGCGGCGTTGGAGAGACGAGGTAGTAATCCGCAGAGGCGCGCATCTCCGAGACAATCTTGCAGCGCTGCTCGTCAATGTCCTTGAGCTTGCGCAGCGCAGCCAGGACCTTTTGGCGGTGCTCAATGTCGAAGAAGCCGGTATGCTGCAGCCAGAGCTTCAGGTCGCTGTCGGAATCGAGGCTGATGATGGTGGCGAGGTCGTGTTGATGCTGGGCCTGGATGTCCTGGGACGTGGTTCCTGTGGCCTCCCTGGACAGGGTATCACAGTCGCTGTCTGTTGCAATCATTCTGGGCTGTTTGCGACTCCGTATCTGTTTGAATCTGGAGGATGGCTCTGTTGATATAGCAAATGCTCGCGTCAGTCAGTAATTCCAATTAGGAGAGCGCCGCGTATCCCTTGATATATACGGGAGCTGTTGGGGCGTCCACATCAAGCTCCAGCTGTGCATCGCATCGCGGCCAGCCTAGAATAAAACGTACCGGCATCTGTCGCTGTTCAAGGAGAGTGGAATGACGACTGATGGAGCCAAGAGCCTCTGGATGTTTCGTTTGCAAGGACAAGACGGGCGGTGTAGGACTTGGATGGCAGAACGAACCGCCATTGAAAACTCGCCAGCTGGCCGAGTCCGAGCCTCGAGAGCAGATGGACGCGGGCCGTGATGGCGGCTATTGGCATCAAAGCACGGGATAACGCGTGCAAATGTCCGATGCAGAGAGGCGAAGCATCAATTCACACATAAAGGAGGGCCCCGTGATTGGCGCTTCGTTTCTATTTCGGTGTATGGCGCTCTCGGGATAGACTCCTCGGCGTACATGATTGAGGGACAGGCTATCTGGAATGTTGGCATAATGGAGATGCTCATCTTCTGCTCGGTGAGAGGCAGCCAGATCCATGCACCTTTGTAGATGCACAGCGGCAGTACTAGTCTATTCCTCGATGGAGTTGATGAGCCGCATTGAGGTCCGGCGGAGTCTTGTCTTGCTCCTTGGTATTGGGGCCAGTGTTCCTGATCGAGTCCTCTCATGCCGGCGGTAGAAACGATGCAAATAGGCCACCCTGGATGCCGGCATACATCACCATGAACAGGACAGCCACGGATCCTGTCTTGCGACTTTTGCCATCTCTGAGGCTGTTGGCTATCCACCAATACCATACTGGATAGCCAGACGACAGCCGAGTGATGATTTGCACGTGGAAGTTGGTGATGGCGAGCGCGGCAACAAGCGTTTGTATCACGGCGAGCGTGAGCACAAATGTATGATAGGGCTCTTCAACCACCGGCGTGGCCCGGTCGAGCCCCTGGCCTAAGCTACGAGTGACTTGCAGTCCTGAGCTGATGAGAAGCGTGAGGACAGGACTGGCCAGCAAGAATAGGGGAAGCTGATTTGGCGTCCAGTATTTCAAGAAGCCATTATTCCTGCAAAGAGTGAGCACTACAGAGGAACCGGTAGCCCGTGAGACGGATGAGGTGGTAGCTTACCAGTAGTGGCTCTGGACAAAGGTGAAGATGCTGGGTATCAGTCGAGAACACCACGGACGTGGCTCCATACCGTCGGCCGGGTCGATGTTGCAATACCTGGACCAAGCTACCGCCTGCGGTACTACACTCCCAGACGCAATGCCGAGGCCGCCGATGACCAAGGAGGCGAGCAATGCAAGCCTTGAAAGGCTCGGGTGGCGTAAGAAGCCCGACAAGCACTTGACCGCCTCTACGGCAAAAAGAAGGCCGTTGAGCAAGCCGTTACTCCTAAACGAAGTGGCCAGCCCAAAGGAGATTCCTGCACCGACAAAGGCCAGCATACGCATGCCAACAGTAGCGCTAGGCCGCAGCCCGGCTGCGAAAAGCAGGCTGCCGGTGAAGGAAAGGCAAGCAAACGGGCTCTCGGCATACGGGGCGGATAGGAAGAGACCGGCTGGAGAGAGGATATGCAGCACCGCTGCCACGTAAGCCAGCCTCTTGTTCCCAAACAGCACCAGAGTCAGCCGGTGCAGAGCCAGCACGGCCGCCAGATGAGCCGAGTTTGTAAGGACAATGGCCACCACGGGCTCGAGGGCCGCATCACCGGCCAGATGCGTCAAGGGCCTCAGCAGCCACATGATGCCACGCACAGACAGCGGCAGCGCGGCCCCAAACGCCCATTGCTGCTCGTACACATAGCCGTGACGCGCGGCTTGCATGAAGTACAGCGCATCCCACCGCGTCAACCTCGTTGCTAGAATCGATGCGTTGGCGCTCGAGCCGTACGCGTGCTCGAAGAAGAGAGACGTCGACGTGTCATAGTCTTGACTGACGGTCGTTCCGAGGGCAATCGCCAACAGAAAGCCCTTCCAGGCGGCGAAGACGGCAATGAGCGAGCGCAATGGGCGGGACTCGTGATAGGGGATGAGCTTCATCTTGGTAGCCCTGAGATGATGGATATTGGCCAAGCAAAGTGACAGGAATCTAGCAGCTCTAGCTCTCTCTGACCTGACAAGTGCTCACTGGTCACGGGATTGACTGCATTGAATCTAGTTTGGTGTAGAAACTGAAGCAAAAAGTCCTCCAAGATGCGTCGATGTTGATGTGATGAGTGGATGAAGTTGAAGGCCCGAGGTTCAGCTTCCTCTCTTGAACAGCCAACACAAGAGCTCCGTCAAGCACATGTACCGTCCTAACACTTAATTGGGGCTTGCCATCACGCTGGGGGCTTCCGCTGGTGCTGAACGGGCCACGAATGGACTCGTGGGCGCGAGTGGATACGCTGTTGAAGCTACTGGGCGACTTGTCGGTCCCGCTTCGCCTACATCATCCTCCCAATTGAGAGATCCAGATGTCGCAACAATTGCACATATAATAGGCATAATCTTGTAATTTAACATACAGAAAGTATTGTAGATTTGCACATTGGTAAAAGGTTCCAAATCGCCGGTATTGTCTGCTGTTTCCTCATCCACTGTCAATTCTTACAAATACCTGCCATCCATTGCCCAACCGTTCTATAAAAGTCACAACTAACATGGTCTTTGTGTACACGCCGTCGAGGAGATACAGGTCATTTGCTTCAGAAATCATGTCCAACTTTGCCCCCATCAGATCTTCTCTCCGTTCAAGATGGGCAGAGCCTCGTCGGTCGTCCACCAACTTACGCCCTTCTTGCCGGGATACTCATACTTGTCCATGCTCTCCGGCTTCATCTCAACGCTGTAGCCGGCCTCGGTTGGTGTCTGGTAGTATCCGTCCTTGATGACTGAAGGATGCAAGAAGTGCTCGTGGAGGTGGTCTACAAACTCCAAGACGGAAAGCTTGCCGCTGACGACCACGTAGTCGATGGTGCTCAGATGCTGGGTGTACTCGGGAAGGCCCACGCCGCCGGAATGCGGCACAATGGGCACACCGTACTTCTTGGCCATGAGCAGGACGGCCAGCACTTCGTTGACGCCGCCGAGGCGGCAGGCATCAATCTGGCAGATGTCGATGGCGCCCGTCATGATCAGCTGCTTGAACATGACGCGGTTCTGGCACATCTCGCCGGTAGCGACGCCGATGCCATAGGGCTTGAGGGCATCGCGAATGGCCTTGTGGCCCATGATGTCGTCGGGTGAGGTGGGCTCCTCAATGAACCAGGGCTTGTACTCGCTGAGCTGCTTCATGTAGTCGATCGCTTCGGGAACGGACCAGACCTGGTTGGCATCGACCATGAGAACGTTGCCCTTGTCGAAACCAAGAATTTCGCGAGCAATGCCGAGGCGCCTTCGGTCCTCCTCGACGCTGCCGCCAACCTTGACCTTGAAGTGTCTGTATCCGGCAGCCAGCGTCTCTCTCAGGAGCTGCTTCATCTTGTCCTCTCCGTATCCCAGCCAACCGGCACTTGTTGTGTATGCAGGCACCGCTCGGTTCTGGAGAGCCTCCTCGATGCGCTTGGCCTTGCCGGCCTCCTGCTCGCGCAGCATCGCCACGGCTTCCTCGGGGGTGATTGCGTCGGTAATGTAGCGGAAGTCGATGCAGCGGACATACTCCTCGGGCGTCATGTCGGCAACGATGCGCCAAACCGGCTTGTTGAGCGTCTTTGCCCACAGGTCCCAGACGGCGTTGACGACGGCTCCGAGCGCAAGATGGATGACGCCCTTTTCGGGGCCAATCCACCGCAGCTGGCTGTCGTTGACCAGATACCGCCAGGTCTTGCCCCAGTCGGCCACTAGTGATGACAGTTTCTTGCCCTTGAGTCGGTCCGCGACGTGGTTGATGGCGGCGCAGACGATGTCGTTTCCGCGTCCAATGGTGAATGTCTATAGCAAAGCTGTCAACTTGGAACTTCAGCTTCGCAGAGTGCTTCAAAGGGGGGCTGACCATGCCATGACCACTGTGCGCTGAATCAGTCTCGAGGATGCAGTATGCCGCTGAATAGTCGCCCGCAGCGTTCATCGCATCCGAGCCCGTCTTGTCTAGGGACGTGGGGAACCGCACATCGCGGCTCCTGAAGCCTGTGATGGTGACTTCAGACATGGTTTGGTTATTTGGCAGAGCGACTTGGGGGTTAAAGGATGCTTGGGCGTGAGTGTTGGAGAAAGGTAGGTAAGGTATGGTAGTGGCACGCGGGAGGGCTTGTGACAAGAGGAGAAGAACGACGGCGAGCTTCCGCTGCGTTTGCGATCGCCAACAGGGCACCTATTTATTGCTCTACCTGATGCTCTATAGATGGATATGGGGCCGGAAAGCCGATCTCGCTTGCCATGGGAACTCTTGGAGAAAGCAAAAGCACGAGCTGGTCCAAGTGGCGTGTCTCCAGTCCTGCGTTCGAGACCACGATATAGTTTGTCAAGAACTGCGACGGAGGATCCTGACGGCAAATAATGCCCGCCCTCGCCAGCTGTTTGGCTCAGCAATTGGTGGGATATATCACGCCGAGGCTTGTCTTGTCGTGTTGAAAAGTGGTTTTCAGGAACGATAATCGAGAAGCTCGCGGCGAATTGAACCGAAGGCTGTAAAACGATTGGCTGGCGGCAATATAGTTGCGAGTGGGAGGATGACATAGTTGGGGGGTCGAAGTTGGGGGAGATGCGGGATGCTGAATCGCGTGCAAATAGATTGTCTGAGGGGTCACTCGGCTGAGCAGCTCGTACCTCAGCTCGTACATTTTCGGGGGAATATACTAGGTAATCAGGTACTGATTGTATACAGGTACCTTACGAGAAGAGACGGGAGATAGGTACTTGAACTGCTAAGAACACTGGTACCTACATCTGCATTCGCTCACCATGGATCGTAGATGATTTGTACTTGTAACTTGTGAGGCTCGGCATCAATATCATGCGAGTACCTTACCTGTATTATAGCCGCTCCTCTTAGACCACGGATCGAACCCCACCCCCGCCCCCGCACCCTCTTCTGGTGTGGTGTTGCCTTCGGTATACTAGAGCCGAACGGCGGCTTGCAGACACAACACAACAGAGATATCCCGTGCCAGAAGCGAAAGATGCTGATTCGGAGTGTTCTTGTCAGCCGAGAGAGGACTCGAGTGTAAGGATCCAACGTACCTCAAAGATGGGCAGTCAGAAGAAGCATAGAAGAAACATCAAGTGCTGCTTTGGTGATCTTGATATGGGCGCTCCCACGTCTCTACATCTTCCATCATAGGTACCTTGATACCTGATCGTTGCTTGCAACAAATGAACGAACTACAGAGCATTTCTATGCTCCCTTTGCCGCCATCGCCTCGTCCGTCTCGTGTTCTTTCCAGGCAGATTTGCTCCACCACAGCTGGTAGATTTGAGGCAAACTTCCGACGGCTCTTTTCCTGTTCCCTCTAGTGTCGCAATCTAGTACGTCGTCTTGCCCCGAGGGGAACGCGTGTCACAAGCATTCTGTTCAATTAGATGGCGTTTCAGGGGTACGAGTAGAGGCTGAGGTGGTCACTGAGGCAAACGACATGACACTGAAGGTGAGGCAACGTCATATAATATCCATCATCTCTTGTGTATTTTTCTATAGAAGTAGCAACTGCGTGGTGATTCAAGCTTACCCAATACATATTAACGCCCCATTCTCCTGGGAATGCTGAGTTTCAAGCCATCAATGCAATTCAAGCGTCATCAAGCTGTGGCTGATTGCTGTGTCAAGCTCCCATCCAGCTCCAAGCTGTTAGTGACAAGCCCCACTTATTTTCCACCGTGAATTCTCAGGCTTGATGCAGCAGCTCATGCTTTATCTTTATCATCACCGATCCTAAACTCTTCATCTCAGCCATAACCCCCGAACCCTGTCCTCTTCCCGAGCCCAGACAGATGCTGCAGCAGATTTGGTGACCATGGATGACGATTACGGTGCCGACGACGCCCTGCTAGAGGCAATGGCGGCCGTGGACTCGATACCTCCAGCACGCACTGCCGTCCAGCAACCCAAACCCCAGGCTCTCGACAAGCCATCGTCGAGCGGTAACAGCTCGGGAAGTGCCATAGTGCAGCCAAAGCCGCAAGTCATTCAGCAAAAGAACCTTGGCTCCACGATTCTGGTTTCGCCTCGCCAGCGCGGCAACCCCGTCCTGACCTCCATCCGGTCGATTCCATGGGAGTACAGCGACATACCGGCCGACTATGTCCTCGGACTAACCACCTGCGCGCTCTTCTTGAGGTGGGTATATCACATCATGTCAATCATGGATTATATCCATTCGTAGCCCATGGTCTAATATTGTCATTCGCAGCCTCAAATATCACCGTCTCCATCCCGAATATATATACACGCGCATCCGCAACCTTCAAGGCAAATACAACCTGCGCATCCTCCTCACCCTCGTTGACATTCCGAATCACGAGGACTCCCTACGCGAGCTCTCAAAGACTTCGGTGGTCAACAACGTGACCGTCATGCTATGCTGGTCCGCAGCCGAAGCAGCGCGCTATCTCGAACTCTACAAATCCTACGAAAACGCCAATTTCGCAGCCATTCGTGGACAGCAGTCATCCAACTACGCAGACAAGCTGGTTGAGTTTGTCACGGTGCCGAGGAGCCTGAACAAATCAGATGCAGTGGCCCTGGTTGCCAATTTTGGCAGTCTAAAAAATGCCATCAATGCTGAGCCAGAGCAGCTGAGTATGATAAGCGGATGGGGAGGTATCAAAGTAAAGAGGTGGATGGACGCAGTCGACGAGCCGTTTCGAGCAAGAAAAGCAGCCAAGAGGGGTCTCCAACCGTCATCAGCACCCGTGGCAGGACGCGATCCACGGACTGCCAGCGCACATGCTGACAGTGATCGGCCTTCTGCATCAGAAGTCGCAAAGTCCGGGTCTCAGGCCACTAGGTCAGAGATGACATCACATGCTTCTTCTGGACGTGGTTCTCCTGGCAAAAGTGCCGCGGGCCGTCAGTCTGGCGGCACGCAGCCTCGACAGTTTCAATTCCTGGACGAAGATGGCGACTCCGACGAAGCGGCGGAGGCTGAAGAGGCTTTTACCACTTTGGTCCGTGAAGAAAAGTCCACTTCTCAACCTGTATCCCAACCACGGGAAGAGCAGCGGCCAAGCAAAGAAAGTAGCCAGCTTAGTGAAGGCGTAGCGGCAGCATTGGCAAAGCTGCGACAGAATGGGTGAAGAAGCCGACCTACCTGCATGGTTCGCATACTCATTCGCCCCACGAAAGTCGTATCCCAGGAGCGAGCCAACGAGCATATGGTCCGATGCTTGAGCGCCGCAAAACTGCCGAGAAGGAGGGGGAAAGCTTATGCGATCCGCGGCTCACAGCGCATGACAACGTGTAATGGCAATCCTTTGGACTCCGCACCACGGCGCCTCGTTGGTCATCGACTACCAAGTACGGCCGCACTTTGGAACCAGAAGCAGGATCTTGGCTTCTCCATCCCGGCATTGGAGCCTCGCACAGGTCCAGCGCGGGGTCAGGACTGGCCAGGTCTACTTCGCACCCTTGCACAACAGAAATCACCACTTACGCCGGCTCTATCGAAGCATACGTTGCATTGCCGAGCCAGCGTCTGAACGGCTGCGTCGCAGCTGGCGCGCGACCTCGAAATATTCAGTTGCAGCCATCTATCGATCGCTGTCCACCCACGATCGGCCCCTAGTGGCCTTCGTATCGCAGGCCGCCGGCATCTGCGCAGCTGCGAAGCAGCCAGTGGCAGCGCGTCTCGAGGCTCGTCCAACCAAGGCCGGACAGCATGATCCCGCCTGTGCCTGGAGCTGAGATTTGAGATGCGGGGCACCATCACAAGCCGGTTCCTGAAGTGCCGTCGCCAATCTGTGGGGAAGTTCGGCTCTGCTGATATCATTGCACGTAAAGCCCCGTGGTTGCGCTCACGGCGCTAGGCGGGAAGAAGCAGGTTGATGCTGTTGGTGGTGATGGTGGATGGCGGTGGTGATGCCCGCAGCTGATGCGACGATCCAGCGGACATCCATGGGGAAATACAGGACTGGGTGCTAGCACACCCGTTGTGCTGAGCGCTGGCTTCGGTTTTTGTCTCGCCGCTTGTTCCACGGGACATGCTGCCAAGCTCTGTATCCCGGCTTTGGTTGCTTCTTCACGCCGCTATGCAAAGTACACAGCCGCGTTCCTTGGAGTGGTGTTCTCATTACCAAGGTGCAAGCTCAATGGAGTCCCGCTCCTCATCTGCAACATTTGGCGTGGAATCGAGCACAACTACAAAGAATCCAAGCATGCGTGGGGTTTGTTTCTGGCCGCCTCCCGCCACCCCCTCCGCAGCATTCCCACGGCTCACATACCACGGCACATGGTCCAATTACTAGGATAAGGCCCGAGTGGCACCTGATGATGGCTGGGTGCAATGTTCGATTCCAGTCCCCTGTCGGCGTGCCCAGGCAAACCAGGTTCCCCGCGAGACGCATCAGATTCGTCTAAATGACCAGTCACCTCCGGGGCCCGGTCGAAAAGCTTTAATCTTTTGTCCCGGTTTGTCAAGGTCACAAAAGATATCGTCATGGATACTGAGCACATGCAAGCTGCTGCTAGCTCACGGTGTCACCTGCCTGCTGTGGTTCTGTTCACCGGCAATCCTCGTCTGCCTCGTCCACCCCTGAAGCTACTGGAGGCGCGATGGCGCACCATCCCAGCCGAGAAGACGCCAAAGAACGCCGGGAAAAGGACAAGCTTAACACATGCCGGACGGCCGTTCTCGCATCTGCAGGCGGCGCCATGTCTTAAATTGGAAGAGGAGGAATTTTATGCTTCGCATGAGGTACCCGCTTGGCCGCTTGAAGAACAATTCGCATTCTGGTGGCGTAGGCAGTGTCGCGTCGCATGAGGGACCCCCTCTTCTCATTCTCCTGGCTCTGCTGATTCCGGAGGAGGAGGAGGAGCATTTGAGAAAGCATTGAAATGGACGTCTCTCCCACCCGTGGCACTTTTATCTGCAGCCCCGTCTCATGCCTTGAGCCTGGGCAAGTGTCTCTCTCCTCTTCGCCTTGCCGTCCTTGTTGTCAAAGCCTGAACTACAGCTGCTGCCAACATGAGATTCCCTAGCAGCTCCGTCCTTGCCCTCGGGCTCATCGGACCTGCGCTGGCGTATCCAAAGCCGGGCGCCACAAAACGTGGATCTCCCAACCCTACGAGGGCGGCAGCAGTCAAGGCCGCATTCCAGACGTCGTGGAACGCTTACCACCATTTTGCCTTTCCCCATGACGACCTCCACCCGGTCAGCAACAGCTTTGATGATGAGAGGTAAGCTGCGAGCTCGTGACGGAACCTCAGTCCTTTCATAAAGTGGCGAATTTGTATCTTACTTTGGCCTAGAAACGGCTGGGGCTCGTCGGCAATCGATGGCTTGGACACGGCTATCCTCATGGGGGATGCCGACATTGTGAACACGATCCTTCAGTATGTACCGCAGATCAACTTCACCACGACTGCGGTTGCCAACCAAGGCATCTCCGTGTTCGAGACCAACATTCGGTACCTCGGTGGCCTGCTTTCTGGTACGTGTTCGATGGGCGAGCCTAGTTTCCGCGTCAAGGATTGTTCGGCGCTGACGGTATGGCTAATCGATGATTCTACCTAGCCTATGACCTGTTGCGAGGTCCTTTCAGCTCCTTGGCGACAAACCAGACCCTGGTAAACAGCCTTCTGAGGCAGGCTCAAACACTGGCCAACGGCCTCAAGGTTGCGTTCACCACTCCCAGCGGTGTCCCGGACCCTACCGTCTTCTTCAACCCTACTGTCCGGAGAAGTGGTGCATCTAGCAACAACGTCGCTGAAATTGGAAGCCTGGTGCTCGAGTGGACACGGTTGAGCGACCTGACGGGAAACCCGCAGTATGCCCAGCTTGCGCAGAAGGGCGAGTCGTATCTCCTGAATCCAAAGGGAAGCCCGGAGGCATGGCCTGGCCTGATTGGAACGTTTGTCAGCACGAGCAACGGTACCTTTCAGGATAGCAGCGGCAGCTGGTCCGGCCTCATGGACAGCTTCTACGAGTACCTGATCAAGATGTACCTGTACGACCCGGTTGCGTTTGCACACTACAAGGATCGCTGGGTCCTTGCTGCCGACTCGACCATTGCGCATCTCGCCTCTCACCCGTCGACGCGCAAGGACTTGACCTTTTTGTCTTCGTACAACGGACAGTCTACGTCGCCAAACTCAGGACATTGTAAGTTTCTCCATTCGACAGTCATCTCGAGACGTCGTACGTGGTGGTGATTGTGTGCTAACAGTCTCCCCCTTTTCTTGCCTTGTAGTGGCCAGTTTTGCCGGTGGCAACTTCATCTTGGGAGGCATTCTCCTGAACGAGCAAAAGTACATTGACTTTGGAATCAAGCTTGCCAGCTCGTACTTTGCCACGTACAACCAGACGGCTTCTGGAATCGGCCCCGAAGGCTTCGCGTGGGTGGACAGCGTGACGGGCGCCGGCGGCTCGCCGCCCTCGTCCCAGTCCGGGTTCTACTCGTCGGCAGGATTCTGGGTGACGGCACCGTATTACATCCTGCGGCCGGAGACGCTGGAGAGCTTGTACTACGCATACCGCGTCACGGGCGACTCCAAGTGGCAGGACCTGGCGTGGGAAGCGTTCAGTGCCATTGAGGACGCATGCCGCGCCGGCAGCGCGTACTCGTCCATCAACGACGTGACGCAGGCCAACGGCGGGGGTGCCTCTGACGATATGGAGAGCTTCTGGTTTGCCGAGGCGCTCAAGTATGCGTACCTGATCTTTGCGGAGGAGTCGGATGTGCAGGTGCAGGCCAACGGCGGGAACAAATTTGTCTTTAACACGGAGGCGCACCCCTTTAGCATCCGTTCATCATCACGACGGGGCGGCCACCTTGCTTAAAGGCGCTGAGAGTTCTCTCGCCTGTTTTTTTGCTCGTATTATTCATTTTCTGCTGCTCGTCCCGAATCGCTCCGTAGATATTTTGACACATGCGTCTGGATAGAGCGGCTGGGACCACCGAATATGGTATGTCATTCGAGATATGAAGCGCAAGAGATCTTTAAGATCCAAGTTCTCTGGTATTATACTGAATGAGATAGATCTATATGAATACACTGTCCGAATTGTGTGAAGGCAGATGCGGGTATATATTGTGTATGTGTGTGTGTGTGTGTGTGAGTGGAAATGGACTCTATACAAAAGGACAGACGCATGTGACGTGAGATTTGTTGGTAAGGTACAGTAGGTACATACCAACCAAGTGCGTCTTTTGCCTGATTTTGCCTGAGATCTGACAGTTTCACCAACCAAAGGAAAAATCGAAACCCTCCGCTTGCTGAGCTGGATACAACAGAATGAAAAAAGAAAAGAAAAGAAAAGAAACAACGCCAATGCCTAAAACTCCCTGCTCTGACCGATATCGCAGACGTCGAAAACGCCTTCTTCTGGGATGCCCTTGCGCCTGAGGGCCTCCCTGAGCTGCCGCGGAGGCTCGAGGACGTCCTCCATGGTCAAGGCCCAGGTGCCCCAGTGGATGCCCATGGCGCGGCGGCAGCGCGTGTCCTGGAAGATCTCGACCGAGTCGAAGGGGTTGGCGTGCATGGCGGAGAAGGCGACGCGCGGGAAGTAGGCGCCGATGGGGATGAGGCCGAGGTCAAAGGGCCCGCGATGCTGGCCAATGTGCTTGAACTGCGGGCACCGGGGCAGCGCCTCGTACTCGGGCCCGTAGTCGTCGACGCCGGCCGGGACGCGCGGGACGGCGCGGTAGCCCGTGTCGCCGCCGAACCAGACGTTCTTGTCGCCGGAGCGGACGCCCCAGGAGCACCACAGCGTCGTGTCCTTGTCGAAGGCGGAGCGGGCCGACGTGTGCTGGGCGGGGAGGCACGAGATTTGCGCCGAGATGGTCTTCTTCTTCTTCTTCTCGCCGCTGCCGTTGTTGCCATCGCCATCGCCGTCATTTGTGTTGACGGTGACGGTCAGCTCGGCGTCTTCCCACCAGTCCAGCTCGGTGACGTTCTTGAGCCCGTTGCGGCGGAACCAGGGCTCCAGGCCGAGCCCGACGAAGAACTGCGCCTGCGGGTGGTGCTTCTGAATCTCCAGCACGGAGCCGTGCGACAGGTGGTCGTAGTGGCTGTGGCTGATGACGACGGCGTCGACGACGGGGATGTCCTTGAGGTCGCACGGCTTGGGCGTGAAGCGCTTGGGGCCCATGAAGCTAAAGGGGGAGCAGCGGTCCTCGAAGACGGGATCGAACAGCACGCGCAGGCCCGAGGGGAACTCGACGTAGTAGCAGGCGTGGCCGAGCCAGGTGGCCCTCAGCCGGGGCGAGGCGTCGCGGGAGGGCAGCCACTGCGGCGGGACGACGGTGACGGTGGGCGGCGTGGTGTCGGGCCACTTGAGGTCGCCGGTGATGGTGGGCCAGAGGACGTTTTGCAGCATGGAGGCGAAGCCGACTGGGTTGGACCATGATGGGTACGGGTTCTTGAAGCCGGCGAGGGCGCCGCTGCGCTTGAGGACGTGGTGCGGGTTGGAGGCGGCCTCGTCGGGGATGTTGGTCCGGCCGGGGATCTTGGTGACGGAGGTTGTTGAGGGCGGATGATGATGATGATGATGGAGGGCTGTGGAGGAGGAGGAGGAGGAGGAGATGGAGGTGGCTGTGGTTGAGGATGATTTGCGCGTCATGGCGGCGGCGGCGATGGTTGCTGTCGTGGCGGCTGCTGCTGCGAAGGAGACGAGGAGGACGACTCTTCTTTTGCCTTGCGTGCTGGAGCTGGAGCTGGAGCTGGGGCTGGTCTTGCTGTTGGCGTTGATGATGCTGGGATTGAGCTTGACGCTGTTGAGACGGCTATACCAGCGCTGCCACAGCTTGGGGAGAAGCTGCTGCCGAAACTGCGACATCCCAGCCAAGATATATATGTGCAAACTACGTTGATGCTGGCTCAAGAGAAAAGCAAGGGTTGCTGCGTCATGCCGGGAGGCTCCCCAAAAGCCACAATCGTCAACGTCAACGCCAACCAGGGGGGGCAATGAGATTCGATGATACTGGCTGGAGATTTCTTATTTCTTTCGTCCGGACTTTTCTAGGTACGGACTTGTTTGATGCGAGCGGCTTTTTACTACCATTATCAGCCCACTTCTTACCCTTTCCCAGGGCTTCCAAAGGCGCAGCTTTTCCATCTATCCCATATCCATCATCGTCGTACCTCGTACATACTACCACTATCGCCCTTTACCTCCGCAAGTAGGGCTAGGGGAGAGGAGCTGAACAGCAACAAGAGCAAGCCACAAACCGGGATGCGCTCTATTGACAGACAGAACACCCTTTCGGAGTTAAAGCAAGCGAGTGCGAGTCCGGGACCCAAAGGCCAGCAAAAGTCGCTACGCAAGCCACCCCTCCCTTGCCTTGCGGACTAAGAAGAAACGCCCTAGACTCTTTTCCCTTTCCTTTTCCTCTTTCCTGCTTCGTCCGGGCTTTGCATTGCATGTTCTAGAGTAGTTTTCTCTGCGGGTTTTGGGTGTTAGCGGGCGATGGCGTGCGGACTTCGGCTTGGTTCGAGATTCCGGCTGCGATGGTGCTGGATCAGGGTCCGGGTCACGATCGGGGGCCAGGGATGAGCATCAGGGACGGTGATGCCGTATGTAGGCAGTAACTGGGATAACACAAGATGGAGTATACAGTACATATTGACACGCATCACACACAACATCTTCATCTCATTCTTTAATCAGTACAAACCCTCTCACTCAAAATCATTCAGTAGCTCTGCAATTACCTCTAATCTGCACTACCCACGATCTTCATAGATTCCAAAAGCCCGCGCTCTGGCTCGGACCGCCGACGACAAGCAATCGATATCACTAATACCCAAGACGTGTGTAAGCGGCCCCTTTGGCGTCATTAACTCCGCTGTCCGATCCGTCGGTCGCTTCGTCCGTTTCGGCCGCCTCGTGACGGCAAAAAAACGGGGATCCCGGGCGGGAAAAAAAGAAAACAGGGTGCTGACGGCTCTAGACCGGCTTTGGCATTCGGACGCGTTGGATGATGGATGGATTGGAGTTTTGAGGGTTTGGAGGTGGTGGTGTGTGGGTGAGGTAAGCAGACAGAGATTGGAGGATGGATCAAGGTATACGAATATGCATGGTTTTGGTAGTGCATGGCATCGTCATCGTCGTCACTTTGCATGAATCAATCTCCACGATAAACGGGAAAGCCAGAGCATCCAACAATGGCTCCGCGTGGACATTAGACGAAATCATGAGCATGTGAAAATAAAAATGTCATTGACCCTGCTAATCTATAGCACAAGCACAAGCGCATTCGCATTCGCACTCACACCAACCCGCGTAAACACTTGCGTGTGTAAACGCTCAAAAGCCTGGATGCCAACAACCTTTTCCATGGTCCTGCCCTTTCCTTTTTTAGATGGCAAGTCTCTCCACCTTCTGCTGGAGAGCCTTGATCTGGCCAGACAGCTCCGACAGCTCGTTGGAGCTGATGCTGGCCGCAATCACGGCACGGCTCACACCGCAGGCACGGCCCAGCAGGGTCTTGCTGGGGACGTAGACGTACGGCACGCCCTTGTCCTCGCAGATGAGGGGGATGTGCAGGATGATGGCGAGGGGCTCGGTATCGGCGGCCAGGACGGCGAGTTCGCAAGTTCCGCGGTTAATGGACTTGGTCACTGTAGGTTTGGTCACACATGTCAGCCATTTGTTTCCATCGAATGTTTGTATTTCTTCGGAGGATTTTTGAGACATACCTTCGTTGGCACCCTTCTTCGCCTGACGGATGTGCATGGCCGACTGGAGGAGATCGAGAATCTCCTGGGTCAGGGCCGCATCGGCCAAGGGCCAAGCTGTGAAAACAAAGTCAGCCTCTCAGCTGCTCAAAAGAGACAAATTGGGAGAGATGGGAGGATCAATTGTCCTTCAGAGACAACTCACCTGCTTCGTTGGCGGTAGACATTTTGTTTTCACGGTGTGGAATTGAGAAATGGGCTCGCCCGGATAAGGCTCACGGCCGATCTTTTGGGAGGGAGATGGGGGGAGTTGATGGAGGTTGAGTGATGAAGATGCTCTCCGAAAGAAAAAAAAAAAAAAAAAAAATTGCGATAGCAGCGACTTGAAAAGCTTATCCGGTGTTATGTAATCATAATTTGCCGAGTGGGGACCTGCGCCAGCGATCACGTGCTGCCACGTTGTGAGATGCTGCACATAGAACAGACGATCCAGCTTAGGTAAGCACATAAGAGTGGGACCTCAAATTGCCGTAAACGGAAATGACCTTGACAACTGCCGAGGTCACACCCGACTTACATATTTGAGGTACCTTAGCCTAGGTATGATACCTTACAGAACATGGAGACAATTTACAGACTGAATCTGGATTTGCTGGTCTTGTTTCATTTGTATTGTTTATTCAGGATAAGGTAATGATACAAGCTATACTAGGATGCTTCCTCAAGAACCCCGTCCCATGGTATTATTTAGGTTGTTGTACTGTACACACGCCCCCTCTTCTTTGCCTTCCTTTACACGCTCTTGGGCTTGACCATGAGCTCGGGCTTAACGAGCTCATCAAACTCCTGCTCCGTAAGCGCTTGGAGCTCCATGGCACTCTGCTTGAGCGTCAGGCCCTTCTTGTGCGCGTTCTTGGCAACCTTGCTGGCCATGTCGTAGCCAATCTTGGGGTTGAGGCACGTCACCAGCATGAGCCTGTTGTGGAAGCCGTGTTAGCAAAGAATCCAGCAGAGACGGTAAACGGGCGCAACACTTACGACTCCTTCATGATGCTGGCAATCTTCTCCTCGTTGGCCTGCAGGCCCTTGACCAGGTGCTCCTCAAACGAGCGCATGCCGTCGGCCAGAATGCGCGAGCTGTGCAGCAGGTTGCGAATCATCAGAGGCTTGTACACGTTGAGCTCAAACTGGCCGTTCATGCCGCCAATGGTCGTGGCGACGTTGTTGCCCATGACCTGGGCGCAGACCATGGTCAGGGCCTCGCACTGCGTGGGGTTGACCTTGCCGGGCATGATGCTGCTGCCGGGCTCGTTCTCGGGCAGAATCAGCTCGCCGAGGCCGCACCGGGGACCGCTGCCCAGGTATCGGATGTCCTGCGCAATCTTGGTGAGGGAGCCGGCCAGGGTGTTGAGGCTGCCGTGGGCCTGGACGATGGCGTCGTGGGCGGCCAGCGCCTCGAACTTGTTGGGCGCCGTCTTGAAGGTGATGCCCGTCATCTTGCTGACCTCCTCGGCAATGGCCTCGGCGAAGCCCTCAAAGGTGTTGATGCCGGTGCCAACGGCTGTGCCGCCCTGGGCCAGCAGCTTGAGGTGGGGCAGGGAGCTCTCGACGCGCTCGATGCCAAAGTCGAGCTGGGCGACGTAGCCCGAGAACTCCTGGGCCAGCGTCAGAGGCGTGGCGTCCTGCAGGTGGGTGCGGCCGATCTTGATAATCTTCTTGGCCTCGAACTCGTCGACCTTGGCCTGCAGCGCGGCGCGGAGGCTGCGCAGGGCGGGCAGCAGGTCGCGCTCAAACTCGAGGACGGCGGCGATGTGCATGACGGTGGGGAAGGTGTCGTTGGAGGAGGCGCTGCGGTTGACGTGGTCGTTGGGGTGGACGGGCTTCTTGGAGCCCATGGTGCCGCCGAGGATCTCAATGGCGCGGTTGGAGATGACCTCGTTGGCGTTCATGTTGGACTGGGTGCCGGAGCCCGTCTGCCAGACGACGAGGGGGAAGTGGTCGTGCAGCTTGCCGTCAGCGACTTCTTTGGCGGCCTGCTGGATGGCCTGGCCGATCTTGGGGTCTGCAGAGATGAAGCAGTTGGTTAGCAAAGCGTTTGTTCCCCCGATCCGCCTTCTCTCTCTCTCTCTCTCTCTCTCTCTCTCTCTCTCTCTCTCTCTCTGTGCGTGTCTGAGCTCCCCATGTTCCTGTGGTGTAGTCTAGCACATACCGAGTCCGAAGCGCATATTGACCGTCGCCGCAGCGCCCTTGAGGATGCCAAAGGCGGTAATGACGGGCGGCGGCATGCGGTCCTGGGGCTGGTTGATCTTGAAGTTGCTGAGCGAGCGCTGCGTCTGGGCGCCCCAGTACTTGTCGGCGGGCACCTCGATCTCGCCAAAGGCGTCGCTCTCGATGCGCTTGTCGGCCATGGTGCGTGTGGTCGCGTGGAAGCTGCGGAGGCCGGCGGGGATGGTGGCCTTGCGGGCGGAAGATAGAAGGAAGCTGGAGGAGGAAGAGGCGGAAGAAGAGGAGGAGAAGTTGGAGATGCTGGAGATGCTGGAGAGCTGCGGGGTGCGGCACAGAGGGGAGGCGCTTTTGAGCAGCAGCTGGCCGGTTGCGCCCGACGCAGCTCTTGCCGACGCTCGCCGAAGCATTTTTGTAAGGCAGAAAGTAAAGAGATGTATCTATTAAGAGAAGATTGAAGGAGTAAGGCCAAATGAATGCAATTGGATGCTCTGGACTATCCAATTGCAATAGGTAGACGCAGCAATGCGAGGGAAGTAAGTAGGTATTACTTTAGGTAGTATGAACAGAACCGCGGAGGTTAAAAAGGAAAAAGAAGGAGAAAATGCATCACCGGCCGGAGAATGCGATAGAAGCGGGAGAAGGAAAAAAAGGTGCAGGGGTGACGAGCGACTCAACAAATGCCGGCAAACCGGCGGAACGGCGAGGGAAAAAACCGGAGCAGAGGCCCGAAGTAGACCGCCAGCGTAAATACCGCACCGAGCTACATACTTGATTTGGCTGTGGGCTGTGAGCTGTATTAATGAACATTACTGGATATGCTCTCATTCATCTTTCACTGAACTGTGGATCTCACTCACCTCAAATTCATTCATCGTGATGCCTCAATTCACTCTGGGGTTTTCAAGACGAGATTCAAGAGACAAGTAACAAGGAGAACATGGTTTTTCTTCCATCCTTGTTGACACTTGAATCAAATGAACAACTCCTTCTGGTGCTACAAGACCAGGCACCTCCCGATCTGTTGTAGCTTTGAACACACACACACATACACGCACGCACGCACACTTGTGTTATTCAAGATCTCTTCGTTCATACTTGCACGACAACTGCTTCGTTATCCATTCCAAACTTTGGCTTCTGCCTTCACAAAGCTTGATTGCTATATGGTTTGAGCCGCTCATTGGTGTCTCTGTCCTGTCTGCTCGCCACGCATGTATTCTGCAGCTGGTGATACCACAACGCCTCAGTGACTGAGAGAGTCAATAATGAGGCACTCGCCCCTTTTCCAGGATCCAAAAGCTGGACTGTCTCCATTATTGGAGAAGAAATGCCCTTTGCTGGCCATCCATTTGTCAATGCTGTGTCGCCTGTTATTGCCGTACAACCTCGCCTTTGAAAAGACGTGAATCAGCTAAAACAAATAAAGAACATGGAACACTCAATGCCAGACTCACCCCTCAATCGTTCTTTCTTTGAAGGCACTCGAGGAGTCCATATACCTACTAAGCAACTTATAAAAGTCCTGTCAAATCCTCTCCATGTCCTGGCTGCTTTCCTTTTTTGTCCTTCAATTTCCAGCAGCATTACACTCTGACCCTCTCATACTACTCACCAACCATCCACCAACAAACTTCACGTCTCATCATGTCTGCCGTCATCCTCGCGTATCAATGTTTCTTCAGATTTCCCTCGCTATCACCAGTCGGTGATTGCGAAACGGGGTCTGTGGACTTTCTCTTGTCCAAGAGCTTCAAGAGCCTCTGCCGTTGGATGCAAAGGGCTGAAGGAATCCTTGATGGCGTTTCTTGGGGGTTTCTACCTCCCACAGCCGCCGACAATGCCAGACTCGATACGACCTTCCCAGTTTTCAAAGAGCTCATCGAGGCTTTGGACGAGTACACAGATGCCGTTGGAAGGGGCGGTTCGATCGTCGAGACATTGGCCGAGAAGATCCTCTCTCTCATGAACAGCCTGCCGAAGATTGTATTTGAAGCCGAGGACGAAGTCACGGAAGACTGCGATGATGACGGTTCCAAAGATCAGGAGGTGGGTGATCACGATGGACATCAATTGGCTCCAGATTCGTTTCCAGAATTGCCACCCATGCCGACTTTTCTCTCCGTAGAAGAGATATGGTCTTGGGATAGTATGTCCATGTACCCGCTCCCTGTAGTTGGACCAGAGCTAGTCGCAGCCGCAGAAGCCGGGGACTCCAATGCTGTTGCGCGTCTACTTGAACAGGCCGAGGTCCGTCATTGTGACCACAAGGTCGCCCAACTGGGAGGAGATGCTCTGATAGCCGCCACCAAGGCAGGACACATAGGAATCGTCGATATGCTCTCAAAGGCCGGAATCTCCATGGACAAGCGGGACGAACTTGGCCAGACAGCGCTGTTCCATGCCGTTCGTCGACACGACAAGCCCCTGATTGACTTGCTCATAGACCGGGGTGTCGATAAAGGGGCATCCGATCACCAAGACAAGACGGCGTGGGTATTGGCCATTGAAGAGGGTGACTGGGAGCTGATCATCCGCCTCTTGGACGAAACCGCCTGCAGCCGCTTTCCACAGGCCTGGAATCAGACACCAATACAATGGGCTCGGAAACGCGGCCACGGGGCTGCCGCCGCGATCCTCGAAGAACTGCAGGAGAGACTATTACGGCGAGAGATGATCGAAGGGCTTAATGGGTTACGGTGCCATGATCATGAGCTACTAGACTATGACGATGAGCCCGCGAACCTCGAAGAAGATGACGTCGAAGGGCCACAGGAGAGCATCATCCGAGGCAACGACTGGTACGCCCTCGTCAAGCCTCAGCCCCAAGGCAGCTTCGATATCGAGCTTGTGGACACTTCAAAGCCCGGGTTCCCCCTTCGATTTGCCGCTCACCGCAGATCCTCAGAGTCAGCGTTATTCTCCCACTTCCTGGCCAGAGAACTAGAGGCTCGGAGGTCTCCAGAGACACGGAAGGGATCGGAAGGCGAGGTCGACGACTCCATCGGCTGCGCCTGCGTCAGCCTCGATGAGCAAACTGTCGCAACTGCATATGGCAGGGTCATCAAGGTAAGCATAGGCGTCCAATTTGATTCCCCGACCCAGATGAACGTCTAACTGATTCATCTTTAGGTACGTGACGCTGCTACAGAGCAAGTCCGATGCCGTCTGCAGCTCGACCATTGGGTCGGCGCGATCGATCTTTCTGCGACTGGCCGAATTCTCGTGTGTGGCTTCCAGCACTCTTCAAGCATACTCCGTGTCTTCAATGTAGAAAGGGGAAGATGGATCAGGGACTATGACTTGCCCAGGTATAGCGGGATCGACTGTGTCAAGCTATCACCGGATGGCCGATTCGTAGCCGCAGCCGGCTACAGTCTATACAACAATGTTTACATATACGACCTGAAGAAGACTCAAAGGTGTCCACCTCAACTCATCAAGAACACTGCAAGGGTTAAATACATGGCTTTTTCTTCAGATGGCAAATACCTGGCTATAGCTGGAGATCATGAGCTCTCTGTTTGGGATTGGGCCTTGGGCGAGCAGCTCTTCTGCTCACTTACCCTCTGGCATAACACCACCGCAATCTCGTTCACGCCAGACGATAGATGGATTGTAAGGGCCTCGGACGATGGATGCGTCCGCTTCTGGGATCGGGAAGATGGGCATCTCAAGTGTACGCTTGTGGCCCATGCCGAGGTGATTCGTTACATGGCCTTTGACACGAACGGTCGATTCACGACGGCTACTCCAGAGAAGGCGGTGCGTGTATGGTCATACCGGGTGGGAGACGGCAAATACGGGGTTAGGGATGGAAAGGGGGACGGGTTGAATATACCGCAGGCGGTGGATGTGCCGGAAGAGTCGAAGGAGCAAAAGAGTCGAGGGAACCGGAAGAGTCGAGGGAGTAAGAAGAATCGAAGGAGCCGGAAGAGTCAAAGGAGTAGGAAGAATCGAAGGAGCCAAAAGAGACGAAGGGGGCGGAAGGGGGTGACAAGGCCAGAAGGAGGTCAACCAGAAGAGGGGGTCAGGATGCCACTTGACTGATGCAGATTCTGTCCTTCTTTGTTCATCTTCCACCTCGATTCGTCCTTGATGTCTACTCGAGAGTCAAGGAGAATTAGCTTCGCACGTAGTCAGATGAAGCAGTCAAGTATTCACAAGTCATCTTCCATTCTGAGTTCAATCCTCTATTTCGGCCTATCCAAGTATTGATTGCTGTACAAATAAGCCGCTTGTTCTAACTATATCCTGTTCATGTCTGTGATGCACGACTTGATATATATAGAGTAGCTGGTATCACGACATTCAACGAGTTCCAGATGGCAAACAAACTGCTACCTTTATCAAGCCCTGAGTGACCAACTTTTATCTAATTTTGGTTGAAATGACCCTTTTCGAGCATTCAATTGCTAGGTACCTAGTATCTACCTCAGCGGTACATTGTGTGAGATTTTCAGATCAGTCCAGTTTAAGCAAACTTTGGATTTGGCAGGAGCAAACAGAGAGCATGACAAACACAAAAACCTGCCATCTACCAGCAAACTGCCAGAATCTTGGCCCTCCCTTCTTCTATCCATATGGAATGCATCAGAGCCACCAAACTTCCCAAAACACTTATAAGTACTGAAGCCAAAACTCTCTTGATATCTTGAATATTCCCATGTCCTGATATTGAGCAACATTCTCTTCTTCTTGTTGATACAACTTCGCCAACATGTCGCTGACCTTCCAAATGTCGCAACCCGCCATGGTTCTTCGAATACTCTTATATGAGTGCTTGGAGAAATTCTGCTGGGCATCACCAGTCGATAGTCCCGGTTCGAGGCCGGAGGACTGGCCCTTGTCTAGCAGCTTCAAGAGGTTTCGCCTGTGGTGTGGAAACGCTGAACTACTTGTCGGCGACCCTGCCAATGGACTTCTGCCTTCCACACCTCACCTACGTCTACTAAATCGAGTGATAGTCATCTTGCTTAGACTTTCTAAATGTCTGGACGACTATAACCCAAAGACGAACATCATCATCGAGCAAATGGAATCCTGGATAGACAGTTGCGTCGGGTCCCTGACAGTTCTGTCGTTGCTCGAAGCGGAGGATGAAGACATGGGAGGCTACGATGACAGCGACTTCGGAGACAAGGAATCCGTATTTTCATGCGAAGATCAACGAAACGAACGATCAGAATCAACGTCGCCGCACCCAGATCTAGAATTCCCAAATGGGTCGGACGGAGATATGGGTCTGGACGAAGCTGTTCCAACCGAAGCACAACTGGTCAGAGCCGTACTAGCTCGAGACTTGGATGTTGGATGCTGTCAAAGAGCTGGTCAACCGGAACTACTCTTTCAATAGTGAGGAAGACGTCGGCGTCGGAAATGCAGCGCTGATGACCGCTGCTGGCGAGAGAGGGCACTCGGGACTCGTCAAGAGGCTTATTCAATCCGGCGTCAATGTCAACTCGCAAGACAGCTACGGCCGGACAGCTCTATTCAACGCCGTTCGTTGCGGCAGCAGGTCTACAATCAAGGTGCTCCTATTTCACGGCATCGACGAGACGTTGAGCGACGAGGATGGCATGACGGCGCTCGAAACGGCCATCGAAGAGGGAAACAGGGACATTATCAACATGCTGTTCCGCCCATCAATCTACAAGCTGTTCGTACCTCCCTATCGTGAGACACCGCTTGAATGGGCGCATGCGCACAATCACCAGGCTGCGGTCCAGATCTTTCTGAAGATGCAGAAGAGGGGACTGCAGAGGAAGAGCCAGAGTGGCAGCAAGAGTGACGAGGACGATATGGAAGACAACTACGTCGAAGCGACAGGGAATACGATTTCAGGCCAGGGCTGGCATGCCCTCATCAACCCGCTCCTGGAGCAAAGCTTCGACATCAACTGCGTGATGACGCTGACTCAGGACAAGTTCCCCATCCACTACCTGGCCTTTGCTCAGGACGGGAAAGATCTTGTGGCAAGCAACGTTTCCGACATAATGACCTGGTCCACAGAAAATTGGAGGGCGAGGCATCAGGTCCCCGGCCCAAAGGCCGCTGTAGTATAGGATGGGGTTGGCAATCCCCTCCATTGCCTCTGCATCAGCCCTGATAGACAAACTGCCGTAGTCAGTTGCGATAATACCATCCAGGTAAGCAAATCCACCCCCAATTACACAGCCTATAATATGACAACAGTTTAATTGACTTACGTGCCCAACTTATCAGGTATGGGATCCCGCAACGTGGCTGCGTAGGGAGCGCCTCAACAATACCAAGCTGCGTCTTAACGACTTTGAGCCAGTCACTCTGCTTGATCTCTCCACCTCCGGTCGATACCTCGCAATCGGTCGTGGCGAAGGCACTATCGATGTATACAGCGTGCATACCATGATCAAAGTCCGAGAGTTTCCCACGGGCGAGTACATCTCATGCCTCAGAGTCTCTCCAAACGATCGCTTCGTAGCCGCATGCTGCAGCGGTACTTTCCGCCTCTACGACCTGCAGACAGGGGAGAGAAGCTGGGGCCCCTGTGGCAACCTCCAATGCGCCGCCTCCGTGGATATCTCGCCGGACGGCAGGTATCTCGTTACAGGGGGGTTGGAACATCTTGAAGTCTGGGATCTGGAACGGCGTCGGCGTGTCCATCGCATCCCGAACCAGTGGTATCGTATTTTCAAGGTGGCATTTACCCCGGACGGGAGATGGATCGCGGCCGCCTCGACTGATGGCTGCGTTCGTTTCTGGGATTGGACCACCGGCCAGCTTCAGTTCATACTCAGGGCGCATACGAGCGAGATTCGGGCAATGGCATTTGGACAAGATGGGCAGTTTGCCACGGCTTGTGCTGACCAGACAGTGCGCGTGTGGTCGTATAAGCTGCGAAGAGAGAAAGGGGGAAAGGGAAAAGTTGAAGCAATTGTGCCGCAAGAGGCGGACAGCAACACATTAAGAGAGACGGATGAATCAGAGGAGTCGATGAGCTCTCATCTTGGCCGGCTTCAACTGGGCTAGCCGCAGCTTAGTTGATCCTTTCACGCCTCCAAGGAGTCAAGAAGAGGCATCTGTGCCTCGTTGTGGTGTTTGATCTTGTATATCCTTCTTCTACCCCCCCTTACTCTGCAAGAAAAGCTGGATATGTCCTAATATGCCCCATTTTAGCTGGTATTTGATCTTCCTTTTCATCTCAAAGCAAAAGAATTAGCAGTATACGTAGCCACATTATTGAAATTAGACAGTCCCAAGTCATCAATCATTCAATGGAGGATAAACAACTGCTGGTGGTATCTTCCCAAAAAGACATGTGAAACAACAGAGTAGGTATGCACAAAAAGATTGCCCGCACACACACACACAAAAAAAAAAGACAATGTCTATCAGACCCAACACCAGCAAACTCCATCCATCATCCATCAGCACAAGCGCTCGATTCATTATCCCAAAGGCCGTTTCAAGAAAAGAGCAAGAAAAGGAGAAAGCAAAAAAAAGAAAAAGAAAGAAAAGGAAGCAAGAAAGAAGGACACGATCAACGTCGAGCACAGCTCCCGTTTATATATCGGGCAGCGTCCGGGTCTCGTCCATCATCTCGTCGCCGCCCAGCTCCTTCTCCAGCTCGTCCGCCACAAAGCCCTCGTAGTCGTCCAGGCTCTTTTGCACGTGAATCTTGAACTTGATGACGTCGTTGAGCATGCGGTCAATCTCCGTGTGCAGCTCTTCTCGTAGCGAGTTGGCCCGTAATACAAGCTGTTCGTATCTGGGGTTGGTGATATATATTAGCTTCGTTGATATGCTTCAAGAGGGCCCATGGCCTTGGTTTCAAAAGATGGGCAGACTCACTCAATGGTAGTGTTAATCTCGCGCTGCTCGAGCAGCTGCACAGACTCCGTCAAGCCGGCGCGCATCCTCGACAGCTCCTTTTCCATCTTTTCAATCTGCGCGTCAGATCCCATCTTCTGCGCCGTGGCGACCTCCTTGGTCTTTTCGTATTCCTCTTCCGCCGCCCTCACCCGGTGGTTCAGCGCCTCGACCTCGTTGCGCTTGTCCTCGATGGCCTCCTTAATGCCGTCCAGGAGGTCGTGGTCCTTCATCATGTCGTCCATGACGGCGCTCCGCCGCTCCGCAATCTCTTTGCGCAACGCTATGAAGCTGCTCCTGATCGAGCCCCTGAGGTCCAGGTTAAGGACGTGTCCCGGCTGATAACCCGTCGTAGCATCAATCAGCAGGCGGTCGGTCGCTGGTGTGTGCGTGGTGCTGGAGCTCTTCCAGTTGGACGACCCCGGCTCGCTCCCGTTGAGAGTCACCTGCAGCTCATATTCCCTGCCCTTGGCGTTGGCCGCCGTGGCCGGGATGAGCGCTATCTGGTAGGCAATGGTGTTGTACCTGTCGACCATGCGCTCCAGCTCGTCGAGCCTTCGGCTGGCCTCGGCCTCCTTTTCCATCACCTTCTTCTTGATTTCCTCCAGGCGCTGCCCTGCCGACTCGATACCCCGCTGCAGTCGTTCCCTTTCAGAAGTCATGCGGTCGATATCCTGCATGCTAATGCCCTGGTCATCGACAGCTTTCTGAAGCCCGCGTCGCTCTTCGTCGGCTTCCTTCAACTCCTCCATCAGCTTTTCCAGCTCCCCCTGCAGAACCTGGATACGAGCTTCGTATTTTTCCGACCGCTGGATGGCAAGCTCGTTGTAGTCCTCAAACTTGACGCGATCCTCCTCCATGATCCTGAAATGGTTGTCCAAGACGGCAGGGTCTGGGGTTGACTTTTCGAGATCCTCGATTTCCTTGAGCAGCCTCTCGTTCTCGGCCTCCAGCATCTCGAGTTCCGCCGTGTACCTCGAGTTGGACTGCTCAAACGCCCTGGCCATGGCCTCGACGTGCGGTGCCAGCAGCCGTTCAGCATCCTCATCGCCCATGTCGTCGTCCATGGCGAGCCAGTCGCGGTAGGCATTGCTCAGAAAGGCAAAGATGATATGATCGCCAGTCACGTCAACGCCAGCTTCGAGACAGGCATCCATATACTGGTTGTTCGCATAGCCCTCGAGCATCTTGGCCAGTTGCATCATCCAATGCAGCAGCCCGAGGAAAGTGCTCCAATTCTGCCCACCCACGGCGGCAATCTGGCTCTTGGTGATGCTGCGCTCAAACGGGTACCGAAGCTGCTTGAGAATGGGCGGCACCTCCTGGTCGATGTTCTTCTGGAATTTGTGGCTGGGGTCGATCCGATGGTACAGCCATTGGAACATGTAGTTGAAGTCTTTCTGGGTCGGCGACTTCAGGATGTTTTGCGATAGCGAGTGCTTCATCTCCATCTCAAAGTTGTGCTGAACCATATAGTCCATGAGCTCCTGGGCGATTCGCGCCTGGAAGGCCCGGTCCCTGAGCGGCCGTGGATCGCGCGGCACGCCCGCTGCCTGCGGCGTGGTCTGGAAGAAGCTCTGATGGCTGACGGGGCCGACCGTCGACTGCCGCGGACGATATACGCTGCTGCGCCTGTCGGCATCCGTCGATGGCCGCGCGGCCGCTGGGGTGAAGGCGGACGGCGTGTACGTCGCCCGGGGCTGCTGGAACGAGGTGCGCTTGACCGACGACAGGCCAAGGTCGGCGAGGCTTGCGCCAGAGGAGGCGCGCTGGAACATGGGCTGGTTCGGACGCGTCAAGGCCAGGGAGTGCCTAGATCCCGACATGGAGCGGCCGTGGCCGGCGCCGTAGCCGGAGTGGCCTGGGTTCGGGTTCGAGCGCTTCATCGTCGACCCGGGCGCGGGGATTCCGCTGTTCGTGCTGAGGCCGCCCAGCGTCTGTGCCGTTCTGTCTGTCAGCGGGACGATGCCTGCGCGCCACAGGCGACCATGATGCGGATGCCGACGCTCTTGCGACAGAGGCGACGGGGGGGAGCTTTTAGCCTACCTCTCGTTTCCTGCGGACGCTCCAGAGGTTCGTGTCCTGAGACATTGCGTCGTCGGCCGTGCTTGTGCGGCAATGATCGAGCGGCTGAGGAGCGATTCCCGGCGCGTTTGGCGATCAATTCTCGACGGCGCAAGACGGGATTTGCAGCCGTTGTCGACGAGGCGGACTTGGGCACATACAAGGCTGGAAGTTCTTTCGTGGGGCCGTTTGAGAATTGGGGGGAATAGGAAAGCGATAAGGCGGGTTGCTCGGTGAGAAAGTAAACAAAGGCCTGATTGGCCGAGAGCGGACTAGCGCGGCTGAGGGTCGGAGTCTGGGATTTGAATCTGAGAACGTCGGAAGCACGTGACAGACCAGGAGCTACTGGAAGCAGCGACCTGAAATGATTCAGCTGAAAGGTGACTTAGTACCAGTACGAGTACGTGTGAAGGTACCGGTACGTACCGTTGCCTCGGCCCAGCCGTGTCTTTTGGCATTGGCCTTTTGCGGCTCGCGCTCAGCCATCCCGGGGTTCCACCACATATTACCGAGCTTCATCTCTTGCTCTGCCTCTCTGTCAGCATCCATCGCCAGCGCCCCCGAACTTGCGTCTTCCGTCCATCTTGGCGACTTGATCTTCCCTGGGCCTCTTCAGGCTCTGTTAGACGCATTCCGACTGAGAAAAGCCGCCGCCATGGCGATACGCGAGGAAATCGTGGCGTCAGCAGTAAGTCATCCGCTCCATGTCTTCGCGACAGACGGCTCCCGTATTCATTCATCCCTTTGCTGATAACCACGTTCTCTAGGCGCAATGTCAGTTTCGACCCGGCACCCCGGTTTTTCTCTTGACCTCACCGCGCCCTGATACAGAATACGATATACTAACACTAGAAGCAGTCCTGCAAGACCCCAGCGTCGCAGCGTCGTCCATCGAAAACAAGATATCCTTCCTTCGAACCAAGAACCTGACACAAGAGGAGATTGATGCCGCTCTCGCCAGAGCCGGAGGCAGCGGCGCGGTAGCTCCTAGGGCACCCTACGCGGCCGCGCCTCCAGGTCCTCCTCAGGGCCCCCCTCAGCAGTACTACCAGCCTTACCCCCAATACGCATGGCAGCCGCCTGCCGCGACCCCCAAGAGAGACTGGAGAGACTGGTTCATCATGGCAACCGTGGTGGGAGGAGTCAGCTATGGTCTGTTCTCATTGGGCAAGGTACGACTTTAGCATTGCGCGCGTTTGTGGCCATGCTCGTTACTGACTAATGGACAACAGCGATATGTGTACCCCCTGGTAGCGCCGCCTACCCCTGAACGGCTGGAGCAGGACAAGAAGTCGATCGAAGAGCAGTTTGACAAGGCCTTTGCTCTGGTCGAGCAGCTGTCCAAGGACACGGAGGCGCTGAAGGATGCCGAGAAGCAGCGGACAGAACGGCTGGACGTGACGCTGGCGGACCTGGAGACGATCATGGCGGAGCTAAAGACGGCCAACAAGCGCCGCGAGGACGACGCGCAGCGCATTCGCGACGAAGTGCAGGGCCTCAAGGATGCCATCCCGAGGGCCATGAACAACCAGAAGGAGATTACCGACAACCGCCTTGCCGAAATCAACACGGAACTGACGAGCCTCAAGACGCTCGTGTCACAGAGGATGAACGCCGCGTCCAATCCCACCGCTTCGAGCGGCTACTTCCGGGGCGCCAACGGCATCAACGGCATCAACGGGACGAATGGTGCCAACAGCGGCACCAGCGGAACGGCGTCGCCGCCCACAGCAGCAGCCGCTCAGTCGCCCAATGAGAGCGCGACGGAGACGAGCACCACGCCAAAGCCCGACGTCGCCAAGGGTCCGTCCAGGAGCAGTTTTGGCAGACCGTCTGGCTCCGGCAAGGCGTCGATCCCAGCATGGCAGATGGCCATGGCTAACCAGACTGCCGGAGCAGCTGCCTCGTCAGCGGCGTCGTCGTCGTCGTCGGGCAAGGAGGCTGAAAAGGCACCGGCCGAGGCGGCTGCGGGCAGCTCGTAGATGATTCTTTGCTTGCCTTGAATTTTCGCCATGCATTGTATGTACGGTTTGGGACCAGAATGCGGATGTCGTTGCGCTACGTGTGGATATACAGGGACAATGCAGCAGCATCAATTGGATAACGGCCCGGGAGCGTTGCACTTTTCTTTATGTAATTTAATATCAAATGGATCTCGTTTCTTGTTTACTATCTCGAGCGGAATGACGAGAGCCTCGTTGTTTCCATGGCACATGTATAAGGAGAGTCGAGGCCGTGAGTCTTGACGTGGATTAGACAGACGAGTTGTGAGTGATGAGCTGTATGTAGTTGTATTTAGACTGAGTGAGCAGTGAGACACGGGCCGAGGCTCGGGCTTATTGTTCCCGCTGGTTGCTCACTAAAGACAGACGCTAATTTCAGCCATGGACTCGCTGAAGCTCAATGGAAGCTCACCTACATTGGCAATTGACATCATGGACGTCTTTTTAGGGGGCATTCCTGAGAGGAGACCGAATATGGAATATCGAATACACGCACATGTAGGTACATGCAATCACAGGAATGGTCGTGTCTCAAACAAACCGACTTGTCCTCGACATGCCGCTACTAGTATATAATTCCTAGCATTGTTGTTTGTACATGTATCATTGGAATGCCGGGCTTCTCCTCATTATCGCAGCACGTGCCTGTCTGCCTTTCCTACATGCAGCATCTGATACCACCTCAATGCTGGCGTTTCAGTGTCGATCTCGCCTCGACCTCATCGCTCAAACCTCTATTAAACAAACTCCTTCATCCCTTCACAGCCTTGTACCCGTTGACCCTACAGAGACATCTTTGTACCTTGATCTTCTTCCTCGCCCCTCCATCTTTCTCGTTCCTCCTTCTTTTTGACCCCCCTCTCAGCACACATAGATAAAATGGACGAGACTCCTCCAACCTCGGCTTCTGCCATCGCAGCCCCTTCATCACCCTCTCCCGCCTCCCGCCTCGCCGTCAACTTCAGACTGCTCCTCCTCATACTGGCCAAGCTGCCTCTCCTGACGCGGGTAGCCATCCTTCACGCATTGAGGCTCTCCGAACCGGCCAAATACGTCGATCTGCAGTCCAACCTGGTGGTTTCCTTCATACGCGCCCTCTTGACGCCGTCCACTCCACGGCCAATCTCTTACGCCCAGAAGCTCACCACGCGCGACACCGAGATCAGGGGGAGGATATGGATCAGCTCATACGCCTCGCCGCCGCCTCCAGAGACGGACATCCGAGACGCGCTGCTCCGAATCGTTGAGAGCACGAGATATCCGCATCCCAGCGGCAGCGGCAGCAGCAGCAGCGAAAGCACCACCACCACCACCACCACCAGAGTCCCCCAGCTCACCCCCGTCCAAGCCGAATGGACGGGATACCGAGCCGCGGCCTCGAAGAGGGAGCCCCTGCCCGCCATGTCCGAGGCCGACAAGTACCGCGCCATGATGAAGGAGTGCCGCGAGCCGACGACGGTGCTCTACTTCCACGGCGGCGCGTACTACCTCTGCGATCCGGCCACGCACCGCCACGTCGTCAAGAGGCTGGCCAAGCTGACGGGCGGGCGATGCTATTCCGTGCGGTACCGCCTGGCGCCGCAGGATCCGTTTCCGAGCGCGCTGCTCGATGCGCTCGTCTCGTACTTTACGCTGCTGTATCCGCCGCCGGATGCCTACCACGAGGCTGTGAAGCCGTATCATGTTGTTTTTGCGGGAGACAGGTATGTTGCTCTAGATCCAGATATCCATCTACCTATATATGCCTGCCTAGGTAGCATGAAAAGAAGGTCGTTGCACGGAACAGGGCATGTGTACTGGTAGCACCCCCCATCAGTAGCATCATGCTGTGCAACGCTTCTTTGTGCGAGACTACCTATGTACCTACTGTTCTTATCACCACCTCACTTGTTGTTAATACCTGGATGTCAAGCGCGACGTGTCACTGACATCTTCCGTGTGTGATACAGCGCCGGCGGAAACTTGGCCCTCGCCCTCTTGCAGCTCATCCTTGAGTTGCGCCGTCAAAACACGCGCATTCAGTGGTACGGCGAGTCACGCACAGTCCCTCTGCCCGCCGGCGTCTCCTGCGCCTCTCCCTGGCTCGACATCACGCACAGCTCGCCCTCATGGCAGGGGGAAGACCCTCACCCCTTCGACTACCTGCCCAAGCCGCGGCCCGATGCCATGGCCAGGATCCCGCCGTGCGATATATGGCCGGCAAACCCGCCGCGGAAGCACATCTACGTCGATGACGATATGGTCGCGCATCCGCTGGCGACGCTCCTCATGAGCCGCAGCTGGGAGGGATCGCCGCCCATATGGATGTGTACGGGCTGGGAGATTCTCGCGTACGAGGACAAGGCGCTGGCAATGAAGCTCTTTGCCGATGGCGTTCCCCTGGTATTCGAGGAGTACGAGGCGATGCCGCACGTCTTTGCCCTGCTCTTGTCCCATGCCCCTGCTTCTCGGCGCTGTTTCGAGAGCTGGGCCAGCTTCATTCGCCGCTCGGTGCAAGATCCGACGTCGATTGAGGCTAGCGCAACGAGCATCAAGGCTCGGACGCTGGAGGAGACGAGCCTCAAATTCGAGGAGCTCCTGGAGGACAGTCTGGAGGACGTGCAGGCGTCTGTGGCGATGAAGGCTGGGCTCAAGACGGAATGGACGGCGAGGCTGTGATGCCGAGATGGTTGTATACTTGCCTCATTACCTAGTATTGATACGAATATATGATATAACGTATAGATTATGAACCCATGTCATCAATTCAACTGCTCTTCTATTGAGTGTATATGTGATTAATAGTCGTAAATTGGCTGGAGAGTAACTAAGTACATGTACCTTGTTAGCTCTGCCGTGGACCCTGAAGCCGTTCCCCGACCCCGCCATGCCGCCCCGATTGGCTGCTCACCTTGGAACGATTAGCGACATATCGAATCTCATCTTTAGCTCTCAACACCATCTCTCTCTCACATCACCAACCCTCACCTTTCACCTCCCCTCCCTCCTCCCGACCCCAGCCGCACACCAGGGCACCAAAAAAAAAACAAAAAGGGGAGGGGTCGTCATGGAGCGCCACAAGCAGGCCGTGACCAAGATCGCCGGCGCGGTGCGCGGCTACTTTGAGCGCGGCGAGCCGTACCGCATCTTCCACGGGTCGACCAACAGCACGCGGCCTCGCCCCGGGCCCGGCCACCGCGCCGTCGACATCAGCAGCCTGGGCAACGTGCTGGCCGTGGACCGCGGGGCGCGCACCGCGCTGGTCGAGCCCAACGTGCCCATGGACCGGCTGGTCGAGGCGACGCTGCGCCACGGCCTGGTGCCGCCCGTCGTCATGGAGTTCCCCGGCATCACGGCCGGCGGCGGCTTCGCGGGCACGGCCGGCGAGAGCAGCTCGTTCCGCCACGGCTTCTTCAACGACACGGTCAACTACGTCGAGATGGTGCTGGGCAACGGCGACGTGGTGCGCGCGTCCCCCCACGAGCGCGCCGACCTGTTCCGCGGCGCGGCCGGCGCCGTGGGCACCCTCGGCATCACGACGCTCATGGAGCTCAACCTGGTCGAGGCCCGCAAGTTTGTCCGCACCACGTACCACCGCACGCACAGCGTCGCCGAGGCCGCCGCCCGCGTCCGCGCCGAGACGCAGGACCCGCGCAACGACTACGTCGACGGCATCCTCTTCTCGCGCGACCACGGCGTCGTCATCACCGGCCAGATGACCGACGACAAGCCCGACGGCCAGCAGGCCCAGACCTTTAGCCACGCCCGCGACCCCTGGTTCTACCTGCACGTCCGGGACAAGACGCGCCACGCCTCCTCCTCCTCCGGCGAGCAGCCCGTGACCGACTACATCCCGCTGGCCGAGTACCTGTTCCGCTACGACCGCGCCGGCTTCTGGGTCGGCGCCCAGGGCTTCACCTACTTCAAGTACGTGCCCTTTACCGACTTCTGGCGCTGGTTCCTCGACGACTTCATGCACACGCGCATGCTCTACCGCGCGCTGCACGCCAGCGGCGAGTCGGCCCGCTTCGTCGTCCAGGACCTGGCCATCCCCTACGACAAGGCCGCCGAGTTCGTCGACTACACCGCCGACGAGTTCGGCATCTGGCCCCTCTGGCTGTGCCCCCTGCGCGAGACGCCCAACCCGACCTTCCACCCGACCTGCCAGACCGAGGCCGTCGGCGCCGACCTCGTGCCCCAGCCCATGCTCAACATTGGCGTCTGGGGCTGGGGCCCCGAGGACCACGACGCCTTCATCGCCAAGAACCGCGCCCTCGAGGACAAGCTCGTCCAGCTCGGCGGCCGCAAGTGGCTCTACGCCCACACGTACTACTCCGAGGACGAGTTCTGGCGCGTCTACGACAGGGACTGGTACGACGCCCTCAGGGAAAAGTACTCGGCCACCACCCTGCCCTCCGTCTACGACAAGGTCCGCATCGACGTCGACGCCAGCCGCGAGGAGCGCCAGCTGTGGAAGAAGTCGCTCAAGAGCAGGTGGCCCGTCGGCGGCCTGTACGGCATCTGGAAGAGCATCCTCTCTGGGGACTATCATTTGCATAGAAACGCCGAGTGGAAGTACAAGGGGGATGACTGATACTTTAGGTACCTACTATACATGTAGAAGATGACGGATGTAATTGTAGAATCATTGAAGCGAACAAGGATAAAACACGAGGATGAGCGGATAAATCTCACGGATGAGATAAAGGACAAAATATCTAGACCAAGCAAGCATCATAGCGGGCCAAAAGGGGGCTGATGCGAATGAAAAACAAAGGGACAAAGACGGGCGTTTACATAAAAACGATGAGCATGAAACAGACTTCACTGGGCAATGGCAAGGTTAATTGGGTAGATCGGCTTATAGCACATCATGTCTATTTGGTTATTTCTTTCATTCCGTCCCGCTCGTCCTCAAAGGCTTGGGCTGATTCTATGAACCATACACCATTAATGCCCAGCCAGACGGGACGCACCGTCGCCTATGTATAAATATATGTATATACCCTCATTATCTGGCTTCACACCTCCTCGAGACCCTGGTATGAGCGCCACCGCTGCTCAATGTCTATCCAGAAGACAAGACAAATTGTCATCAAACCAAATTCCAAAAGTGTCACCTGCATATCCTCAACAGATGAGTCTATCGCTGTGCTCGTGTCGTGCCGCACTGCACGTTTTCCCGTCGTTAAAAAAACATAAAATAGCTGAGACGCCGTGTGCTCCATGCCGCACAATTATTTTTTTGAGTTATTCAAGCAGAACAAAAGGGTATTTCGTTTTTTCGCAACCAATGAGGCTGGATAGGAGAGAAAAGGGGACGCTTAGGCCTTGACGGCATACTCTCGCTTGAACATGTCGTCGACCTTCTCCAGGTAGTAGGTGCCGGGAGCGATGGTGGAGACGTCGCCCTTGGGAGTGTAGTTCTTCTGGAGGTGGGCCTGCTTTCGGAGGTTGCACATCTGAAAGAAGAAGAATCAAGGTTAGCATACCGTCAATTGCTCAACTGGAGATGGGGAGGGAAAAAGTACTAACCTCATCGTACGTCTCAGGGGGGACGGCGCGGCGGGCCTCCAGACGGGTGGCAATGTCCAGAGTCTTGCCAATGGTCTCGACGTTGCCAACGACGCGCAGGGACAGGAAGGTGGCGGCCAGGCCGGAGCCGTAGCTGAAGAGACCAATTCGCTTGTTCTCGAGGGCCTTGCTGTCGGCAAAGGACAGCAGGCTGGCCAGGCCACCCCAGACGCTGGCGCAGTACATGTTGCCGCACAGGGTGGCGACCTGGATGGCGGGGTTGACGCGCTCCTGGTAGCGCTTCTTGGTGAGCGTCATGAAGACCTTCTCGAGGGCCTTGTCGGTCAGGGACTTTTCGTAGTCCATGTCGCGCAGCTCAGGGGCCACCTCGGCAAAGGCAGGGAGGTCAGCGTTGCTGAGGAAGTCATGGTACAGCAGTCGGGCGTACGACTTCTGGACCAGCTTGCAGGTGGGGGCGTGGAAGGCAAGGTAGTCGAAGCGGTCGAGAGGCGTCTTGGAGGAGTCGACGCCGTTGGCGTTGCCATTGGTCAGCCTGGCCTCCTTCTTGTTGTAGTCGCGGTAGGCGGCGTCGAGGGCGCGGGTGTAGCAGGTCAGCGAGAAGTGGCCGTCGACGACGGGGTACTCGCTGGTCAGGTCGGGCTTGTAGAAGTCGTAGGCGTGCTGCATGTAGGTGCCGCGCAGGCCGGGCTCGACAACAATGGGAGCGTTGGGGCCAACAAGAATGGCCACGGCACCGGCGCCACCAGTGGGGCGGGCAGCACCCTTTGCGTAGAGGGCAATGTCGCCAGCAACGACAATGGCATCGCGGCCGTCCCAGGCGGACGACTCGACCCAGTTGACGCTGTTGAGGAAGGCGTTTGTGCCGCCGTAGCAGGCGTTGAGGGTGTCGACGCCCTCAATGTTGGTGTTGTCGCCAAACAGCTGCATCAGCACCGTCTTGACCGACTTGGACTTGTCCAGGATGGTCTCGGTGCCGACCTCGAGGCGGCCAATCGAGTTGACGTCGATGTTGTAGTTCTTGATGAGTCTCGAGGTGACGGTCAGAGCCATTGAGTAGATGTCTGAAGAACATAGCTGGTTAGCCAAATGCTTCTGATTCAGGGGGGAGGGGGGAAATGCCGTGTCGAATGTCGAGACTGGTGCACTTACCCTCGCGGTCGTCGCAAAAGGCCATCTTGGTCTGGCCGAGACCAATGGTGTACTTGCCGGCGGCAACGCCGTCGAACTTTTCAAGCTCGGACTGCTCGACATACTGTTTGATTTGATCCAATGGTCAGTCTGGCTTTGCCTCCTTTGCGTGGGCAGAATCAAGACCCGTCAAGAGTTCCGTCCATGGAGGGGCAACTGAGCGAACCTGGCTGGGGAAGTAAATCTCAATGGCCTTGATGCCAATGTTCTGAGGTCGGGCGGCCATTGTGAAGGTGGGAAAGGACTGCAATTGAGCGTGAAGAGAGAAGAAAGTTGAAGGGAGAATGACAGAGAGAATATGGAGAGAGAGAGAGAGAGAGAAGAGGAATTGGGTGAGTGGAAAGGGAAAGGAGAAAAAGAGTGAAGCTCTTGAGGAAATGTCGACCGTGTCAATTGGTGGCGGCCCAGATGTCCATTTAAAGGTTTTCACCGCCCTTTGTGGCAGGCGGTGCGCGCATCGATAGGCACTGGATCGATACCTGTAGGTAGGCATCGCTGTGCTGTATCGGCGCACCAGCTGCAGCAGCAACAGGGGATCTTTGGGGGACCCTAGGTACAGTACAGGGGCCCTGCAGCGCTTCTGCCAGGGGTCGGGCCTAGTGGGCGTTAGTGGGCTGTGGTGGGCTGTGGTGGGGTTTGGCAACCACTACGAGCATGCGGCAGCTGCTGTGATTTGATGGATGCTTTGGGGAAACCGGCACACGCAGTCAGCCAGCCAGCCAGCCAGCCAGCCAGACCAGCCAACGCAAGAATCGCGACTACGAGTACGGAGACCGAATACCTTGCCTTGCCTTGCCTCGCCTTGCCTTGCAGAGACATTTGTGTCTGTGTTGTGCCTCGATCCCCTGGTTGTCACTTCCAAGGTTCCATCTAAGGTATTACTACTATGTACAGTATCTTCTTACTCTACTCTTCTTGCCTTGCATCCCTGCCACTTCAATTGCCGTGTCTACTACATACTAGTACTATGTAGTAGTATTCTCGTCGTCCTTTATCACACCAGCAGAGAGATTAGTGTCGAGGTGGCTGCACGACGTCTTTTGCTACCGTGTCCCCTTTCTTTCTGCTCCTTCTAAGACCTTCCTGCGTCATCCCAAAAAAGTCATTCCTGCTCCATATTTCGTATTTAGTCTAGTAGTAGTTACCACACTTTTTTTTCCCTCTCCAAAATCGGGGCCTTTGGGTGTCAAAACCGTTGGTTGCCAGCTCGGCCCATCTCTGCCTCTTTTCCCTTGAGATGCAGAATCTCATGCTCCAATGCGTTGTCAACTCGCCCCACCGCCACCTTTTTCGTCTTCACCCGCGTTTCCACGATGGGAACTCGTAATTCCTTGTTGCTCGCACCAATGCTTGGTCCAGACGTAGTACTAGCTGTAGGTATCTTTGTCCCGATGGCTTCTTCAACCGCACCATCTTCCTCCTCCTCCTCCTCCTCCTCCAGCTTGGGCTCCACCGCCATCCAAGAGACTAGCCAGCCGACCGGAGGCTCCAGAACCGGCCCCAATTCCACACGATCCTCTATATCCGTCCATCTGATAAGATTGGTCGTAGGTACTAGTATCTTAGGATGCGTCTTCTACACGACATCTGGCATCATAGCGGCCGAATAAAGCCTCACTCGGACGTATGTATAGTAGATCCGCAGAGCCGTTAAAATGGCTCGTTGCACACACACACACATCTCGATCCTTTTGTGGCCAAGACAAGGCAGGCTCCAGTGCTCATGATGCAAAGGCTGGCTTGGCTGGCTGAAGATGACCGGCGCCGTACTCATTTGCTCTCATTGTCAGCTCGGTACTCCCAGTTGCATCCATTGGCCGTGAGCTCGGGGCGTGCACGGCTAGTATCTATCTGTAGGTACCTATGATCAGGAACGATGAAGTTGAGCGTGTGCTTTTCATCTCACAAATGTCAGTACCGTGTCCAACGTTGCGCACGGAACGGCACTACCTCTACCTACTAATGCTCGCTCTCGGCCTGTAGGGATATTAACTGCTGAATTTGCCCAGAATCCACCCGCTCGCATCATCATACATGTACTACTCACGAGTCTAGATTGACAGCTGAGACGGTTCCAGTGCAGTCGAACCAGCATAAAAAAGAGACAAAAGAGACATCCAAGACACTGTCTTACTGCCACTACCTGATTTGGCATGTCTCTGTTTCGCATGCCGCTCGGATTCCGGCCGCCGGCCCCACTTCCGGTACGGCGCCAGGTTCGGATGAACCAGAAAAAAAATGAGACACCAAGATTCACAAGCCAATTTGCTTTAGATGTACAAGAGGTACCAGCACAGAGTACTGTACCCGCGACCAACATGCGTCGTTTGCGCCTGACAGACGCTGTCAGTGACAGCTACTAGTACTCGTACCATCTACACTCCAGGAGATGAGATAGGTACCTACCTTATCAGGCATATTACTTCCCATCGGGTCTCGAGGTGCGTGCATGAAACATTGCAATAAACAAGAAAGAGCAAAATACGAATACGACCTTAGTCAGGTACCAACCACGTGTTTGTGCCAGCCAGCCACCCACTCATCCACCCTAAGCAAACATAGCTAACCCCCGATACGAATACGCCCCTAAGATCAAAAAAGATTGCGGTAATTACACCAAGTGTTCCCAACAACTAGGTACCTACCTTAGTAGCTCTCAACCCACAACACCAACTGATCTCTTCATGCCATTGGCCAGCAAGGAAGCCCATGGCAGATCGATCTGGTCACGTCTGTTGTTGTTTATCGCGTACTCGGATTGCTGCTGACCCGATGCTTATCGAGACTGTGATGAATCGCCATCTGTCTTGATATCGAGATTGTCGCCGAGCTCTGCCAATGTCATCATCTCGGACTCTTGCCATCTACAAGGTCAACAAACGTCGGCAATTGTATCTTCAGAAGCGCCGACCAAGCATCGAATCCCACCCTTGCATTTGCCTCAAGTCTCGACGTGACGAAGAAAATGCACATGGTTTGATGCCAGCATGATATGAGAGCAAGCATCCAAGACTGACAAGCTGTCTATCGCATTCAGTCGTGTCAAGGTTAACAGTCTCGTCACCCGCATGGTATATGTATAGGACAGGACCAATTCGATATACATTGGCCCGTCAAAGATAGGCCAGAGTCTGTTGTCTATTTCAGGTTCTTATTCTCATCCAATATTCTATATGATATCCAAGTCATACTGTCCTTTCACCCCCCCAAATTCCCAGAAACGCCGTGTTATGCGATCCCACGTCTGACCATGCTAATGTACAAGACTTTCTCACACCCGCTCATACTCTGAATCCGACGCCGTGTTCTTCTTGTCGTCCTTGGTCGCCTCCGCCTTGACCTCGTCCCCCTTGCCAGCATCGCCCTCTCCTGCCGATGGAGAGTCCTTGGCTGTGTCATTGGCGCTCTTGGCTCCAGCATTCTCCTTGTCGTCTGAGCCTTCAGTCTTTGCCTTGGCGTCCTCGCCCTCCTTCTTCTTCTTCTCCTCTTCCTCGGCCTTCCTCTTTTTCTCTTCCTCCTCTTGCTCCTTGCGTCGCTTCTCAGCCTCCTGCACCTCTTTCTCCTTCTTGTCCTTGCGAGTCTGAATCACCCAAGCTTCCGCAGCGGCAATGACGTCTTCAGGTGAGCGCTTGTGCCTGAGCAGCAGCCCCTGGATCTCGGCGGGGCTGAACTCGAACTCGGGGATCTTGGCCGAGAACTCCAGGGACAGGGCCTCGATGCGCTGAGAAATCTCAGCGTGCTGCTTGGCCCACCGTTCCTTTGCGGCTTCATCAGGCTCGACACGCTTCGACGCAGCGGCACCCTTCTTGGACTTGGGCTTGAGGGCGACCTCGTCTGACGTGATCTCACTCTCAAAGGGAGCATAGATGGCTCGGAAGATGGCCTGCGTCATGGTCCTGTCGGCAAGGCTGAAGGGAACCATCATGTCCACGCGACCGGGTCGGATCAGCGCCTTGTCCAGCTTCTCAATGTGGTTGGTTGTCATGATAAGAAGGCGGCCTTCCTGTGAGGCAACTCCGTCGAGAATGTTGAGAAGACCAGAAAGCGAGAGGCGACCGCCAGCTCCTGGAGTCTGACCGGGCGGCGCATTTGGTGAGGAGGGAATGGGGGGTGGGCTGGGGGTGGCAGCAGCATCCGGCTCTTCTCGGGTGTGCGTCAGACCGGCAGTGTCAATGTCTTCGAGGAGGACAAGGCAGCGAGTAGGCAGGTTGCTGAAGAGAGAAGTGAGACCCTCCTCGGTGGCATTGATGGAGCTCAGGCTGACGATGTAAATCTTCATCCGGAAGTATCCCGCCAGAGCCAGGCTGAGCGAGCTCTTTCCCGTGCCAGGGGGTCCGTAGAGGAGGTAGCCGCGTCGGTACGGGATGCCACGGTTCGCATACCACCGGCGAGTGGCAGGGTTGAGGTAGTCGGCAGCATCGTCGATCAAGTCCTGCTTCATCTTCTCGCTCAGGATCACGGTGGAAAAGGGCCGGTTGGGACGGGACATGCTGCGCTGCCAGTAGGGCTCTCCGCCGTAGCTGCCGCTGGCACTGCGATAGATGAGGGTCTTGCGCTCATCTTTCTTGAGGTACAGCTGACGAGCCTCCACGATGAGGTCCTTGAGAAGACTGGGGTTACGTCCAAAGCATGAGACGGAGAGCTCCTCCCGCTCGCTGGCGGATTGGAAGTTGAGCTGCTGGTTGTTCTGGATGCGCTCAAACAGCATAGGCCAGCCCTTGTACCAGAACAAATGAGACCCGAAGGAAGGGGTGTAGTGAAGAGTCTGTTTCGGCCCCAGCATGTCGACGGCGGCATCCTCCTCGCCATCCTCATCATCGCTGTCGTCCTGTCCGGCTCCCCAGATGTAGCTGTTGCGAGAATACAGGTCGGTGTTGACCAGGAAGCGGCGTGAGTTTTGCGAAAACGCCTGGCGGGAAATCCAGAGCATCAGCATATTGTAAGTCTCATCATCGGTGCGAACCCTGAAGGACGACATGAGATAGGCGTCGATCCAGGACCATGCCGAGTTGCTAATGTAACCCCAGGCAAAGTTGAGGCCGAAGAGGGCGACGAGGAGCGGGATGTAGAAGTTGAGGTCGATGCCCAGGTAGGTTTGCAGGGCAGTGGTGAGCATGGAGAAGCCCGGGAAAAAGTAGTTGAGGAGGGCGAACTGAGGGTTGGGGACCACCCCATCCGCAAACTGAGACGACATGTTGATGAGGGGATCCATGCTGGGCTGAGTACGGCAAATGATTCTGCGTGAAGCTTGCTTCTTCTGAATAGTTGCCCAACGACTGAACCCAACCAGGCCGGTAAGCCTTCTGCCCAAGCTCAATCGCCCTCTGCCCGGGTGTACAGTAGCAGAAGAGGGCAGATAGGTCAGCGAGGGCAAGTTGAAAAAAATGCGACAATCTGTCTTACCAGTCCACCAGGAGGAGATGATGGAAAGGAAGAGATGGGCTGTTGGATGTGAATTGTGTGTCGTCGAAATGGCAAAGATGCAGACACCCTTTTATACATGTAAGAGACCAATCAACCCTTCTGACCAACAAACAAAGGGAAAAAAAAATCAATTAAAAAAGAGGTGCAATTTTCAACATGTGGTGCTGCGGCCTAGAGGCTAGCGGAACCCCTGGTTGGCCAGCCCGAGGCTGTGGAGAGGCGGATTGGCAGATCGCGGCTTGGTGACTCTCGCCGAGGTGGGACTGGCCGCTGGCTGCCTGTTTGCCTGTGTGCCGGAGCCGCCAATTGAAGCCGTCAGATCAGAGGCCGTGATGCTGCAGATTCTTGGAGGTTTCCCTAATGCAGGCCTTTGGGGAGGGGGGAAAGGACAAGGCAGGGCGGTGGTCAGCCGATGGAACTGCAGTTGGCGTTTGAACGAACTGCGGACGAACAGACGGCAGTGGGTGAAGCAACCCGTCCGCGAAGCCCAAGAAACTCACAGTCTCTTCTCCTTCTCCTTGTCGGTGTGTCTAGCTAGGCCTCTTCTCACCAGCGATATGCAGTGCTTCGCCGGTGCACTCCCGATGACCTCAACCGCACCCGCAATCGTGAGCGATCTGTGAATCGGATGCCGCATCGACAGGGGAAGACGCCCGAATCGTCCGACTGAGTCACCCGGAGCCCGACATGCTTGTAAAGGAACAGGAACCATGGGTGTTGATGCTCCAATCAACCGCCAGCTAAGCCTCGATTCGCCGTGTGCCTCGCAAGGCTGCCTGAGTCCTCCATCATCGATCGTCGAGCATCACATGAAAGAGTAATCCCGAACTGACAGGGTCCAGATAATAAGCGCGAAGCCATGTCTAGCCAAGCGTAAGCCAATGCGCCAAACAGCACAGATCAGATGCAGCGGCTTCGGGGACTTGGGGACAAGTCAAAGAGGTGGAAGAAACCAAAAAGGTGGAGGAGAGGCAGCCGCCTGTAGGTGTCGATGCACAGCCACTTGCTCGTATTACCGGTGAGCTAACTGTGGCTAGGGAGTATCGTCACTTACAGCGGCCAACCCGGGAGGGCATCGATTTTCTGACACCTTGACAGTGACGCAACCCGTGATGAGTGAACAGAAGGTCAATGATCCTTCATGATGGCCAAAGCAGCTTGTTTATTATCGTTTGGCACGTACAGTTGCATCTTGGCGAGCTACCAGAGCCCAAGGCAAGCAAGTCTTGCAAGTTAACAAATTCACGCTTCACATTATTCGTATACGACAGGCATCTGCCTCCTTCGAGTCCTCATCAGGAACCACCATCTCCACCTCTCTTCTCAATGTGCCGGAGGACATCTCCCCTCTTGCTGATCCTGACTGCATCCGTAATTCTCATTTGAAACAATTACATCATTGCAGAAAATCAACTAACAAAGACTAAACAAACAGGGGCAGAAAGGCATCAATCAACAAGTCTGCTTCCTCCCAAACGACGGCATAGAACTCCCCCCAGGCAAAGCCACCACCGGCGGAATGCCAAACGGAAAGCCAACAGGCTTCGGCTGCCCATACACCGGAGCACCCCCAGTCTGAGGAGGCACGATACCCGCTGTCGACCCCCCCATCCACGGCGGTCCTCGAGACGACGAAATCTCAGGGGGAACGTGGTTGACCTCGGGCACCGCCGCTGCCTGGGACGAAGCCGCAGACCGACTCCTCTGCTGCGTCCTCTCCCTCGAGGTCCTGCTCCGGCCGCGCTTCTTCTGCCGCCTGTCCTCGGGCACGACGACCCAGAACAGCTGCGTGTCGCGGCCGAAAAAGTCCCAGCGGGGGACATCACCACCGCCACTACCACTACCACTGTCCTGTCCGTCCTTATTCTTCTTCTCTAGCCTCGTCATCTTCTTGACTGTCGTCGGCAGCGAAGCTCCCGCGGCATAGGCGACGAACCTCAGAGACAGCCCCTTGTCCCGGGGGAGGGGCAAGTACTCGGACCTCCAACTGCTGCTCTTGGAGCTTCGATGGGACCCTCCCGCGGTAGAGGGCAGTTGTCCGCTGGTCGACGAGGATGAGGCGGACGTGGATGAAGGGGAGCGTAACGAGGAAGGCATGTTGGCGAAGGAGGGGGGGCCGCAGGGCCAGTTCAAACGAAATTCGTTGGCGGTAGGTTTTGAAAGCTCCTTGTTTCCGTGATGAGCGTGAGCTTTCTATTGTCGCCATGGCATAACAAGCAATATGACCAGTTGATGGACTTACGAAGCAGGACATGAAACCTGACTCTATACAGCTTGTCACCCCCCACACAAGAATCTCTGGGCGAAAGGAAGAAAGAGCTGGAACCTATGGGCCCTTTATCAGCCCCATGTAGCTGTCGCACGGCTGTCTGTCCACCTGCATGTCCGTCTCCCATGCTGCTCGTTTGCCGCCAGCTGTGAATGCGTGATGCCGTGATTCTTCAAGCGAATAGCCGCAGAGAACACTCCGTACGAGCCCGGCAACCTGCTCTGACGCGCCTTCATCCTGCGTCATTGCAGCGTACAAACACACACACACAAGTAAGCTTAAAAAGGCCGACCGGCCAGTTCCATGGTAGCCAGATGGGGCTCATAAGACGTTGTGTGATGTGGTGTGCAAAGTGAAGACATAATCACAGCTAGATACCATGTAGTCTAGATCCTCCTCGCGATCATCAACGACAGCATGCACGTCTCCCATCTCGCTCGTGGGACCTACTCACAACAGCCAATAAATCGTCAACGCACTGCATATCTCGTTGGCTTGCACATCTGCAGGATTTGCTGCATACGGATACCGGTACCGATGGAGGGGGGGAAGAAATACCTGGGCTGCAGATGTGTGACGGAAGGCCAGCTTGGAATGGGACACTGCATGTGAATGCCGATGATGGCTGCAGATGGGCGGCACAGGCAGCCGAGACAAACAGCTGGCCTGCTTCTCTGGTTCGTTCGTTCGGTCTTGTTCCCTCTGGTGATGTGAGATATACAAGGAGGGGGGCCACGATGTGAAGAGGTCGGGATGCAGATACCCGGGTGAGACTGAGCTTGGATACAAGGGGGTATATCAGGATGTTGTGCGAAGTAGCAAATGTCGTCATCCATTCATTTGATCCGTCGTTGTAGTAGTGATAGTAGTAGTAGTAGTAGTAGTAGTAGTAGTATATACAATCAGAAGAAAAAGTCGGTAAATCCAGCGACCCGGTGGCTTTTTAGTATACAAGTAGTTCAGACATCCTCTTGGTGTCATCCTCTGTTGGTGCCATCCCTCATAGAAGGTCTGATGTGTGTTGCTCTGGGGTATCGTATCATCATCCCTTGTTTTTGTGGGAGTTTTCTCTGTTTGCTCCCATCTCTTTACTCCTTCAGTCGATTTCTTCATCTTTTTGCGCTCTCAGCCATAACGAGACAGTTTATAGATCGTCGATGAAGACGCCCTTGGAAATGGTAATGGTGCCAATGTCGGCAAAGCCAATATCGGACGAGTTGAAGCAGTTGGTGCCGTTGACCTCGGGAATCCGCTTGTCACCCGGCTCGACAAAGGTAATGTCGACGCACTGATCAGACTGTTAGCTTTCCATACTAATTCGTCCCATTCCATCCATCGATTAAATCAGTTTGAGAAAGCAAAAAAAACGTACCGAGAACAGGGCAGCCCCGTGCTGCGCATTCATGAGCACCTGAATCGTCGCATTGACGCCCGCCTTGATGCCGATATCCGCCGGGTTCGGAATCTGCACCTTGTCCAGGCAGACGGTGCCGGGAAAGGGATTGTTGCTGGGCCCGACGATGGAAAAGGGCGGCACGATCTGGTGCTTCATCTCGAGCGGTCCGCCGTCGGGGCCGTCGGTGCCGAGGCCCAGGTTGACCTGCAGCGTGGCCGTCGCGTGGCCGACGAACCAGCCGGGCTGGAACGAGATGGGGCCGCCGGTCGTGGGCCAATATGTGCGGTTTGTGGTGAGGGGGATGCCGCCGCCTGGCGTTGTTGGGAAGAAGGGACCATGTTAGCAGCTGTTTTCGTATGTTTTATTCTATCTTTGCATCGTGGAGGTGAGGCCATCTTGTTTTGTTTGGAACGGCGGGTCTGCTTACAGGGATACATCCACTGCATGCCGTAGGGGAACGTCTCGTTTGTGATGAGGTTGTCGCCTCGCCAGCCGGGGTAGACGATGACGGTATGCGCCCACGAGAGCAGCGGGAGGGCGAGCAGGCAGGAGATTGCCGCAAGGAAGCCTCTTGCAGCAGACATGATTTTCTTTATGATAGTTCGAACCCGGTTGAAGTCGATGTCTGATAGAGTCAGGACTGTGTATAAGGTCCCGTATGGACGCTATGTAGGTACCGTCGAATGCAGAAGATGCTGTTGGTCGCGTCGGTTCGGAAGATTTTAGTGTTGCAATCGATGTAACGGCGTTTCGTCAGAGGTCGGCGGCAGGCTTCTTTTTACAGGCGGGCGCCCTCAGGTGATATCATGACGCGGAAGATAAAGGAGAAAAAGCAAGCGAGCAAGACGAGGGATGTGGATGGATTGGTGTGGTTTGTAGAAGAGGAGAGAGGAAGAGGGTGAGGACGGGAGACGGGAAGAGAGATGGATGACATGGAGAGATTAAGATCTCACATGGATGATGGACAAGCGCCTACTGAGGCACGTTAGGATTAATGTATGTAAACTCGGCTCGCCCATTAGTAAGGGTCTGCACTAAGGTAATAACAGATTGAACCTCCACGTACGTACGTAACCCAGCAAAGATCCTTCAACTCCATGCAACTACATCTTTACTTACAGCCGCCTGAGCCAAGAAAACCGCCCATTCGCCCGTTCGCCCAATCTATCTACAGGTTGACCAGGTCTAATACTAGTACATAGTACCAGCAGCTCCTCCAGAGCATGCTTTAGACGGCCCAATCGCAGGACGGGCTCCAGCGCTGTGGATTCCTCTTCAGCAGGGCGACCAGGATCCGGCCTCGACGCAGGCGCTTAAGTGGCCTTGGGAGCGATGCGACGCGAGCCTACTATTAATAGGAACCCAGATGCATTAGCTCCGGACGCGGCAGAAAGGGATCCCTGCATTTTTTGCCTCTTAAAGCGGAATCATGGGTATGGTCTTGGGTCTTGTTCACTTGTACTTGTATGCAGCACTGATTGCAATTGTAAGAAGGACTCTTGTCTTGGCTCTTCCGTCTGCTAGTTCCAAGACCATCAGAAACAACTCTCGTCAAGATATATTACAACTCTTCCAGGACTGATGGGTCCTTTTCTCTTCTAGTCATGACGGATAATACACCTTCTTAGGCTTACAGTCTCGCTCTATCATACTACTACCTAGTAATAGCCAAAATATGCCTGCTCATGACCACGGCATCATAAACAAGCGTCCAGACGGGCATCAAAAAAGGACAAAGCGCTAACTCGGCCAACTGCCCCCCCGCCAAGGTACTGCCGACTTTTAGTCCCGGCGCCAAGCAGCCGGCTGGCCAGGTACAAGTTACGCCGAGATGGCTTCAGTCCCTGGTAGCAAAAAGTGTCCAAACTTCCATTGCAGCCAGTGTCGAAAAGGGAATCACTGCAGGTGCTTTTCCCAGCTCTGTGCTCACATTGAGTACCTACTTACAAGGAATATCGTAGAGATATGACCTGGGCACTCGTATGCTCTCATTTACGGGTACAAGAGAATCAAGCTGTACACTGATTGTGTGATACTATAACCTCCCTAGTCAGATATTGCAGAGCTCATCACATGAGACCATGATCAACATACCTACATGTACACAGCATCAACTCCGGAGAAAGATGCAGCATCAAGCCGAAGCGCCTGGGCCCATAGTAGATACCCATGTCAACACTCTCCAACCTCCAAGGTAACAGCAACAGCCTGCATCTTCTCCTCTCCATGTCCATCAGATGTCGACTTGCCAAGAGTCATGGATGGCACATGGCCCCTCTGGTGCTCCCCACCAATTCATTCACATGCAGCTTCACCACCACCATCCATAAGGTATACATAGTACTCGCTATCCTTGTATAGGTTGCTGCATGCCACTCTCTCTCTCTTCCCCTCATATCCATCTCTCCCGAGCACCGGAGATGAAGCCGTCTCTAAATATAGCACTGGACGAACCCTCCAAGTACTCGTAATGGTCGCTGGCGCCTCTCGGCTGCAACTACGACAGACGTAGCCGAGTCCTAAACTACGCAGTGGATTGCCTAGAACAACACCTGATATGGCTCTTATCATGCAGATTGTTGAACTGATTTTATTCTTCCACTTTATGTGTGTGTGTGTGTGTGTGTCGGTTCATCTCCGAGGGCGCCTGTGTTGGTGATGGGAATCACGCAGACTCCTCTCGACAACCACACCAAAACATCAGCATCAACACTCTTCTCCGGCATAGAAATTCGTCGGCTAATCATCATGATACTACTAGTAAACGCAACTCGCATCCTCATCATCACCACTCCTATCCATCACACACCCATCACCCCCTCCAGGTCCACTTCAGTCGTCCTGCTTCTGCTCCATCCCCCTGACTCCCGCCTGCAGAGCCTTGAACCGGCTCCAGTCGTAGCTGTCCTGCGCCAGAGACCACGCAAAGACGCCGCCCAGCTTCTTGGGCACCACAATCTCCGAGAACTTGCGGGCAACCAAGTCGGCCGTGTCCCAGGTCCAGTACACCTCCTCGGCGGCATCCCACCACCACTGCCCTCCCTCTTCCTCGTCCGCGATGCCATTGGCCACGGCGTGCTCGAGCTTGCCGGCGTAGGTTGACGCCTCAAAAGTGATGGCCCCAGACACGAGCGGGTCGCTGCCGTCGGGGTTCTCGAGCAGGGCGGTTGGGCAGCCGGTGGGAGTCGTGCACTGGTAGCCAGCCTCGGTGCTGAACCACTTGGCGTAAAAGGCAAAGCCGAGGTTGATCTTGTCGGGCGACAGGCCGCGCTCAAGGTACGTGTTGACGGAGTTGAGAGAGCCGTTGACGCTCGTGTGATGCGTGGTTTCGTTCATGCGGCGGTTCATGAGGTCGTAGGTCATGATCTGTGGCAGTCCAGTGCATGTGGTCAGTAATTCCAGATTCGTTTGATACACGCCTGATGGAAAGGACAAGGATAGCCACGAGCCAATGCTCAACTCACATTGACATAGTTGACGATGCCATTAATCTTGGCCACGTTCTCGGCCGTAAAGGCCATCATGTCCTCAACCCTGGCAGGCACAGCAATCGACAGCTCAATGTTCTCGGGAAGAGCCTTCCTGACCGCCTCGAGAAACAGCGGGTAGGCTTCAATCTCCCAGGCCTTTTCCGAGTTGGGGACCACCTTGTAGTCCTCGCCATTGCCGCCGGGATACTCCCAGTCAATATCTTTTTCCCAAGAAAGTCAGCAACAACTCAAGTTCAAGGCACATGTTACGCTGCACGACCAACAGACTTACCAACACAATCGTAGCCCAGGTTCTTGATGGTATCAGCCACGTTCTTGGCATATAGCTGCCGCGTCTCGTCGGTCTTTGCAGCAGCATCGAACCCGGCCGACTGCCCCCAGCCGCCGACGGCCAGACAGAGCTTGGTGCCGGTGTCGAAGAGGCTGCGGACCTGGTCCGGCGCCATGAAGGGGCTGTACCAAGTGCCCGAGTTGAAGATGACGGAGTCGGCAAACGCCGTCGTGACGTGCGTGACGCCCGCCGTCACCGAGTGGTCAGGCAAGCTGTCCTTGTGCCATCTGGAAAGGGTGATGCTTAGCTCGAGTAACAGCGTCCATTCGAGGGGGAGGGGGGAGATAAAAGGCGACTCACTGGTCGAAATACATGACGAAGCGAGGCTTTGCCAGAGCGCCCGTGGCCGCAATGGCCGCCGCCGCAAGATATGTGATCTGCATCTCGAGGCTGAGCTTGAGCTTGAAGTTGGAAAATAAGATGTTGTTGTTGTTGCTGTTGCTGTTGTTGGAAAAGTTGAAGATGAAATGCTGGTGATGTTGACGAAGCTGCACTTTTCGTAATGACACTCAAGATATACGTGGGTAAGTAGGAGTACTCTTTCAGTCTTCTTCGTTGCACCTACCAAAAAGGTGAATGCAATAACCCTGCTCAAATCACGGAAGTTGCTCGAATCTTGTGCATCGCCTCCCCCCCCCTTTTTATGCTCGAGTGCCTCGCGGCAAACTTCCCTCGACAGCCGGCCTCATGGGGATTCTTTCTCCATCATCATCCGCCTTCGATCCATTTCAGAGCCTATCAAACCCCAATCATCATTGTTTGTGCCCTTCGGTCACGGATCTTTTTTTTTCTTTGTGCCACGGACGGCCAAACAGGACGGATGTAAGCGAGAGCTTCCATGCAAGAGTCAGACGCTCGAATGTTTGCACCCGTCGCTACAGGTCGTCGCCTCTTTACTGCGAGACAGATCTCACAATACTGGACACGTGTTTCCTGCCATTTGCCAATATCTTCCAGTGACCGAGGCTCGTGGACAAGCTTCAATACCGTGTCGTGGAGAGTGATGAAGTTGGCCTTGGTCGTCCCAGCGCCAATTGAGAATGCCCCGTGACAGATAACCTTGTTTTCTTCAGAAATTTTTTCAAAGAAATGCCAGCATAAAGAGTCGCTCACCATCAGCAATGGCGAGTTTCCTGAAACTACCCATAAGGTATCCTTGGTTCAGGGGTTTTTCAGAAACTACCTACTTCTCTCAATACCCCTTTCCCGCCTACAAATGATTCTCAGGCAGGTACAGGTTAGCTTGAATCAATCTCTCCTTTACAGATTTTTAACACAAGTCACATCCATCAAGCTCGATCAAAGAAAACGCCCTGAAAAAGTCTGTATTTCGACATAGAAAAATGGTTACTGAAGCAGGCACCTAATAATGTTCATCGATCCTCCTAGCGATCCTCCGCCGTGACGCAGACGCGGGAGCTGTGGACAATCATGTCCATGCCTCGAGCTTGAGCCAAAGCGTGCCACTTGGTGTCCATGTCGTCTTCCATATATATATATATATATATATAAAAGTGCTACCTGAAGGGCCTTTAACAGACGTTCCAGATTGCGGAAAGAAGAGTGACATACCTCTAGACAAATGCCCGCTTATGGTTGTAGGGCGATCTGTAAGTCATTAGATAGTACAAGTACACGCCTCACACAACCTAGACGCCTCAGACAAACATAATATACGACAACAGACAAAACCACTTGGCAACAAGGAAGAACTAGCAAAAAAGCAAAAAGAGAAAAACATACAACAGCCGGTGTTCGCCAGTGGTCACCCACCTGACTACTAATCTGCCGGTTAGTGGCTTGTCTATGGGGGAGCAGACGGGACCCCGAATTCTCCACTACCTATGGTCGTATGTGATGGTTTGGCGATGCTATTCCGCTCATCAACTCGGTAATGCGAACAGGTGTAAACACAGTCGAGGGGCGTAGATTTACAGTATAATGACACAACTTGCCTTCATCTATCACCACGATCAGCTGGCCAAACAGCCGTATTAGCCAACAGGGAGAAATGAAAGCCTCAACAAGTGTCATGGCGATGAGCAGATTGCGGGAATCGTCTGTCAGCTTCTGCGTGTCCTTGAACATATCCTCCAAACCTCAACCTTTTGCGTACCGAATATAGTCACATGTAAGCAAGCACTGAGCGTCGTCAGATCTGCTGCGTCTGATCTCGGTCCTAACAACAAAGTAGGTGTGCAACTTCATTACATCAAACTGTGATCTCAAAGTCAATGTAGTCAACAGAAAGGTACAGGCGTACATGAAATCAACTGCAACAATAAGAAACAAGGGAAAAGGGAAAAGAAGGGGGATCAAGAGCAAAGATACCGGCATCGAACCCTCCTCACAGGCCCAATCCATTCATGCCTCTCGCCAGATTCTCAATTTCTGTCGCATGTCTCGTCCCCGCTACCGCCCGATGGTTCTGCCCCCCTATCCTGGCTCCGCACTCGGGACATCTCGCTTCCTGCATGGGCATTCCGCATTCGCCAATGGTAAACGGATGGTTGTTCTCGCAGGTGTACCAGTGCCCGGTGCCCGAGAACTCACTCGTCATTGCGCTGTACACTGCTCGCATTTCCTCCGCCGTGACTCGGCGGTATATGCCGCCGTTGATCAGCATCTCAACGTTGTCAATCTCTCCCTGAAACGAGGCCGTTGAAGGATACTGGGACAATATAGTCCGAGCTTGCTGGATATGGCTCAGCGCCTCTTCTCTCAGACTGTCCGGTGTTTGCTCCTTCTTGGCGCCCTTATTGGCAGACCACATACTGGCGGATTCGTCAAACGACAAGCACAATCCGCAGAGCTGCGCGGCGAAAATGTGGCCCTGTACTTCTTCCCTCACGTACTTGCGCAGGCGAGACTGTTCAATGAGTCTAACACAGTCAGACCAGTGGGCTGACAAGTCCAGCTTGACTTCCGTCTCCGCCTGCGCCAGGCCTCCCCGCGTCATCCAGCGATGAAAGTCGAAGAGGATCGCAATCTCGCATTTGAGCAGCAGAGCGTCTGCAAGAAGCGACCCCTTGACCTGAACGACGGACTCGTCGTACCGAAATTCCTCTCGGCTTGCCTTGTTTTCGCGGTTGGCAAACTGCACGAGGTCTGCCACCCGCTGGAATGGCTGCTCTTCCAGCCGAACATTATTGGCGTGCCTCCCAATCTGCCTCCAAAGCTCGATGATGGAGTCATACCTCTCCTTTCCCACCATTCTCTGCAGCTCTCGAAGCTGCTTCAGCCTCTGGGCTGAGCCGATGAACTGACCCTTTTTAAGGCTCGAGGGGCCTGTATTGTCCTGGCCCGCGTGTCCAGCGGTTCCCTGCGCAAGCTTCTCCTCTTCCTTGATCAGCCGATTTGCTAGGGAGAGGTACTGCTCATGCGACCAGGCCAGGAACTTCTTGGTTGATTCGTCTAGTATGGCTCGCCGCACGATTCGGCCATACCTGGCAATGTTTCGAAGAGAGCCCCGGCAGGTTGCGCAGACTGGGATGCCAGACTTGTCCAGCGAGAAAGGCTCGGAAGTTTTGCTAAGCCGCGTTGGATGGCCTTCCTCATCCATGTCATAGTATGCACTCATGCCCATCTGGCCATCCATTGACGACGTGGTCAGGAAATGTCCACAATCTGGGAAAATGCAAGGCTCCTCGTCTAGATTTATCTCATGATACTCTTTCATCTCGAGGAAGTCAACACATATGGATCTCACAGATTCACTTGCGCACTGCTGGCAGAAAGCCTTATCAGGACATGCTTCTCCGCAGAGCGAAGGACCTACACAACTTGTTAGTTTTTGATGGCACAGAACGGAACAAAGTAGGTACCTGTTCAGAAGGGGAGACTCACACTGATGACCACAGTCCAGCACTTTGTCGCACCGCCTGGAACACGGTATCCAATCGCATGGCGCAGCGCATGGCATCGTGCACCTTGTATGGGGGCAGCTCGAATGGCAAGTATTCTCTGCACAGGGGGCACAGGGCTCGTGGCACGCCTTTGGGCATCTCGAATGTCCACAGCGCACTTCACAGGGCGCTTTACAAGGGGGGCATTTGACATCGCCGTGGCAGACTTCGGAACAGCTGTGCTGACATGTCGAATAGCCCCGGCCGCATCTCTGTTTGCAGATGCCGTGATTCTGCTGCGTGACCTTGCCTCTCTCTCGCTGATTGCATTTGAAACAAGGACTCCTGCACGTGTGGCCACACTTTCGGTTGTGGCCACACACGGCAGTGCACTGGTACGCCTCGGTGGTCACGTCTTCGTGGCATTGCACCTCGACCTCATGACTGCAGCCTGGCACCGTGCGTCTGACGGGGACCTTGCAGCGAACAGCAGCGGGATCTTGATTCTCCCAGCACTTGGGCGAAGGCAGCCGGTGGCCGCACGGGAGCGCGAGGCTGGTCTGCTTCAGCTCAACAGTGCACCGGATTGGACACGGCTGACCGCATCGCCGAGGACAGGCGTGATCGCAGCCCTTCCGGGGCCTGGGGCAGGGCTCAAGGCACTCAACGACGTTATGCAACACGTCGGAGTGGCATCGACCGGTGCAAGAATGGCCGCAATGAAGTCTCTTGTCACATGGCAGGTTGCATCCGCTCTCGGGAGAGAACTGCAGGAAATGGTCAGGCTTTGAGACCCGGATGGGCGTGTTTGGATGCCGGCTGCATTGAAGCTCCAGGTGTGTGCCGAGGCGGCCGCTTGCCGTCAGCATATCAATGACTTGCTCCCACATGGGAACATTGTAGTATGTGCTTGAGTTTCCGATGATGTACATGCCGTGCTTCGCCCGCGATAATAGAACATTGATCCGGTTAGACGTGCTGAGAAAGCCACATTTCTTTTGCAAGTTACTCCGGACAAGGGAGATGATGATGACCTTGGCTTCCTCGCCCTGGAAGTTGTCAACGGTTGCGGCCCTGACACTCTTGAGAAGCGTTGTCTTGCCGGACTGTTTCCACTTCGCCGTCATCGGGGCCTCTCCGTCTCTGTCTTCAAAATCTTCCAGCTCAGCAAGATCGCGATCGTTGAGGCAGATCTCGAACATGGATTGCATTCGACGCCGCAGCTTGTGTAGTTGTCCTAGGTATGGTGTAATGACGGCAATGTCGTCTTGGGAGTATTCTCCCTGCTTGACGAGATGGGATATGAGAGACACGGTCATCTCGACTTCGAAATCATTCGAGTGGGAGGTGTTCAAGGGGTCGTGACTTGCCGCACCGGCTTCCAGATGCTCATGGTGAAGCCAAAAGAGTCGGTCCTTCATTCCGGCTACCTTTGGATAATTCATCACGTTCTCGCCATCTTGCAAGGATGGATACAGCGTTGACCGAATGAGCTCAGAGATCGATGGGTGCATTCTTCTCTGGGTTTCCAACGTGCTGAATGGAAGCCGCAAGTCTGTCAGGTGTGGCGGCTCGACGAGCCTTTCGAACAAGGACGTGTCGAGGGAATATTGTCTGCCCCGGGGATTTGTGCTCTGAAGCTCGTAGTTCTGTATCTGCGGGCGCAGCTGAAGATGGTCACCGATCAAGATGGCATGTTCGATCGACGGCAGCAGTGCCGTCAGGATGTGCGCCTCCAATACCTCTCCAGCTTCCTCGCACAGCATGACCTTGCATCGTAGTTTTCGGAGAAGATCCAAGTTCTTGGCCAGGCCTGTTGTTGTCACTCCAATGATATCCGCCTGGTTCAGGCAGCGTAAATCCACATCGCTGCGCACACGACCACGCCGCTCCATCAGCTCGGCGTACTCACTCTGAAGGCTGGTAATGGTCCGGAGGATGGGAGCCACGATGCTCTCCAGCCAGTCTCGATGTAATGCTTGGCGCTCGGCGTGGTTCATGACGGATAGTCTCGTCTGCCTTAGGACTCCGAGATCTCGACAGTGAGTGTTGTCACGCGAGCCACCCGTAAGCCACCGCCGCAAGGCCACGTCAGGTCGGTTGCCAACCGTCTGCCACCCGTCTTCTTCCACGCCAAACAGCGCGTCATGATGCCTGGGAAAGTGGTGCGCGAGAAACGTCTTGATGGACTGTAGCGAGTCCGATGCCGAGAGCCTTTGAAGCGAGTCCTTCATGCTGTTTCGGAGTTCATTCAATTCCTGCTGTATGTCCCAGAGGCTGCCCTTTTCCGATCGCGTGCGGTCGCTATTTTGGGATACCATCCGTAGGTTGAGGGCTTGAAGCCTCTCTGACTTTGATCGGGAGCCAATGCGTATAATCTTTTTGATTCCATCATCAAGAAGGTGTTCAAGAAGCTGATCCAGCGCATGATTCGTGTAGCAGACGCACAATATCGGCCCAATACTGGCAATCCTCTTGTTTGCCAATAAGACTTTGATAATCTTTTCGCCGCTATAGCTCTTGCCGGTACCGGGCGGACCTTGAATGAGCGACAGCTCCCGCGACAGGGTATTCAAGAGGGCAGAAGACTGGGTACGGTCGAGGGTGGTCCGCGACTCAATCAGTCTTGGATTCAGGGGCCGCTGCGGCGAAACAAGCAACTCGGCCTGATCGTTCGTTATACACCTGATGTCAAAGGCAAAGCCAGCCTTTCTCGCGTACAAAGGGGGCTGCAGGTCGACTTCGGTAGTAGTCACGTTTGTAGGAGCCAAGAGATCAACAAATGGCATCTTAGGCCTCTGAGACATTTCCTTGAGAGCATCAAGGGTATGCTTGAAAGACGCCAGAAGAATGCCAGGGAATTCGACGAGATATCGATGGTGTGATGATTTTATGCCCGTGTACCAGTCAAGAGCTTGGGCAACGTCATCTGGGTTTGCATCGATGAGCTGCAAATTGACGTGCAAGTAGCTCTCATTATCTGAAAGAGTCAACGGCTCGCGTTTCTCTGGGGTCTCTAGATCCTCATCCGCTGGCTTCTTCTCAAAGCGGTCCTTTTTGTCGTCCTTGTTCCTCATTGTGGACTCGGACACGATACAAAACATGACGGACTCAGTTCCATCCAAGACGCATACGAGTGCGCCGGCTTGGAGCCGCTTTGATTTCTCCCACCAGTCCCTTCTCTGTCGAGCGCTGAGCGCCCGCACTGCAGGAGGCTGCGCACAACGGACGATTAGATCCAGACCAGTGTTCGTGTCGAACTGAAGGTCAATGAGAGCGGCAGAGCCGTATGTATACGTTCGCAAGTTGTTGGAGTTCGCATGGTGGCTGACACCGGCGGTGGCACCGCGAATTTGGGTAAAAGCATCGCGGACTGCATCTCGGAGCTGCCCAACCGTGTCTTCTCGTATGAGACGGAACTCCCTGTCAAGACGCCCACGAATGCCAGGGATATGCCACTGGGAGCAGTCATTGGTTGGTAGATACTCCTCTCGCGGCGACATGATTTCCTCGTACGTTGGCAGTATCTTGATGTGGGCGATGTTTGCGTGATCGTTGTTGTGCCTTGGCCCTCCCCGAGACAAGCGGCCAGGAAGATCTCGGGTCAGCATAAAGGTCTCTCGCGTCACAGAAGCTTGAGGTCGCGTCGCCAGATCCGGAAGCTCATCTCCAATCTGCAGACGCTGACGGATGTAATGAAGATGCTTCTTTGCTTGTAGGCGATGGACCATTTCGTCCGGCTCCTCTGACTTATCCAGGGGACTGGCTAAGCTGTCGGCAAATGTCGAGAAGGCCTCGTTGATGATGTTTGTAGTGTTACAGTCCAGCATCTTGGCCAACACTGCAAGAGACAGCTCGACAGCCTCTATGAGTGATCCCTGTGTCGAGGTGGGTGGCCATTGTTGGAAAAGCGAGACAACATAGTGGAACAGCTTGTTCATCCTAGCACCTCCCACTCCGACGAGGTAGTTGAATATGGCTGCGACTTCTTGCTCCAAGACGGCAGAGTCAACCACACGAGGATGGGTCACAAGCTGGAACAGTGGCTTGATCTCCGTTTCCCAGAGACGGTTGCCTGTGATGGATATATTGTCCATTGGGATGTGCCGGTCGATGACGTCCTTGATGAATGATAGACCGGCTTCTGTGACGAGGAGCCTGATCGTCTCCTGAGCGCCGCCAACGTCTCCATCCATAAGCTCCACGGCCAACTTGAGAAACTGGCTGACTATAGCCTGTGAAGGTCGGGCCGTATCTTGTCCGCTCTTGAGCATTCGCTTCCATGTTGATAGCTTGCCCTCTGATGAGCGATCGTGTCTGTTACCAGGCAGGCTTGAAGGGGCGCCGGGATGCCTCCCATAGGGCTGCCGGGCCGGCAGTGTGCTGCTGCTCACATTGTGCGAGAATTTGCACCGCGCTCCAAATTTGCAGCTATTGTCCCGTAGAAAGAAAAAGCATGGCTTGAGAGAGCCTTCCGACGGTGTGGAGGGAGGAGTCGGGTAGGTGAAGCTGGACCACCGAGGACATATAAGCATAAGAAGCAAGGCAGGGACGAACTGAAGAGCACTTACTGGTTTCTCGACATCCTCGCGGCGTAAGAGCAGTCAAAATTTTGGGTTGTTGCCGATATTCCTGGGTTGAAGAAGGCTTCGTCGTTGTTTGCGAGTGCAGAGAGTGAGGAGCAGGAGGCGTGGGCAGCACCGGGCTGTAGAAGAGAGAGGATGGAGGAGCAGCCTGAGAAGTGAGGGGAAGGTGAAGTGAACCAATGATGATGATGAAGACGAGACGAGGAGGGCAGAGGATCGAAGCCCAATCGGCCAGTCAGTTATCAAGAGGCAGGCAGACGGGCAGAAGTGCGCCACATGCAGTTGGCAGCCTGTAGGTGCATGTTTTGATGTGGGAGGCCTACAAAGTGAATGCAGCTGCTTGCATCACCGCCGGCCTCCCGCATCTGCGCAGAAAGCTGTCCATCTAGCAGCCAAATTGGAACATGGATGAATCACCCCAATGCGTTGTTACTTGAGCCAGCGGCCGTTGAGGATGGAGGTGGAAGATGACGGAATGCAGTCCGGAACTTCCACTCTGTTGTTACCTTACCTCATCCGCCAGATATGATTGATACCTGGGTAGGTACTCGAAACGCAGAGGCCTGGCTTGATGTCTTACTGCACATCAACCGTCTCGCCTTTAACGACCTCAGTAAAGCAGCTGGACATTAGGCAGCTTGTAGTAACGAGCATTCAGAAACGGAATCGTCCCGTTTGGCAAAAATGGTGAGGGTTTATTGACTTGAGATACATGCCTTTGCCGGAGAGGTCGATACAGGTCGCGAAGTATTGGCCTCATCTCTTGATATCGGGATGCCACAACACTCTGGAGTGCAGAGAAAAAGGGCATAAAAATGCATGCAAGCCCAAGATTATGCATTGCTGTCAAAGATTGAACATGACAGGCTGATGAGGTGCCGAGCCTCGTTGCCTTCTTCACCACACCGTCCGGTATCATGCGCTCTCTGCCTAGGTACTACTGGGCCATGGGGAGGGGTTTCCCAACGAATAGTGGATAGCTGATGATCTGAGGATCTATCTCCATGGAATCAGTGCCTTGATAGGAGTGGTTACATGTAGTTGGAGACTTATACGCCATCAGTTCCAGCCCTTTGATATCAGATGCATCAATCGCCAAGCAAATCAAGCATATTGTGTGTATTCTGTACGAACCTCGAAAGACGCCAAGGCCCTCGAACAGTTGGCTCCCGCAATACCGCTCTTTGTAGCTCCATCGCTATCTGTCAGGTAACGAAAGTTTCAGTCTGCCGTCCCGCCGTACAGGCACTGGGAGGATTCTGCCCTCGACAAGATCCGGGGAGCAGTCGTGAACAATCTCGTCAGCACCGGTCGCAACAAGCTATCTAGTTGACGCCATTTAGGTACCTATCAGATGGCTTGTGCTATGAAGCATTAGGAATAGAAATCCCCCAAAGAATGGCAGCACAGTCATTTCCAGGGTGTGTGCTCCACGATAAGCAAGGGAACATGGTGAGGTTTGGCCTCTGGCACAACACCAATGATGGGTGTCACCCACAGTCCACCGCATTTCGGTCGATTCTCTCGAGAGATACGGGCAGATCGGTATGGGTTCGAGGCTGGAGAGCAACGCCCTCCCTTGGCATCGTGTCCGGGACAGCGGCAACCGGCTCTCGGCAGCCGTCCCCAGTCATGCAGCTTAAGTATCGACCCCAATCTTCACATCTTGCTCGCTTGCCTCCAGCAGGTTTGTCTCCTCGCTAATGAATCCGACGATGCCTGCCGAAGAGGCTTCTGGCGTGGTCGCTAGTTGTACCGCTACCTCGTATAAGTCAAGAAGTACTTCAAGATACGCGCATCAAGAGACGAACAAAGTTCAACCTTCTCAGCCATCTTGCCTCACGTGATGTTTCGAGCTTGTCTGACATGTGATGAGACGCAAAAACGACCCCGAAAAAACACCACCGCATCACTTCATAAACGTCAAAAAGATCTTGAAGAAAACAAGGACCATGTCTCTCGTCTAAGCCTCAGGGGCCAATGCACGCAAGCCTCCCGCTGTTAGTGCTGGTGTTGTTCTGTGCCTGTGCTGAAGCTTGCCCCGTTGAGCTTGTACATGTACGAGTGCGGCTTAGATCCGCCGCTGACCACGCTAAAGCATGCTTGCCAATGACACGGCGCCGGTTCCTCTTTTTCTGGGCCCGCTAGTCCTGTCCAGGCTAAAATCGCCCCTCTCGCCCACGAGATGCGAAACTTACCGTGTCACCGAACTGCCGTTGCAGCAGGATTTTCGCTCTTTGGCGCCCGGAGTCAGAATGTTAGCGCTGCATGGGCGCTGCATTCCAGTGGGCGCTCAGGGCGCCAGGCCCCCATGCCCAGCCGCTCCGGCGTTGATGGCTCTGGCTCTGGCTCTGGCCTGATCTTTACCCGACCTGCGCTGGAACTCGATCCAGTTCTGTTTCGAATCTCGCGATCCAGCCCTCTCTGACCTGGCTTGATGCCAATTGAGCGCTCGCCTTGTCCCGATTGCCATCGTCGACGGGCCAACACTTTCTTATACAGCACTTATTAATTCTACGAATATCTTACGAGAGCGCGAGTTTGATCTGTCGACTCGAACCACCCAGCGTCAACTACACGCAAAACACACACCAGCACCGCCCGGTTCTTGCATTGCCTCTGGCCAAGCGAATTTCATTTACATCTTCGTCTCGTCGTGTCGTTGTCGCCGTCTTCTCCCCTACAGGCCGTTCCAACGTTATACGCGCTCAATCCGGCGAGGACGCCGACAGGTGCCGTCTGCGGCCTCTCGGGGCCGCTACGCTTGATCTTCTCCTGGCCTCGCCCTGACCAGACCGTCGTCGCCGTCGCTGCGATACCATCCATCCGACACAGACCTTTGCCGCTGTCGCGATGGATCCCTTCAAGGGCAACCCTTCCGAGTTCAGCAGGAAGCCAGTCCAGGGACGGCCTCCGAGGCAATCTGTCGACGAAACCGAAGATCAATATTCCTACGATCTGGCCGCGGCCACCGTTGCTGACGGCTTCCGACCATCGGATTCACCACTGACCGATGCTTCATCGTCCTCTTCGACCCCGAATAATCCCACCGTCGCCTCACCCGACTCCTCACAGGCTCGATTGCTGACGCTCGAACCATCCAACCAAGAGCCTTCGACCTCTGCTGCTTCCAAGCCCCCTCCTGCCCGCCCCTCGAGCGCAATCAAACCACCACGACCTCACGACTCTCTCACGCTACGCAACGATGGCTCAAACTCCCTGCAAACCGGCCCCTCATTGTCGTCGTCCGCGGGCATGCCTCAAATACCACCCCAAGGCCCTTATCAAGGTCCTACCAGCGCCTCACATCCATATCAGATGTATCTGCAAAGGACATTAAGCGACGCCACGGCCTCCGCAGACCAACCTGCAAGCCGCAATTCGTACGACGGTCCCCGCGGTCCAGCTCATCCATATGCGCTCTATCCGCAGAACATTGTTACCACGGGCGACGAAACCCCTCACCAGATACCCGTCGGCTTTACGACATCCGGTCATGGCTACCAGAGACAGATTGGACCGGACGGGGAAGAAGCAGGCGCCCTGGTTGGACCCCTAGGACACACTGAAGAGTTGCCCCCATACACGAGATATCCCGAGCATGGAATGGTATCGAAAACGCCGGCAGCAGTTGCAACAGCGGCAGTAGCGGAGGATGGTAGGGCGGGGACTGAGAGTCCAACAACTGGGACGATTGCCGGCGCTGGGGGGATTGGAGTCGCGACACGGAATCCCGAGTTTTCTTCCACCGAGGAAGACCTTCAGCCTTCACAGTCCAGGCCTTCTACCCACAGTCGGCATGACATCAACACTGCCGCGCAGAGCTCGGCAGAAAAGGGCGCGACGACCAAGTGGCAGCAAGTTGCAAAAAGGAAGCTCTGGGGCATCGTGCCCTACTGGGCCATTTGTATGCTCTTTATCGGCGTCCTTCTGATTGGCATCATATTGGGTGCCGTCATAGGGAGTGTTTTGTCGCGGCATAAATCACGCCCGTCTGGGTATGCAACCTCCCCCTCCCTCCTTTACTCACTATTCTATCCCAATGCGAATGGCCATCTCGCTGACATTTCCAACAGCCCACCGCCTGGGAATTACCCGAGCCCTACTCCAACGCCAGCGCCAGACGTGGTTCCTCTAGCCAGCGTCCCTATCGCTCTGCCTCGGCTTCCTGTTGGCAACTATGCGATGCCGCCACTGACCACCAACCAGTCGCCCAACGCGTGCCTTAGCGACCACACCCAGCTTGCTGCTTGGAGCTGCAACTTACCTTCCAGCTACTATCAAGTCAATGTCGACGTGTCTTCTACGCAGAAGGACACGTCGTGCTATAACCTCAGTCTCAAGGCCATCAACTCTGTGGATGCCGAGTTTCTCTGGGGAACGCAACCTCCAAATGTCTATAGCAAGGCCATGATACTTGTCAACGACACCCAAGAACCCCGCCGTGGCCCCGCGTGGTGGCTACAGGTCACATACGACAAGGTCGTCGTTGTCGAAGAGGATGACTTTCCGGCAAAGGTCAAGCGCTGGAGCGATTTGGACCGCGCAACAATCGCCGACAGCGACCTGATACGGACCAAGAGCAGCACCAGCCTCGGAGCCAAGGACGGCGACAAGCCCTGGATATGCACATGGCCAGACACCACGCTCGAGGTGTTCATCTACCCCATCCAGAACAGCACCAGCCCACAGCCCTCACCGACCACGACAACAAGCTCTGCGCCCAACCCATACCCCACCGACGGCTTCCACCCTTATCCGAAGTCAATGAAGTTCGTTGAGCGCCGGGTCGTCGAGGACGCTCCCAAGGCATACTGCCGCCAGGTCCAGGTCTACAACCAGGGACGTAGCATGAAGAATTTGACAGACAGCCTGGGCAATCCCATCGTGGTCGACATTGAGGAGGACCTTGATCCTGATTCGGACTCGCAAAAGGCGGCCTATCCAGTGAAGCGGGACCGACGCTCGGTTCGCAGGCGCTGGAGCGAGTATGGGGTCACCCAACAGGCTATTGAACTGACGCCCTGCGGCTGCGTGTGGTGGTCTTCCGCCGCAGCCCATCCTTAGTAGGCGTCGTTCGATTTCTTTGCTCTCCTGTCTGTCTTTTTCATCTCCCTGGTTCCTTGCTTGGTTACTGGTTCGGGGGTTATCTTCATCATGGTTCTGGCGTGCATTCTGGCTTAAGCGGCGTTGTCTTTGTGGCCACTTTTCTCTTTCGCACTCGAAAGAACAGCGAATTGTGCTCTTTCATATCTGGCGGTTGTTTTACAAGGTTCTCATGGCGTTTGATTGGCGTTGGGGTCTTCAACTTGAATGAGGCCGCTGGCTAATTGTTGGTTTTTGTCTGCACTTATTTTCTGGCGGAGCAGCGTGTCAGTCCACCGTGAAGGCTGCTTGTTTTATGCGTGTATATAGAATTTCTGTTTGGTAGGGGGTCTTTGCGATTGACATGAAAAAATTCGCGGTGCATGGAGCCGGTTTCCAGGCCCAGTTGGAATGTACGAGACTGGGGACGAAGCGAATGAGAGCGACTGTTTGAATATGACCTTGTAATTGGCGTCTTCATATCCATACATGTGAAAACCGATGACTTTGTGATCTGATATGAGGATGACTGAAAAGATGTATTATATGAAATAGCACCCTTATGCTACAAGCTCTGCTCTACATGCCTCATTGGTTGCCGTCCTCCACTTCTTCACCGTCCCGATGATAAGGCTGCCAAAACATACAGTAGATAACATCGCAACCATGCATGATATGATGGATACATTAGCAGGGAGGTCCCCCTTAACTCACCATTCGCTTCCCAATAAACGCCAAGCTCCTTAGCCATGCTCCCAACTACAAAAAGAACACACACTCCTATCTACCCCTCAAACCAGACGGCAGGATATGAAAAGGGGGTAAATCACAGGAAAGAGACAAGCGACATGTCAGAACGAAGTCTGGCTCAGACATGCAACACACGACCTGAACAAGCTTCTCGAAGACCCTCCAGCCAGCGACGCAGAAGTCGTGGCGCCAGATGCGGTCCCGAGTCAGGTCGCAACAGGTTGCACCGCCGGCGTCGTCTCCCCTGTGCCCCCCGTGGATCGTATCTCGTCGCCCACAATGTCCTTCCGGCCGTCGCGAAAGTCCCGCATCAGAGACAAGAAGATGGAGTTTTGCCACTTCTCGCCGCTCTCGTGCTTGACCGCGTCGAGCAGCTTCTCGGCGGCTTCGGCGACGGCAGACTTGCCGTTCTGCGCATCTGCCGGCTCCTTTTCCAGCTCCGGCTCCGGTTCGGGTTCATGAAGTTGCTCTCGCTCCAGCTGCGGTCCTTGTTCCTGCTGCTCCAGGGCGGGCGATAGGTCGAGCTCCGGCTCTTTGGAATCGAGCGACAGGGCGCCCATCTCGAGCGTTTCGACATGCGTCTGCCGCGAAGCCTCGATGGCGGCGGCTACGGCTTCGCTCTCCTCCAGCTCGCGGGCAATCTGGTCCATGGCGGCGTCCACCTCCTGCATGTTGCCCGCCGCGTGAGCCGACATCCACCGTGACATTTCCTGGTCAAAATCCGGCTCCGCCACCGCGCCTACCGGCTGGCTGAATACGGACTGACCAAAGGCAGAGGCAAAGTTTGGCTGCGCAAAGGCAGACTGGAAGCTCGTCTGGGTCGCTGGCGAATGGCTCATCTGGCGGGCTGGCGCCAGTGTTGGCGCTGGCGCCCGCTGCTGCTGGCTCGTGAAGCGGTTGAAGTCGGCGGCCCAGTTGCTCGCGGTAGATGCTGGCGCTGGAGTCTGCATATGCATGGGGCTGGAGAAGCTGGGATGGGCTGCTGCGTGTGGTGGCGCGACTTGTGCAAAGGGTAGCGAGGGCGTCAGTCTGGTCGCGGCATCGCTCTCGAAGCCAGGTAGGGCAGAAGCGCTGCCCATGAAGGCACCAAAGGCATCTTGCTGGGCCTGGGCGGAGTGCAGCTGTGAAGAGCGAAATGACTGGCAGTAGAGGTCAGTATTCTGATGAGAGTCCGTGATTTAGGATCATTAATGGCTGGCTGGAAGTGAACTGGGGAAGTGCTCACGCTCTGGCCAAGAGCTCCTCGGCTCACATGTCTGTCTTGGTGGTGGCTGAGATCGCGAGACTGGTGGTCGACGAGGCGCTTGAAGGGCGTAGAGCCGCTGCAGGAAGCGTCTTCCATGTTCGCTGCTGCTGTCTTTGTGATGAACTGATAGTTTGTATGCCTCTCCTTTCTCTAGGGGTGCAGGTAATGTGTTGAGAGTGTAGTTGTAGATGTATAAGAGGACGGGAGGCGTCACAATGGTTGTTGCAAGGTAAGGTATGGCGGTTATAGAGGGGCCGTGCTGGCAATAGCCTCGGCGAAACCGGGGGTGGCGGCTCCGGATACTTTGGAAGTACTGTACACCTAGGTCTAGAGCAATATTGTCCTTGAGCCTCTTTCGAGATCCAAGTTCAGCTCTCGATGATCACAGGTATGACTACAAGATAGTGAGATTGTTTGAAAAAAAAAAGGAAGTAAGTACATTCTGAAATGATTAGTGCATCTGAATATAGAAAAATAAAGTGCCATTCGGTCTTTGTAGGCCATTGGTTTGGCCGAGGTGCAATGCCGAGAGAGTGGATGCGAGTTTAGACGCGATCCGGATAGGTACCGTTGGGGTAATTGGTATATCAACGGGCATGTGACTGCGAATCGGACGTTGAAGTTGGATTATGTAATCATCTTGCTGACAATCGAGTTATGATAAGCGGAGATGCTCGTATTGCCATGATATTAAATCGAGCTTCTAGAAGGAAACATTGCGGTTGAAAGATACATAGGCTTACAAGATGTATGGAATACTCATTGACATGTTTTACAGTTATTTGCCAATCGAGTTACTAGTAGTATGATGAGCGCGTTCCTTTTGCAATGGAACAAGGATTGTTCAGATAGCGATAGTCCAGTCTCAGTGATCTCTATTACAAACTGGCGTCAACCATTGAAAGCGACATGAAGCCACAGAAGTATAAGATAAACTTCATTCCCATGCGAGCTGCATATGTAAGCATTTCTGGCAGGAAACATGATATAGACAGGCGTCCTCTTCTCAACAGATTTTATCTTAATACCTCCTTGGAGCGGGGAAGCCGTCGAATTAAACACCCGGGCACCGGCAACAGCAACAGGGGCCATTGACCAGCTCAGGAGACCAGGCAGTGCTACGGATTACCAATTTGGCAAGATCTGTGATATTGTGACAGCAGAAAACGGCCAGACCTTCGTTCAGGCACTGTTGATGCCCGCTGGTATGCGGCAACATTCTTTAGCCGGGAGGGGTCGTCGGAACGTGGGTTCATGTTGACTTGCACGCGGCGCTTGTATTCCGTTGCACGTCCCTTATACTAGGTAGTAGTATGAGCAAGGTCTGGCTTACCTCGTTGAAGCCTTCCAGTATCAGGAATACGATTTCAGAGACAGCCCTGGAGGTATGTGTCAGTTTGAATTACTAGGCGGATGTCCGGGACAAGCTGCATGGCCTCTGCTTTTCCCGCTGCGCTACATACATGAACTTGTGCCGTGTGTATCCACACAGTCCATCTCCATTCACTTTAGGTAGGTAGCCTTGTTGAAGAGTCTGACGCTGACGGTCTATATGACTTGTCCTCGTATATTCGCGTTCATCTTGTCAATCCACGAAGCAACTAGTATCACAGAGAAACTTGTATTATATATACAGGTAGGGCGCGCGACAGTCCGACCTAAGGAGTCGTAGAGGTAAGGGACTCGTACTCGGCATACAGACGGGTCCTTGTCAGCTACAGGGAGCCCTCAAAGGACACTTAGGGCCAGGCAGAGATGGTGCCAAGCAATCGGGACCAGCCGACGCTCTCAAATTTCGATATTAATCAATCGTGACAGTCAGGCTTCCGGCTGCCTCCTAGACGGGGAGGTATGTAGCAACAATATCAACTAATAAGGGGTATGTATACTGAAAGGATGTTGAATTCAATATCATTCCAATACCTGACGCGATCGATAAGGAAGCAGCAGCAGGTGCATAGGTAATGGTGTCCAACCTCGAACCAAGATCGCAAGTCTCTCAAGCTCATGCTGTGCTGTCAGCGTGCATGTACTCTGTCCTCGCGACTCCAACGGCCACCAAGTACCTCCTCCCGGCATCTGCCACACTCCCCCCTGAATTGCTTGGGCTTCCAGGGCCAAGAGGGCCCAGACCCCTGCTGGAGGCTTCCCCGACAGGCGCCTGATGACCCTGAGACTAACGCCCGACACTCCGTCGAGCGCCCCCTTGCAGGTACTTGTGCCAGCAGTGCATTTTGTTAGCATTTACATTGACATTGACATGGACGATTCAGGATTGATGACAGTCACCATCTCGCCCAATTGGCAGCAGGTGCTACCGGGACGGATCAGGTAACGACTCGAGATGTCCACCCGTGGACGTCTTTTCTCCTTCATACCATAATCTCTCTTCAGTTCTCTGCTACCAACTCCAATCCTCCGCCTCTCCTGCGAACTCCCCGGACAGCAATTCACGCCTCTTCACAGTGCCAGTCCTACGCCCATCTCCACCCGATCATCAGCGCCAAAAAAGAAAGTGACCCAATCTCCATTCTAGCTGCATCGCTGGAGCGGAGAGCGTCCATGGCCAAACCCCGGTCGAGCCCAAAGAAGCAGGACGGCAGCCAACCAGATCCCGGACATGGGCGTCGACAAGGGCACGGCACGAGCACGAGCCCATAGCGGACAGGACGTGAACTGCACTGAACCCCGTCCGGACGCCCCTTCATTAGCATTACAGTACCTACCTGTTATTCCTTGTACATACTTGCACTGCTGCTGCTGCTGGTGGTATTATTCCTGCTATTACTACCACCACTACAAGTAGCATTAACACTGCTCGCACGAGGACTATGTCCGCCAACCCTCATCCCCAATCCCTCTCTCAGCCTCATCCTCAGTCCTCGTCTTCTCAGTCTTCTCAGTCTCAGTCTCACCCTCAGTCCCAATCTCGCGCCGACCCCAGTACGCGCCCTCGACGCCGCTCCTCCATCGCCATCGACACCGCCGTGACCGAGCCCTTCCCCGACTTCTCTCCCTCCGTCGTCACCTCGGCCGAGTACGGTCAAGAAGGCGCCTCCACGAGCGCGTCCGTACAATCTTCGGCATATGCCCTCGCGGGAATCGCTTCCTCACCAGTGGCTTCCTCGCGCATCGGCGGACGGCCGGGCGAGAGCGCGGACATAGAGATGGAGCCCATTGTAGGACACAGGAGACGCAAGAGCAGCGCTCTCAACATGCCCACAGCCGCCCCGGCAAGGCCAATGGCTGCCGGGACTGGAGGCCGAAAGCACCTTTCGGCTGGCCTGTCCGATCGCTCAGACTTGCTGGAGGAACATGTCGGGAGTGGCAGCACTTCAGCCGGCTCTGGAAACGACGACGAAGCGAGGGGGAGGCCCAGTTTCAGCGACGACGACCTACACAGCGACGAAGAGACGGGATTGAGCAGCAAGGAGCGCGCCCGGAGGCAGAAGAAGCGCCGGAAAATCACCCAGCTGGGCCAGCGCATTGCGCGCGACAAGAGCATATCGGCAGAAGAGCGCCACGAGGCAGACAAGGACGTTGTCAAGAAGCTGATTATCAACGTTGTCCTGATCCTGCTATGGTACTTTTTCTCTCTGTCAATCTCGTTGGTAAGTGCGCTTGCTTCTGCAAACCAGAGTTGCCCCTTTCATATGTGACAGTGTTGTGTCTGACAGACATGCTTGCAGTACAACAAGTGGATGTTTGATAGAGATCGCCTCAACTTTGCTTTCCCCCTCTTTACCACATCCATGCACATGCTCGTGCAATTCATCCTCTCAGCCCTCGTCCTCTTCTTCATCCCTTCCCTGCGACCACAGCGATCCCACACATCCGACATGGGCAGATCTCGGCACGAGACGGAAGCAAGCTCGACCATGTCCAAGTTCTTTTATCTCACAAGGGTCGGGCCCTGCGGTGCTGCGACTGGGCTGGATATTGGGCTGGGAAACACATCGCTCAAGTTCATTAGCCTGACGTTTTACAGTGAGTTCCGTATGACTTTCTGGCATTCGCGTCTCTTGACTAACAGATCCCCTCAAGCCATGTGCAAGTCCTCCTCTCTCGCATTCGTTCTCCTTTTCGCATTCGCCTTTGGCCTCGAGAAGCCCACCTGGCGCCTGGTTGCCATCATTGCAACCATGACAATGGGCGTCATCCTCATGGTGTTTGGCGAAGTCGAGTTCAAGCTCGGCGGCTTCCTCCTCGTCATTTCAGCAGCCTTCTTCTCCGGCTTCCGCTGGGGCCTGACCCAGATCCTGCTCCTCCGCAACCCCGCGACGTCGAACCCCTTTTCCAGCATCTTCTTCCTTACGCCCGTCATGTTCGTGACCTTGTTCTCCATTGCCATCCCGGTCGAAGGCTTCGGGCCCCTCTGGGAAGGCCTCAAGGCCATCAGCGCCGAATGGGGCACCTTTATGACGCCCCTGTTTCTTCTGTTCCCAGGATGCATCGCCTTTTGCATGACGGCATCCGAGTTTGCCCTACTGCAGCGTACATCCGTCGTCACGCTATCAATTGCCGGCATTTTCAAGGAGGTCGTCACCATCTCGGCCGCCTCCGTCGTCTTCAAGGACAAGCTCACTCTCGTCAACTTCATCGGCCTCGTCACCACCATGCTGGCCATCATTGCCTACAACTACGTCAAGATCAGCAAGATGCGTGAGGAGGCACAGGTGCAGGTGCATGTTCGCGTCACTGACGTCGATGCCGGCATGAGCACCAGCGCCAGCGACTTTGAGAACGACGACAGCGCCGAAGAGACGGCCGGCCTGCTCCAGCAGGACATGGAAAGGGGCAACGCGTTGGTCACGTCTGACGGCGACATCCAGCCTAATGGTTTACGGTCGTCGACCTCTCACCATAACAGGGATATGTCAAGGGACCGCCTACTTAGGAGGGACAGCTAGGCGATATATTACATATGCAGAATGAGAGGTCCTACACAAGTTGCCCTCGATCCGTCATTCTGTCAAGATGATGTCTGCTTTCTTTACTCCTTTACGTATACGCAAATTTACTGGCAAAAGGAGTCTGTATCTGCCATCGTTATTCCGGCATCGAAAGGGAAGATTTGGTCCGGGGATGGAATTGCGCTGGGAACACATAAACTCACCTTTCATATTGATTCCTTTTCTTTTTTTCCTTTTGTTTTTTCCGTCATTGTGTTGGTTGTCAAGTTTTACTGAGAATTTTGTCGTGCTTCTGTTGTTCAGGGACCTATCGGCGAGAAGAAAGAACGCAGGGATGCCAAAGAAGAGCAGAAAGAGAGACACATAGAGAGACGGGAAGACAGAGAGACGGGAAGACAGAGAGACGGGAAGAGATGGGCAACAAGAAGAGACGGAGAACTGGAAGAGCAAGAGAATCGGAAACGGGAGGACGACAAGAGAGGGAGATGAAGAGCTGGTTATTTTTGACGCAGATCAATCAGCATGCATACATGACGGGAGACAGCATAGACAAGACGGCTAGAGCACAGCAAGAGCAGAAACAGATACCCCATGTGGAATATAAAGGTGTATGCTGGGCTGGATGAGGAGACGATTTCTGATTGATTTTGGTATTCATTATATAGAGAGAAAGAGCCGAGGCTGTAAATACGTGCATTGTTTCTAAGCAGTTCAAAGCTATCCTCGCTTTAAAACCCTTGGAAGAAGCCCCTTTCTTTTTGTGTACGTGCCATGAGCGGGTATGTCCTGAATCCAGCCCTTCTTTTCCTCCAAACGCCATTGTGCAGATGCATATGCAATAACTATCAGATCATGACGAAGAATATCAAGCTTTTGCGGTTTCACAAGACGCCAAATCAACATTTCGATAGCCCGCATATCCTAATCCCTCTCTCCCCAAACTCCAACCCGCCCCCCCCAACTTAACCCAAAAGTCGCAAGCCATTCTTCGTCTTCTGTCCGCTCTTCGTCACGCCACCACCGGACTTGGGACCGAGATTCGGCTCGTGGCCGCCGGCGCCAGAGCCGCTCCCGGGATTGCCGCTCTGGTGGCTGCCCTTTTTGTTCTTGTTGTTGCCGTTGGGCTTCTTCTTGATGGTGGTGGCCTTGATCTCGGTGTTGGCCTTTTTGACGACGACGGGGTGGCTCTGGATGTACTTGCCGTGCATCTCCTTGGCCGCCTGGAAGAAGTCGTCTGCGTCGCTGAAGCTGACGAAGCCGTATCCCTTGGACTTGGTGGTGCGCTTGTCGCGAATGACTCTCGCCTTTTGCACCGACTTCCACCGGCTAAAGGCCTTGAGCAGCGACTCGTCTGTCGTCTCTCCCGCCAGGTTTCCCACAAACAGGCGGAGATGAGAGGGATCCCATTCCAGCAGTGTGTCGTCGGTCCACTTCTTGCCACCGCCCTCCCGGACGACCGTCTTCTTCTTGTCCGTCTGCGCAGCCGGGTCGACAACCTCCGGCTTCGGGTACTCTGGCACGGGAATTGGCTTGCCGTCCTTGTCGGTCTCGCGGGGCCCGTAAGCACTCTGCCACTGGGCTATCTGGGCTGCCATGTCCGGGTCATAGTCGGGACCGGCCATGGCGGGGGCAGCCGCGGCAGCAGCCGCGGCAGCACCAGGCGTGGGGAACGGGTTCTGGATGCGCGGTGCTGCCTGGTACGACTGGGCCTGGTACTGCGAGGTGGCCTGGTACTGCGAGGAGGCCTGGTACTGAGAGGCGGCCTGGTACGGCTGTGCCTGGTACGACGGGGCCTGGTACGACTGAGCGCCGTGGTGAGGCTGCGGCTGGGAATATGCACTAGCGGCATAGCCTTGCGTCTGCGGCGGCGGTTGAGAATAGGTCGGGAGTTGCTGAGGGTACGAATACGCCGCGACAGACTGGTTCATGCCCATCGCCTGGGGGTAGCCGGGGTAATGCGCGCCATAGTGGGCGGCTGTATTGGCTGCTGCTGGATAGCCCGGGACGTTTGTTGCTCGCGCGGAGCTGGCGCTCGAGTACGACGACGGTGAGGCGGCGGCGGGAGGCTGGTTCGAAGGGTTGAAGCTCGATCTGAAGCCGGGCCTCGAGCTGGCGGCAGCGGCAGCGGCGGCGGCGGGGGGTCTCGCAGGAAGGTTCGTGCCTGGAGGTGGTGGATGTGACATGATGAACACCCCGTCGCTTCTTCTTTGTGTGTCTTTTTTCTAGACGTAGGTATGGGAGGTCGCGCAAAGCTGTGCAAAGTGACAACGTACCTTTGAGCGGTCCCCAGCTCAAAAGGTTTCCCCACTGTTTGCAGACCGGTTCTGCTGGTGATTACGGAGCGGGTTCGAGGTCGTCAAGTGGTTTTCTTGTCGAGAGAATTGCAGGACGACTTGAACAGCATGTGGGCGGTTTGGCAGCTGGTTGTTGATATCACAGGCGATTCGAGAAAATCGGCGAGGCAACGGATTGGGTCACGTGATGAGAAATTGCTGGCCGAGAGTTTCAAGTTGCTGGCAGTCATGTGACGTCAACAGTACAATGGCAACTGCCAGACTTGAGGAAGGACCTGGGAGTTCTTTGCGGCATGACAGGTAGGTACTTATTATGTTATGTACTACTACCAACTTGGAAGTGCCTAACATTCAAAGAGCACGTAGGTACGGACAATGAATGCATTCCATGGCAGCATCACGAACCACGGTGACCGCTATCAGAGCAAATCAAGACATGATGGATCAAGTAACAGCCGTGAACTCTTCACAATGACCTCACGTTTCGCCCGAGCTGTCTCTCAATAGTACTACTAGTATCATCACAGCGGCAAAGTATTACTTCGGACGAGCATGCGAGAAGACGGCCAATGATTGGTCCTCGTGTGCCAAACAGACCAGCACCCTCTTGCGCAGAGAGACCCAACGGCGCCGGTTCACCGTCTGTGGTCCGATAAACGGGGATCGGCTGAAAAGACCCGCACGCTCGGGCGCAGGCAAGAAAAAAAAAGCGCCTCGGATCGGTGGTGCAGAGGCTGTTTGTGTGAATGACGCTGTGCGAGCTGGATTCTTTTCCATGGTATATACCTACCTTACTGGGAAAAGGTGTAATCTTGCTAGACTTGTAAAAGGACTATAAGCTTACAGATTTTATAAAGGTTACAGCGCTTATACCTGCATATATTAATTTATAAGTAAGGAATATAGTCTTGCTTACAGTAAGTAAGAGATTCTATTTCTAGTAATTCTTAATTAAGAAGATATAATAAGGTATATTATAAATAAGAGGCTATAAGTCTAATTATACTAGTTTTTTTAGTATTTTTTAATACTAAATATAATTTTTAAAGTATTAAGGCTATAGTCTAGGTTATAATATAATTATATAATTAACTTATATAGTAAGCTAGGAATAAATAAGTTAAGATAACTAAAAAAAAAGAATAGTATATAATAAAAAGCCTAGTAGTAGATAATTAAGGCAGTTATAAAGAAAAAGATATAAAGGCTAGTAATAGTAGTAAAGTAGATAAAAATAAAAATATAAGCTTTATAAAGTTATAAGTATTATAATAAAAGCCTAAAAAGGAAAGATTTTTTAATAAAATTATAAATGCTAAGCTACTTTATCCTTTTAGTTATTAATAGTATAGCTTTTTTAGTTTATAGCTATATTAGTAAGAGTCTTTTTAGTATTTATATTTATTTACTAACTATTATTAGTATTATTAAAACTAAATAATAAGTATTAATCTTATTTATAATGCATTAATAGTAAGTTATTATAAGTTACTTTTAAATAATAGCCACTACTGCTAGTGTTATTACTATAATAACTTAAGTTACTAAATTAACTAAATATACTAAAAGCATTAAAAAGGCCTAATATATTAAATACTAATATAGTAATAAAAAAATATTAAGAAAATTACTATTATTTACTAAAAGTTAAGGTTTAGTATAGCTTTAAAAAGTTAGTACTTACTAGTAATTTAATAACCTAGGCTAGTTAAGGTATATATAAAGCTAGAGGTAAAGGCAGAGGCTTATTATCTTAAATATTATTTTATAAGAATTAGTTAGTATATACTATCCTAACCTTCTTAATTAAATTTTCTATTTAAATAAATAAATTAAGGTTAATATTATTAAAGCATTACTTAAAAGCTAAAGCTTAGTAGGTTTTTTAAATTTCCTTATATATATTAAGATCTTAGTAGAGCTGGCCAGCCTTTTTAATTATTTAATTCTTAATAGTAATTAAGTAAAAGACTATAGGCACTAGAGTTATTATTATAAAGCAGAAGAAATAAAATATAAAACCTCTTTTATTAAAAAAAGTAGTATTATAGTTAATTAAATATTTAATATATTTATAAACTGCCTAAAAGGTAACCTTATTTAATTATAAAAGTAGGATACTATATATTTACTTTTTAAACTTTAGTAAGTAAGTATTTTATAATATAAGCTAGATAATATTATCTTTCTTAATAAGAAAATTTATATACTAGGGTAGTATATACTTTTATAAGAATTTATTTTAGTAATTAATATAGTAGGCATAAGCTTTATCTTAAAAAGAGTTAATATTATAAGCAGAGAGTTAAATATTTATAAATATCTAGAAGATTATATTTATAATAAATACACTATAGTAAAATATAAACTAGTTTTATTAATATTTTATATTAAGCTTAAAGAATAAAGATTTATACTCTGCTTAAAGAAGCTAGCTAAGTTAAGGCATTATACTTAAGGGTCCCTTAATTTTAATAGCTTAATCCTGCTATTATATTATAGTAATTTTAAACTTTTTTATCTTAGTATTATATTTAAGTTAAATATAAGGCGTATCTTTAAGTAGCTTAATATTTACTTTAGACAGTTTAAGAAATAGCTAAGGCTATTTTTTTAAAATAGGCTTAATAAAAGGACTAGTAGTAATAGTATATACTATAATAAATAATATTTAAGAGAATTACACTTATTATTATGCTTAAGCCTAAAGGCTTTAGCTGCTGGCTTATATTATATGCCTAATTTAATATAGCTAGCTTATTTAAGCAGTTATACTTAATATATAAGCAGTAGTAGGAAGCCTGCTACTAAGTGTTTAAAGTAACTAGCTAAATAAAGACTTTTAAAATATAAAAGCCTAGTAAGACTAAGAGCCTTATATAAATAATTAATATATTTAGAAAGGCTAGTGTATTTAAGAAAACTATTATAATAGAGTTATATATAGGCTACTGTAGCTTATAAGGTTTAGGTTTATAAAATAAAAGCTAAAAGCTAAATACTAAAGCTATATGCCTAGTGTTAGTAGTTATATATATAGCTATAAAGCTAGTGTTAGTATAATAAATAGGCATATAAAAGATAGAGGGAGATAATAAATTAATTAAAATTATCTTAAAGGACTAATTATAATAAGTAATAAAGGCATAGCTTATAAAGCTAAAGCTAGTTATATGCCTTATTTAATAAATAGTAACCTTATATATTAGCTGCTATTTTTTAATAAGGCAGATAGATATTATAGCAGGGTATATAATCTTAGCTATCTTATTAAGATAAAAGATAACTATAATTTTTACTAGCTTAACTAACTTTAGGATAGGCTAAGCTAGGCTAGGTCTTATTAACTAGTTTATTTAAACTAAGCTAGGCTAGATTAACTAAATTAGCTAGGCTAAGCTAGGCTAAATTAGGCTTAGGATTTAGTAATTTAAGATAATAATTATATAGGCTATTAAAAAGCAGGGTTATTTAAGAAACCTTTAAAGGGTGGCTTACTATTATAGCCTTTTTAACCTTTATAGCTATTATAAGCCTAGTTACTTTAGTCTGCTATATTTAAAGCACTTAGAAGATCTTAACTATAAATATATAGCTATATATATTAATTTAGTAAAAATAAAATATAAGTAATAAATAATATAGGATAATATACCTAGTGCATTAAGTTAAATTAAGATTCTAATATTTATTAAACTAATATATTTAGTAAGTAAATAGCTAAGAGAAAGGAGATAGCTAAGGGCTTAAGGATAAATAGTAATATAAAAATAAAGATAAAAAGTAAAAGAGATATAAAGGTAAGAAAATAAAAAGAGATAAAGGATAAAAAAATAAATTAAGTAAAGGGTTAAGGGAATAAGAGTGCTTTATAAGCAGAGGCCTATTTATTTTTATAAAAAATTTTTATTATATTTACTACTGCGCTTATTAATACAGCTGCTAGCTAAGCATAAAGTAAGCTTAAAGTAAAGATGCTTTATATTAAATTAATAAAGGATACTGCAGTAAATAAATATAAATAGTATAAATTATAAGGAAATACTAGACTTCCTTCTCTTACTAAAGCATTCCTCTTATTAACTAGCTTATAATTATCTTTTTACTTATTTACTGCTTTTATTTTTATTAATAAAAGTAAGCTTTATATTATAATTTAAAATAAAGTAAGGCAGTAAATTACCTAAAAGTAAGCTTATTATAAAGTTAATATAAATTATAGGCATATTTAGTAGCTTTACTATTATTTAATTAGTTAATAAGGAGGCCTATTACTATAGCCTAGGTCTTAAATTTAGCGCTAATTAAGTAAGACTATCTAGCTTTAATAAATATAGCAGGTATACTTTTAAAATCTCCTTCCTTTTAAAGATAAAGCAGCTAGCCTCCCCTTTTTATTTTATTACTTATTACTTATTACTCTGCCTTACTTAACTTCCTTTATATTTAGTGCTTTCTTTATTCTTTTATTAATAATAAAGGACTAATATAATAATACTATAAAAGAGCTAATATATTAAGGTCCTTAATAATCTTAAACTAAGCCTGTTATAATAGTATTAATATGCTGCTTAGCAGCTATTTAATAATATTAAAGATATTAAAGTTTAGCTATTAAAGATATAAAAAAGTAGTAATATCTTAAAGGCTAATAATAGCAGTAAGTATATAAATATTACAGATACCTTTAATTATTTTAATAATAATATAGAGATTAATTTAAATAGTATAAAGCATATGCTTAATAATATATTTAAAAATTCTCTTAGTATAACTAAAGGTAAGTTTTACTAAATTATAACCTAAGTTTTAAAGTACTAACTATGCATTTAGGTATTATTAACTTTAATAACTTAAAGCCTAATATCCTTAATCTTAAAAATTAAAATATACTGCCTACTAGCTTTAATAGCGCTAAGCTATAAGGAGCTAGAGACTATAATAATATTCTTATTAATATCTTTTTACTATTAAATATTATAGCTTTTAATAAGAATATTAAGTTTAAGGAGGAGGAGGAGGCAGCCTTACCTAGTATAATTAAAGCTATTATAAAGATAATTCTTAAAAATACTAAACTAAAAGATATAGCAGTAGCTATTATAAAAGCTATAGTAAAGATAAGTAACTTATTTATCCTACTTTTATATTACTAGAATTAGTTTATTAAGCTTTTAAAATTTAAAATTAGCTTTAGTTTATTAATATATATCTTTAGCCTTAATTATATATAGTATGCTATATTATAAAAGGTAATAGCCTTACTTTATAATAGCTTTAGTTAGCTATTGCCTTAAGTTTAAGCACTACTAAACTAACTTTTAACACTTAAGGCTAAGATTATTTAAAGATTCCCTCTTTTATATATATATAAGGCTGCTATACTGCTTTAACTTAAGAAGTTACTTACTAAATATATATTTTATAAAAAAGAAGAATATAATAATACTAGTAAGGAGATTATAGCAGACCTTTACTTTATTAACTTAATAAGTCTATTTAATATATTTATAGTATTAAATATTATTAAAAATATATATATAAGCCTAGTGTATTTTATTAATAAGCTAGTAAAGCTATACTACTTTTATAATTAGGCCTCCTTAATATATATTATATTTAGTAAATTTACTTATATTTTAAATAGTAACCTTAACTACTGCAGGCAGCTAAAGTAAGTTATAGTTATTTTCTTATTAGACTTTATCTTATATTACTATATAAATTAAAAGTATATATATTAAAATGCTATTAAAGATAACCTTAATAATACTTATATTAGCTAAGTATATAATATTAGTAAGGACTATTATTTATTTTATTATACTATTAACTAAGGTAATATTATATTATAAATATAAAAGGCATATAAGCTAGCTTATATAAGAAATTTAGAAAAGCTGCTTATATACTTTTTTAAGAATAATAAGTTAATTACTTAAGTTAATAATAAGTTCCTTCTTAACCTTACTTTAACTTTTATACCTAAAACTTACCTAGTTATATATACTAGTAAGAAAATTAATATTAATTATTTTTAAGAAGAGATATATAATAACCTTAGCCTAGCAGTTATTAAAGGTAAAGGTAAGGCTAAAGCTAAGCTATTATACCTTAAATACACTTATATACCTTATATTACTAAGCAGCCTATTATTATTTATTAAGGATTTTAAGATAATAAAAGCATTATTCTGCTCTGCTATATATATCCTATTAAGGCTAAGCTAAAGCTTAAAGCTTATAGTAAAGAATTATTTAAGTAAGGATAGGATTTTAAAACTAATTTAATAATCTTATACCTTATTATAGTTTTTATTAATAGCTTTAGTTTATATTATAATTTATATAAGTCTTTTATTAGTATATATACTATTATAGTAGCCTTAAATAGTAAAGACTAATATAAATAAGCTAATATCTTTTTAATTACCTTAAGCCTATATAGTTTAAATTTTAATAATACTATTAACGCCCTTTAATTACTTAGCTAACTTAACTATAAAATATAAATAATAATTAGTAAATAGAATATTATTATTTATATTTTAATATTATACTATATTAGTAATATACTATAATAAGATAAAAACTCTAGCTTTAAAGGCCTTAAGGCGCTTAAGTTTTACTATTTCTATTATATTAAACAGCAAGCTATTAAGTTAAAGTAACTAAGTAATATTCTTAATTTTAATATTATTACTTATAAATAGTACTATTATTAACTTACTGCTATATATTAGCATTATAGCTTAATTAAAACTAGGGTTTTATAATATTTATATACCTCTTAATAAGGATTATTAAATAAGCTACTAACCTTACTAAAGCTTAGCTTTACTTTTAACCTTATTCTATCTTAGCCCCTTAATTTAGTATACTTTAAATTAAATAGTATAATTAAACTAATATATAGAATTTTACTAAATAAAATCCTTATAAATCTAGTATTAAAAAAATATATTAAAAAGCTTTATTACTAGCTATTTCTATTAGACTAAGAATAACTATAGTTATTAATATACTATCTTTAAAGCTACTCTCTAGCTGCTTATGCCTGCTAGTTTATTATTATATTAAGTCTCCTCTACTATTAGTTATAGCTATATTATATTTATCCTTTATTTATAAAAAAGGCTTTTAGCTATTTTATAACTTATAATTAAAAGCTTATTATTAATTTTATTATAAGGGCATTTACTAAGCTTGCTTAGTTAAATAGTATGCTAATAGAATTAAAGGTTTTATATAGTAACTAGTAGAATATAGTTAATATTATTTTTAAAAGTAATTAATATTATTAAAAGCTATATTTATATATATTATACTTAATTAGCGCTAATTTTTATACCTATAGTTAATTTAATTTATGCTAGCTATTAGTTATATTAACCTAACTTTATTAAGCATTTATTAAAATAACTATATATATTTAACTATTAGCAGGACCTAGTTTTATAATACCTTTACTATTATTATTACTAGTTATATTAAGTTATAAGAAAGATGCTATAAAATAATAGTAAGAGGCACTAAAGTAAGTAAGGCAATATATATATAATATAATATGCCTAAATATTTATATTAGTATATACTACCTAGCTATTATAAAAAAGTATACTCTGCTTATAAATATTAATATATTACTAAGTAAGAATTAGTATAAGTATATTTTATAATATAAGCATTTATTTAGGCATATAGCTAAAGTGCTAATAACACCTTTTAAATAGTTTAAGAAAAAGGTATATAAAACTAACTATATAAATATTAAGAAACTACTTTTAGTAAAGGTTAATATATAAATAACTATTTATTTTTTACTTTATAATGCGTTTTATTATAAAAATAGTAAATTAATATATTAAATAAGTCTTCTTTATAAGAAATACTTTATATTACTAAATGCTATATTACCTTATATAAATTAGCAGGATATAATTAAGGATAAGAAAGCTAAGTTTAAGTTAGATATAAACTTTAGTATTAATACTAACTATTAATAAGTAACTATTATTAAATAGGTTTTAGTTAAGATAGTATAATTAATTAGCTATACTATTAATACTAGCTAATATCTGCTTATAAAGTATAATAATATAAAGCAGCACTTTTATATAAAGCTATACTAGGTATATATTAATAAATACTGCTAATTTAAGATTTACCTTTTTAATAATAAATAGATATAGTAATTAAATAAGTTTATATTTATAAATAAATATATATAGTGCAGTTAGTTTTATTAAATAGTTTTTAAAGCATTTTATATATAGTTATTTATAATAATAAGGCTATTACTAACTTTTAGTAAGCGCTTAAGTTAGTATTATTAATAACTTAGCATTTTCTGCTTTATTTATTAATATCTTACTTAAAAAGACTGCTTTTATTACTAGACTTGCAATTCTATCTCTATTAATTAAATAAAATAAAAGAATAAAGTTATAAAAAGCATAGACCTTATATACACTAAGATATTACTAATTAAAGTCTTAAAAATCTACTATTACTATATATAGGCTTTAAATTTTAATATATATTATTATTATATTAATATATAACACTATTATAGTATTAACCTTTATTAAGGAATAGAGGCTAATTAATATATATTTAAAATAGGGAACTTTAATAGTATATATTTACTTATAGTAACTTTATATAATTTTATAAAGATAAATTAGCCTAGGTTAACTAGATCTTTATTTATAAACTTAGTAATTACTATATTTTTATTATATTAATGCCTGCTAAAATCTTAAAGGAATATAATGCAGTTTTAGGATTATATAAAGTTATACTTTATTAAGATATGCCTTTAATTATTAGCATTAACGCTATTAAGCTTAAAAAGGTTTATATAGTTTAAATTAACTCTTATAGTATAAGAGTTTTAGTTAACTAGTAAGTTAAGTGGCTGTAATAATTATATTTACTTTTATAAGTTATTATAAGTATAGCATTCCTTTAATTAAGATACCTTACTTTATAAGTGCTTATATACTAATAATTATATTAAATAGTATATCTTATAGCTATAAAAATAATATCCTAGGTATATAAATATTAATTTTAATATCTTAATTATATAATATTATTAAGTCTTTTAGTTATTTTTATTCTTAATAGTATATTTATATCTATTACTATTTTAAGAATCTTACTGCTAATAACTAATTAGTAACTTAAGAATAGTATATTATAAGTATTAAGAAAAAAAGGTTTATATTACTCTTACCCTTATTTAGTATAAGTAATTACTAATATTAAGAATTTATATATAAACCTAGAGTAAAGTGCATATTACTATAACTAAAATATAATATTATAGCTAATTTAATAATATATAAGGGTATATTACTAGTTTAAGTAGCTTAGTTAGTTAGTCTTAGTATAGTATAATAAACTATATATAATATATATTATAAAAAGGTTTAAGATATAGGCATTATAAAAGTATATAAGTATAAAAATATAATTAAAGTAGATCTTATAAGTTAAGCAAGCTAATTAATAACTATATTACTAGTCTGCAGTAGCTAATTAAAATACTTAGCTGGCCTTGCTTAGCTATAACCTTTATATAATCTGCAAGTCTAGTGCTTAGTATAAGACTATATAAGGTTTATAGTTAATAAAATTTTATAAGCTTATGCTTACTTATACAGGTGTATTAATTTTTATAAGACTTGCAAGACGCCACTTCTTCCTAGTAAGGTAGGTACTATATATGAGTAATATAACGCGAGTTTAGGCGGTGGTGCCTCACGGAAACTGCCGTGACGCGCATCAGGCCATGCATGAGCCGCCAGCCGACACTGCGATTCGTTCAGGACTTTAGGAGATGTTGCTTTCCGGTGGAATGCTGGTGCTCCGTTGCATCCAGAGCATATCATCATCACTGGGCGTTGGGACGCAAGGAATAATTCCGCAATCCCGCAAAGCCCGACCGACGAACGTCTTTGCTGTTGCGTCTGCGTCTTCGTGGTTTATAAGCGGCCCCAGCTCGCCCACTTTTTTTTCGATGGAGGTGACGGCAGAAGAGGAAAGATGGAAATAGAACAGGGCCTCGTCAGTCTGGTGTTGCTGGTTTCTATGGTCAAGAGTTGAAGAGATGGCATGTGTGTTCATATTCAGGTATCGGCACAAGATGCCATTGTCATTGCTTCCAGCGAATGAACAAGAGCAGCAACTTGCTTGAATCACTGATATGCCATGCCAATTCTCACGATACTCGAGATACCACGGTAACCTACCGCCTTTGCCTTGGGTACGGTATGCTACTTGCGTTCTGTAGCAGCGTGCACTTGCACGGCCTTGTTCGAGGCTTTGGGAGAGGGGGGACCCGTTGTGCTTAGGGGATCAGTAGCAGGTCCTTTCAATCTTTGTCCTTACTCGTGCTGGCTGGGATCGGGAACCTTGCTGGGCCTCATCGTGAGGCACTTCAGGGCGGCCTCTGATTGGTCGGCGGCGAAAACTGGAACGTTCGTCACGGCGGAGGCTACCCGGAGCGGCTGGGGCTGTTTTATTTGCGACTTGGTTTCGGGAGAGAAGTGTCTGGTGATGTATGTATTTCAGGGTGAGGCGACATGAGTAGCAAGGGGAATCAAAGGGTTGTCCATTCTGCCGTTAAGTAGAGATGAAGCTGGTGATGGATGCTGCTGCTACTCTATATAGAGGCATGTATGTAAGCTGTTCCAGCAAGAAGCAGCCGCTTACACTGCATTAGGTGCCGCCAAAAGAACGGACGGATTCCAAAAGGCAATCAATCGGGCGATTTGCCCCTCTCTTTCTGAATGGTTTTGAATGGGGGTCACATACCTTGTTGAGCACATGGAAGATCAAACAAATCCCACTCTATCATACACAGTCCCTCCTCCGTCTTTGCCCCCCTTCTCCCTCTTTTACAAGTACCTAACAATACATGCACCAAGCTGCTTGCTCGGTGGCTTAGGTACCTACCTAGGCTCTACGGTTTGTTTTTCGGCCCGTAACCCCAACCGGCACTGGACGGAGCTCGAATGGCCTGTGGCTAGCGATTCAAATTCCCCATGCCAAATTACCTCATTGCTCTAAAGGGTGTGGGACGGAAAGAAAGAACCTGGGCTGACTTGCAGATGCATTGATGATGAAGAATGCTTGGAACTTTCTCCGTTTCTAGTTCTTTGCCTCTTGCTTCTCTTTGGTTCATCAAAAGGCTCATGCGCGGCACTATTCTGTGACCCCCGACTTGGCGGCAAGCGAGCGCGTTCCAGAGTCGGGTGTCGGATGGCAACTCCTGTGAAAGGGCACGACGTCTCACCAAGCTGGACTACCTTGTCTTGTCGTCGAGATGGCTGCCGGGGTGTTTTCTTGGCTTGTAGTCTTGGTAGCATGCTGACATAGGTCTGGCTTAATGCTCTCTTTGCCTGAAACTCTCCGTGTGTAAAGGAGTGTTACTATATACTTTGCCCCTGTCGTCTGTGTTGCTTCCGTACCTTAGTCTATCTGGATATGATGCTTCTTGGTATCAAGGGAAGAGCAGCATCAACTTAGCAGTCAATGCATGGACATGTTGCTGCAGTGCCTCGAGCTCAGACTGCCCTAGACCCCGGTGGTGCTACGCTCTAGCTTATATCACGCAGATATGTAATTGATTACTACAACAACAAGCTGCCCATGCTGTATGATGAATGGCGCTCAACCCGAAGCAGCCGGCCATGGGAGAGGCGACATTGTATCACGGTTGCCGTGGAGGGTGGGGCGGACAGAGGGCAATGGTTGGATGGCCTGGCAGTTGCGCTCATATGAGTGTCCCGAAGCAGTTATTGGTGTTTTTTTGCCCTGCATGATGAGAGAGGCCCTTGAATTTTCGTTCTCTGGTCTCTGCTTGGGATGTGTATCGTATACGAAGTAGTAGTACTACTAGGTAATAATAGTACCTAGGCTGGTTAGAAGTTTGCACGAGGTAATGTTAGAGCCCGCGATGACGATGCTACGCCCCTCGCCCAATCAGGCCGCCGCAAAGCCCGCTTTTCCTTCTCACCTGCCGGAGACCTCCAGCTACCTTAGGTATCCAAGATAGGTACCAAAGATGCCAGGTACAGTACTCGTCATGCCTGAAGAACCAACCTGGAACAAGTACCCTTTACCTACTACCTTACCTAGAGGAACCGGCGGAAAAAAAAAAAGGGCCTCCCTCCCTGGGCGCTGCTGGCCGCCGTTGTCGATGGCATCCATGGTTCATGTTGGGCGATGGATCCCCCGTTCCGGCCCCCCGTGTTCCCACTATGTGCCACTACGTGCCACTACGTCCATCCCACCATCCCACTATATTTACTTACGCCGTCCCTCCCCATCCGCCCTGGACTGCTGCTCCCTTCTCTCTCTCTCTCTCTTCATTCTTCATCATCCCCAACTTTGCTTGTCCTTGCTGACCTGCTTCTTTTTTGGAAACCTCAAATTCCATCCAATACCCCCTTCTTCTTTGCTCTCCCGCCAAATCCTCTCACAATGTCTGGCCCTGTGTAAGTCGGCTCTCCTTGTCTGCTTCTTCACCCCTCACTCCCTCAGCTTTTGACCCCACCACCCCGCCCCGAAAAAGCCCAGCTCATTACCTCTGGATGACCTCAATTCCCGCACTGAGGCGACGGCATCGTGGCCTCTTTGTCTGGTGTTGAGGCCTCTGCGTTTGGCTGCCGGGAGAGGCGGTGACGAGACTGGCGGGCTGTTTGCTGCTACTGCTACTGCTGCTGCTGCTCGCTGTTGGCTTTGCTCCAGCATCGATGCTCCGAGCTCCGAGCTCCGTGCTTGCTGCTTGCTTCTGGCTGCTCTTCAGCCTCCACTCCACGCCGACTCTCCCAGTCTCTGTCTCCTTTTCCCCCCCCCAAAGCTGAATCAACCCCCTGAGCTTCTTTTTCCTTAAATCTATGTCCCCCCGCTCATGGTCCTGAGGCAGCGCTCGCCTCGCCAACATCAAGCTTGGCGGCGCCTCGCAACCGGACTCCTCCTCTGCTGCCGCCCAGGCTTCAAACAATGCTAACAATGTTCCAAGCGCGGATCTGGGCCTCATCGGCCTTGCTGTCATGTAAGTTGCAGATTAAACCTCCCCCCCTCCCAAATCTGGGTCTTCGTTGGCCGCCGTAAATCGCTGACACGCCCGCTCTTACAGGGGACAGAACCTGATCCTCAACATGGCTGACAACGGCTTCACCATCTGCGCCTACAACCGAACCGTTTCCAAGGTCGACCACTTCCTGGAGAACGAGGCCAAGGGCAAGTCTATTGTCGGCGCCCACGACGACAAGGAGTTCATCAGCAAGCTCAAGTCGCCCCGCCGCATCATGCTCCTCGTCCAGGCTGGCAAGGCCGTTGACGAGTGGATTCAGCGACTGCTGCCCCTCCTCGACGAGGGCGACATCATCATCGACGGTGGCAACTCCCACTTCCCCGACTCCAACCGCCGCACCAAGGAGCTCGCCGCCAAGAAGATCCGATTCGTCGGCTCCGGTGTTTCCGGCGGCGAGGAGGGTGCCCGCTACGGCCCTTCTCTGATGCCCGGCGGTAACGAGGAGGCCTGGCCCTACATCAAGGACATCTTCCAGGCCATTGCCGCCAAGAGCGACGGCGAGGCCTGCTGCGAGTGGGTCGGCGACGAGGGTGCTGGTCACTACGTCAAGATGGTCCACAACGGTATCGAGTACGGTGACATGCAGCTCATCTGCGAGGTAAGCCTGGCCCCGATCTCGGCTCGCCTAGCAGCGTTGTATACACACGCAATGGCTGGCTGGCAGTTTAGAATGACATGGCGTGAGTTCGTGACTAACAGGGGGTCGTCTCTTAGGCTTATGACATCATGAAGCGTGGCCTCGGTCTCTCCAGCAAGGAGATCGGTGACGTCTTTGCTAAGTGGAACAAGGGCGTTTTGGACTCCTTCCTGATCGAGATCACCCGCGACATCCTCTACTTCAACGACGACGATGGCACTCCTTTGGTCGACAAGATCCTGGACAAGGCCGGCCAGAAGGGAACCGGCAAGTGGACCGCCATCAACGCCCTCGACCTCGGCATGCCCGTCACCCTCATCGCCGAGGCCGTCCTGGCCCGATGCTTGTCCGGCATCAAGGACGAGCGTGCCCTGGCCTCCACCAAGCTCCGCTATGTCGCCCGTGGCAGCGGCAAGTTCGAGGGCAACAAGGAGCAGTTCCTCG